ATGAAGTAGTCCCGTATTTGGACGGCACGGTAAAGTAGATCTTATTCCATTCCTTTCCTTTCCTTTCCTATCGTCCCCTTTCTACACCCGACTCAGACAAGAGACAGACAAAGTCGCCTACCCGAGCCCGTGGGGGCTGGGAGGACGTGCGGTGTATGTGTTATACAAGAATCTCATCCCCCATCCCACCCCCCTTTTATCTTCCTTCCATCCCTCATCCTCGTCCTCATCCCACCGCCATCCCAACACCATCCCAACACCATCCCATACAATCCCATCTTATATCCAGTCCCCCACCCACCATCCACCAACACTTCCATCCATACATCCATCACATACACCTCAAACCCCACCCTTCCCACATCCCTCCCCTTTTCGAACCTCGCAAGAAAAATCTTGCCTAAAAAAACCAAAAACAAACGAGGGTGCCAGACCAAGAGGACATAAGGTAAACCATGATCATAGCGCGTCGCTTTTGTGCCGTTTGCATTCGGGGAAGTGGGCGTGAGTAAAGTTATTGTTGTTGTTGTTAGGGGGGGAGTTGTCAGACGAGCAAGAAAACGTCTTCTCTCTTTGAACCCCCCGCAAAAATGGCGAAGAAGAAGAAGTAAGTAAAAAAAAGTTCCCCAATACATGAACATAGCGTCCGCTGGTATCGCAAACGCCCAAATGATTAACTAAAAAAAGGTAAAGATCCCTGAACTCCGAGTGTGATGTTTTTAAAGATAGTGAGTGAGCCACGTCTCATAGACGGGCTTTATTGTGTTCGTTTCTTTGTCGAAGGTGTGTGTGTAACTCGTGTACGCTGTACATTCCCAGCTATATTCTCCAGCGCTGCTGTGGTGTGTAATCCCGCACGTAAAAAAACGTGGTATAAAATGTAAAAAGAGTCCCACCCAGCAGGCAGTGTGACCAGGCCAGCTCAAGCGGCAATCTACACCTCCTCCGTGAACCTCGAGTTGCGGCTCCCATCCCTCGACGGGTGCGACCGCCCCAGCGCATCCGGCATCGGCAGCGGCGGGGATGCGTTAATACTGACGAGAGGCTCTGTCCTCGAGTCTGCCGAGATATGCGCCTGGTACCCCGTCCCAGGTGACCTCGGCGCCCTATCATTCAGCGGCGAGGACGGTAGCCCAGCCGAGGTAGGCGACGCGGGGTATCCCGTTCCGCCGTAGAAGCCGCGCGAGTCGCGGTAGAAGGAGGTATCGCTCAAATGCGGATCGGCGAAGGGGTCCTGCTGGCGGTCCGAGAAGGGGTCTTCGTAGCCGTTGCCCCCCGAGGTAAGGACAGAGGGTAGCTTGCGCCCTGAGACGCGGACGAAGCTGCGGTGGCTGTCTGCCGTGGAGTGGGTGGCTTGTGATTTGCGGTTTTGGCCCGTCAGGACGGCGAGTGCGGCGGGGACGGTGAAGAGCGAGGCGCGGCGGACCATGGACATAGGGCCTGTTGTGGCAGCGCCGCTGGAGGGGTCGGGCGAGGTGAGGTCGCGGCCGTTGCCGAGCTGGACGCCGCCTTGTTGGCGTCGCTTCCAGCGGAGGAGGAGCATGACGAGGAAGGCGATTAGGGTCACGCCTGCTAGACTGCCGACAACTGAGCCGACGACTACGGGGGTCGGGGGAGGGTCGTTGGAATCGCCGTTCGAAGCGCCCAAGGCTTCGTCGCCGGAGGAGCTGCCGGTTCCAGTGCCGCTGCCAGTGCCAGATCCTGGTGCGCCGTATGCTACCCCTGTTGCGGTTGCTGTTGCACCGGCTGATGATAGGTATGTTGTTGTAACCAGATCGCCATAGGCGTTTGTGTACACAGATATGTATACGCCGTTTCCGTTCTTGTGGTGAGCTGAGGTCGCGGCCAGGCCTGACAGGGTATGGGAAGTTGCTGTATTGTTATGTAAAGATGCGAATGCAGGAACCCCATGTGCACTCTTTCCTGCTGCGACTGCGAGATGTTAGTCGAGACTCCTCAATGCAAAATGTTTGGCTTCTCACCAGTCCCGTTCACTGGTGTGAGCGACGAAAATGACGGTACGTCTGCTGGTAAGGGTGTAGCAGTTGTCTCGGGGAACGGGGTAATCGGTGGTGGCGGAGGGACTGGTTCAACAGTGCTCGAGGGAATATCCGTAGGGGTATCTGTAGACGAGGGAATATTCGTAGGGACATCCGTGGGGAGATCTGAAGACGGAGGTCCTGTCGGCTGCGATGTGGCACTGGCTGTGTCGCTCGGGACGGGGACAGGAACTGCGGGAGCAGCAGTCGTGCTATCACCTGTGGCATCTCCGTTTGGGGGAGGGGCACCGGGAGCAGCAGTCGCGCGAGTATCACCATTCACACTACCAGTATTTGCCGTGTATGTCGCAACAGATTCGGAGATTGTATTGCCCTCGCCGTCGACGGCGACCTGGCGGACTACAGACACGGTCTGGACGACTGCCGTAACGGTTTTGTTTGGTGGTGTTGATGCTTGAGCGGCATCCTGTCGCTCGTGGACGTGGGCGGCATCGTGGACGTGGGCGGCATCGTGGACGTGGGCTCGCCGTTGGTGGAAACGTGCGTGGGTGTGTCTGTTTCCGCGATTGTCGATATGTTCGGTGTGTTCGCGATGAACGGTCTCTGCGAGGGCGTCCTGAAGGAATGAAGGGGCCTCGTCGGTGTCGGCCATGATGGCGCGCGGGTGTGGTGACTTTCTTTTGTCTCTTGTCTCTCTTGTCGTTTTGGTGTCTGTCTCTACTCACTCTCTCCGCAATGTATGAGGAGGTTAACGATTGTGGAGAGGCGACATGGCACTTGCGACCATGGCGAGTGAGAGGTGGAAAGGAAGATCAGTGGAGAAGAAGAGGAGGTAGAAGAAGTGGAAGTGGAAGTGGGAGGGAACGGAGAAGAGGAGAGACAGCGAAGCCAAGCATAGGCGCACAGGACAGGCACAGGCACGCACACACACAATCAATAGAGAGAGACACGAGAGTTTGGATGGTATGGGTATGGGTTATGGGGTGCGTGGTGCGTGTGTTGCGGTGGTGCAGTTGGTGGATGGTGCAGTTGGTGGAGTCGTGTAGTCGTGGTAGTCGTGGTGGTAGTACGAAGCAACGGGAAGGATGGTAAGGATGGTAAGGATGGTAAGGATGTTATGGATGCTACCGTAGAGAAAGGACGTTAGGGAAGGAAGGTACGAAGCAAGATTCCCAAAGAGGTGGTGGTGGGTTTTTCTGTTCGTGGTTCAAGGGTCAGGCCCACGAATGACAACGGCCACACGGAATGCAAGGTGTCCAACGATAGTGAAAAGGTACATGTTAATTCGCTGTGAAGTGGCTGCTACAGAGAAGTACCATTAATCTAGACCTGGACGCCCAGACATAATGCCCAGACAATAAACCGTAGTACGCCTATTACGCCCATTACGCCCTAGACACAACAGATCAACAATCTTAGAGTTACGAGCCATTTTTGGGACTAAATCACGACTAAATCACGACTAAAACCACTCGCGAGATCTAATCTCGCTTATGCTCGTGTGACATGGGGGGAAGGGATGAAAAATCAATATTAGAGGCATTTTGGGTTCTGATGCTACCTGTGGAGTAGTAAGACGGCGTTAGTATTGTAGTATTGTAGTATTGTGGTCGTGCGTATAGGAAGTGAAGGTGAGGGGAAAGAAAAGAGAAAGGGCGAGATGTTTGTTGTTTGTTGTTTGTTGTTTACGCTGGTTGTTTTACTAGCCAGGGCCATAACGATATTAGCTGCGAGTGTCCGTCGACGACACATCTACAGAGTGATCAGTCACATTTTCCACCTAATCTCCTATTCCACGCTATCGTAAGTTCTAGACTACAGACTATAATAGTACAGTACACTAACAGTGAAAGAACGGCTCAACTGTTTATTCCACGGGTTTAACAGTTGAAACAATTCTTATTTCCCCTCTATTTCCCTTCTTATTTCCCTTTCTTATGGGTCTGGATGGGGTCTATGCTCTAGAAATAGAAATAGCTCCCTAGGGGACTGGGGGGACTGGGCCTGGGAAACCGGGGCCAGGGTCCTCGTCTACCACTAGAGCGCACACTAACATCCACTAATACACTAATTTATAGTAGTACGGTTGCGAGGAGTGCGAATGACGGTCCTTTTTACTACGGTTGACCATGTTAACCAATATTTCGCCGGTTAGAACTGTTAGACTGTTATACTGTTATACTTCAGATGCCACTCACAACTGCCAGCCCCTGCCAGCCCATGCCACAGTTCAGGTACCTTACTTAACGGACGCACTAGCTAAATTAGCGGTCGTCGTCGTGGATGCCACATGTTGGCGGCACAGGACTGTGGTGATTGTATGGTACTTAGTACTACCTATTTTTGAGTGATGTGCGCCTGCAGACCGTATGTAGTGGTCATGTACTCCATCCCGTTATTGGAGATTATCACCACCACCACCACCACTTCTCACCACTGCTTCTCACCACACCACATCAACACTTCCTCAACAGGCATACAGAACATCAACTACTCTAGATCTCAACCAACAAATCTTACCCTTTGATCCTCGCAGCCTTCTATTCTATATACTACAGATATTATGAAACCAAGATCTACCCCACCCTCAACACACCCCACCCAATCCTTACGAGTCCTGCCACCACAAGCACCGCCATACTTCCTTGATTGCGTCGCCGACGGATGATCCGCGCCGCCTTGATGGCTGCTCCATAGATTTACCCCACCATTCCACCGCCACGCAATCACTCTCCCCCAACGTCGATTCAATGTCTTCATAAACCCTACTTCTCGAATAAAGCCAAGTAAGGTCGACGACAACAAATGGCGACCGATCAGAAGTACACATATGTCCCGCCGACCGAATATGCGGGTTCGTCTCAAGAACCAACGGCGGGCAGCTCTCTCCCCAGAGTCCCACCCCCACTTCCCCCGCGTAAAGCCTCAACACAAGTCGCCGTGCCGCCTCCATATTCGCTATACGACGTCGACAGGGCCGAGTTAGCTTCTGAAACATGGGTTCACGATCCAAGATCCTCGCCGATGGAGTCGATAAGCCCATCCGAGTTACGAGAGGGACAGCGTACGCTCCTGCTCATCTATATTCATGGCTTTATGGGCAATGAGACGAGCTTCCAGAGCCTCCCTGCTCATGTTCACAATATTCTCACGGTGGCCTTGGCTGAGAGCCATGTGGTGCATACCAAGATCTACCCTCGATACAAGTCGAGAAATTCAATTGAGGTTGCAAGGGACAACTTCAGCGAATGGTGAGGACTGTTCAACCATCCACCTCGTCCCATAACTGACATTCTCTTCATAGGCTTGGGCCACATGAAAATAGTAACACGGACATTGTGCTCCTCGGCCACAGTATGGGAGGCTTGCTTGCTGCAGAGGTTGCTCTCATGCCTTCTCTAGACCTAAGCCACGGCGGACAGTTCAAGCATCGAGTCCTTGGCACTATTAGCTTCGATACACCATTCTTAGGCATGCACCCTGGGCTGGTAGTCAGCGGCATAGGAAGCTTGTTCAGACCGGCTCCTCCGCCGCCTGGGTCTGCGCAGAGCACACGGGAGTCATCGACTGGCACTGACACGACGGATTCAGGAAGCATTTCATCAATGCCAACGACTGCTGCTTCTCTGACGACAGTGAGCTCGGCAGATACACCTCTGACACTAAGCACCAGCAACAACTCATCGATACACACTGCGACTACGAATGATCCGTATTATAACCCACCCTTTGCCAACGACATCAATATCAAGGAACGCAGCGGGTGGAACAGCTTATTACATTTCGCCAATAAGCATGTTGATGGCCTTACATCTGCAACAAAGCAATATTTCCTGTCTCATATTGAATTCGGCGGCTGTCTCGCTGATTTCTCAGGACTGAAGAACCGCTATTCTCGTCTAAGGCATCTAGAAGATGTGGACGACACGACAGAGGCGGCGCTGGCATCCGATGCCAGGCGTATCCGATTCGTCAACTACTATACTGCAAGCACTGGCTTGCCGAAACGGCAAAAGGTGCAGCAAGTTAAGGCGAAAGACGATGATGGGAACATTGTTTCAGTGGAAACTGCGACGGAGAACTTGAGCCTCGAAGAGTCTGTAAAGGCCACCACTGATACCCCGGCTGAGTTAGCAGCTCCAAGCGGGCTTGACGGACCTGGAGCTGCAATAATCTCAGTTGAAGAAACGGGCAATGCAGCCCATACAGAGGCGAAAGCACCAACATCACAAACTCATATCTCTGAAGTCGCACCAGAGCAAGACGATGATGATTACGAAGCACAGCCAATGCAACACATAGACTCCATGCCCATCCAAGGCGACGACGAAGATTCCCAAGATGATGACTTCCACGATGCCCACGAAGACACCCACCAAGCCACAGCCGACGTAACGACAGCGACCCCACCAACACCAGATGCACCGACAAGGACCCCGCCAACACCAGACGTACCAACATCACCCTCACCAATACCAGACATAACAACCTCCACCGGCGACCCCGCCCTCCCCCCCATCCCCCCCGTCCCAGAAGAACCCACCCCCCTCGACCTCACCCTCTACACCGACAAAGACTCCCGCAAGCTCGCTGAAAAAGAACACAAGCGCATCCTCAAGATCTACCAAGCAGCCGTCAAGCACCGCGAGAGCGCCCTCAAGGACCGTCGGAAACTGACCGAGAAGCGGGAGAAGAAGGCGGCGCAGGAGAGGGAGAAGACGCACAAGACGGAGGAGAAGAAGAGGCTGCAGGGGGAGGAGAAGAGGATGAAGGACGAGGAGAATAGGATGAAGGAGGAGGAGAGGAAGCGTCTTGCTGATGCTAAGGAGGCCGAGTTGAGGGCTGTGACGGTTAATCCTAGTGGTCCTGCTCATGGTGCGGATGCGCGAGCGGGGTCTGTCTCTGAGGGCGCGGAGGCGCCGCCGCAGAAGAAGAAGAAGGATAAGCGCTTTTGTCTTCTACCGGGCGATCTGGAGCGTAGTAGCGACGGGCTGGATAAATGCTGGGTGCGCGTTTATATGGAGGGTGTGGACGAGGTAGGCGCGCACTGTGGGTTATTCTTCCCTGGACCGCAGTATGCGGCGCTGCTGGGCGATACGACGGAGAGGATTCAGGGGTGGGTGAATGATGATGCGACGAGGAGGGCGATTTTAGATTTACATAGCCTGGATTAGGGGGTCTGGGTTAGTGGTGGGTGGTGGATATTACTGTATGTACAGTAGTTAGTTCGCATGCGGTGGTTTATGGACACTAGATAGATTCATGAAGTTATGATACCCCATCTCTCCCTCCCTCTGCCCATTCTAGCTATTTTCTAACGCACACACGTCTATTTCGGATCTATATACACATGAGAAATCGATCGCTTCGCCCTGTGCGGAACAGGATGCAATATGGACATTGGTATCATCGTATTTATACACCCCCCCCCTCCCCCTATCCCAACCCTTTCACCCCCCGCTAGAGCCCCCCTAGCCCCCCTCACTCCCCTCCTTAGCATGCTTCAGCTTCAACCTCTTCTCCTGCTTCATAAACTCCAAAATCCCCACCGGCACCCCCTTAAACACCTCCCCACTCAACCCTTCATCCCAATTCGTCTCACTCCCCCCCCCATCATCATCCATACTCGTCGCCTCCTCCCCCCCCTTCACTCCCTTCCCCCCCATACCAACACCCACCTCCCTCCCCACCGCCCTCTCCGCCCTCGCCTTCGCCGCCGCCCACTCCTCCACCTCCTCCCCGAACTGATCCCACACACAATTCACACACCCGCTCATACAGCAATTATCCGGCTCCTCCGGTTTTGGCGGGACCAACACCCCGGCTACTAATTCGCTCTTGCTGGCTAGCTCGGCGCGCCGTTCTGCTGGCCCTGCTAGGCGGGATCCGAAGACGACGCGGGCGCGCGCGATGTTCTCTTCTTTCATGGACTTGGGGGGGGAAGTCGGAGGCGGCGGTGGGTGTGGGTCCGCGGTGAAGGCGCCGGAGAGGGGGTGGGAGAGGAGGGATTCGTAGTAGGGACCCAGGGGTTTGGCTTGGGGCCATTCGGGGCTGGAGGGGGTGTTGGTGCTGTGGTGGCGGGTATGGCGAGGGAGGGCGGAAAAGCGCGGTGCGGTGCGGCGCACGAGGTGGTGGAGGGCGCGGGTTTCCATGTTTGTGATTTCTGAGTTCGTGCCCTTTGAGATGTGATGGGCGGGCTGCGCGGGCGTAGTGTGGTTGTTGTGGGTATATTGTTATATCATGTGTGCATTTTATGTTGTTGTGTTGTGGTGTAATTGTGTGGTGAGTCGGAGTAGAAGATCGGAGCCGGAAAATGTTTAGCATTGGCATCCATGACGTCCTCTCCGAGGGCCGCGGGATGCCCGCCACCGGGGCGATAAGGCACGTAGGTCCCTTGCTTTGCTCGTGGCAGCGTTGTGGGCGCCACGGTGCGGGATAACTTTCTAGCGAGTGGATGGCCCAAAGTCGCGTCCTTTTGGGCTGGGCCTGTAATAATACGCGACTTCAAAACACCCAAGCTCCCAAAACGAACGACGGAGCAACGATTGAAGATTGGCAATTTGTCGAGATACGGATATAAAGATACATACACGAGACGAGGAGCGCATGGAAGCAAGCATTGGAGCGTAGATTGCGATGTCGCAGTCCCCCAGCAAGCGGCGCAAGTTGTCCCCCGAGGTTGGCGCGCCGAGCACACCGAGTCGCATTCCGGGACCGAGGGGGACGGAGAGGGCTACGACGCCTGTGAGGGGTACGCCGGGCAGAGGACCATCTGCGTCGCCGAGTAAGAGGGCTGCGAGTGTGTCGCGACAAGCTGCGCAGGATGTGGGGTCCCAAGCTACAGAAAGCGCTGAGGTGCCGGGGATAATTGGACAAGGAGCGCAGACGGGAGAGGTGGAAACGACGACACCGAGGAGGACGAGAAGGACGCCGGGGGGTGGAATGACGGCTGCGCCGAGGAGGAGGTCGCAGTCGCCGCAGAAACAGGATCCGAAGCCTGCGACTGCGGCGGGAGGGGCTGATGAGCAAAATCCGTTCCAGAAGAAGGGGTTGAGACGATCGCCTATACCTACGACGGGACCGGCTGGGGGGACGGATGAGCAGAATCCGTTTCAGAAGAAGGGGGGACTACGACGATCGCCTATACCAGAGGCGGGGGCTGCTGAGGTGCAAACGCAGACGGGGGAGACGCAGGAAGTGCCGGTGGTGGCTAGGCCTACGACGCCTACGCCGAAGTCGACTACGCCGCAGTCGATTCCGCCAGCTCGTGTGGTAACTACGGAGATAATGGATCCCTTTAAAAAGGGTGGACTACGTCGATCGGATATTGCTTCTCCAGCCCCTGTATCGGTCACAGCGCCAATCGAACCAACCGAGCCTACGGATCCCTTCAAGAAGAGCGGATTACGTCGTTCGGATGTCGCTTCCCCAGCACCTACACCTACAGCACCTACAGCACCTGCAGCGCCTGTATCGACTGTAGCGACTGTAGCACCTGTAGCGCCTGTCGCGCGTGTAGCTACCACAGAACCTATGGATCCCTTCAAAAAGGGCGGACTACGTCGTTCAGACATTGCTTCCCCAGCGCCTGCCGCAGCACCCACGGAGTCTACCGAGCCTGCCGACCCCTTTAAAAAGAGCGGACTGCGCCGGTCAGATGTTACTTCTCCTGCCCCTGTGGTGGCTGCTGTGCCCACCGAGCCAACGGAGCCTACCAACCCCTTTAAAAAGAGTGGGTTGCGTCGGTCAGACGTTGCTTCACCGGCCCCCGTGGCGCCCACGGAGCCTGCGGACCCGTTTAAAAAGGGCGGCCTACGCCGATCGAACGTTGCTCCCACAGCGCCTGCAAATGATACGCCCGCAGAGAAGCCAGGTACCGAGGAAACACCTACAGAGAACACACCCACAGAGAGAGCAGTCACTGAGGAAACACTCCAAAATACACAGAGCACCGCCCCTCCCAATCCTCCGGTTCAAGAACCAACGCCAGAGCCGCAACCGCAACCGCAACCACAGCCAGAACCTCAAGCAGAACTCGAACCGGAACCCGAGCTCCCCCCAACTCCAACCCAACTCGGCATCCCAGATCCTGTCGTCACCACCGAACCAACAGGGATCCACAACACGCCGAGCAAGCGCCCCAAGCGCCCCAGGAGCACAACTCTCAAATCCTCACCCCTTAAACCCCGCGACCCGCCACCCACCCAGCCGCCACCACCAGCAGTAGCGGCAACAGCCTCAGTCTCAGCCTCAGCCTCAACATCAGCCCCCCCTCCTTCCGCCTTCCCTTTAAAACCCAAAACAAAACCAACAACAACAACAACAACAACAACCTCCGAACCCCCCTCCAAACGCCGCAAGCAATCCCCTCCTCCCTCCCGCAACCTCCTACCTCCCGACCCTTACGCGGCAAAAAAACGCCGCCGCGCCGCCCTCCTCGCCGAAGTAGCCCAGCTCGAAGCAGATCTCGCCCTCGCCGAAGCGGAGAACGCGCGGATCCGCCGGCACCACGAGGCTGGACGGCGGGAGGTCCCCGCGCCGAAGAATGAGGATGCGATTTTCGACTTGCTTCTTAGGGCTGCGCGGCCGAGGGTCCCTCCAGGAGAGGAGGAGAGGCCGAGGAAGAGGAGCGTTATGATGAATGTTGGCGCCTTTTTGCCGTTTGCGAAGAAGAGGAGGACGCCGGTGGTGAGCAAACAGGTGGTGAAGGAGGGGGAGTTGCCGTCGTATGGGCCGGTTGAGGTGGAGGATCCGATGCCGTATCTCTCTGTCTTTTCGCCGCTGGGGTTTACGTCTACGACTACGATTTTGCCCTCTGTAGGCGAGTCCGGGGCGGTGTTACAGCGGCGCGATGTTGTGGCGAAAGCGCCGGGGGGACTATTTCATGCACGCGTCGGGGTGGTGGTTGATACGGCCTCGTTGACGGTTGTGGCCGTCGACGTGGATGGGTTGGATGGAAACGCCGAGCCGGAAATTGGGCGGTGGATGAGGGAGAGGGCGGGGGAGGGGGTGTTGGGTCGGGATGTGAATGCGGTGTTTTATGGGATGGGGCAGTGGGTTGAAGGGGCGGCGAAGAGGGCGAGGTTTTGGTGCCAGATTGGGGAGGAGTTTGCTGGGGGCGGAAGGGGGAAGGGGAAGGAGAAGAGGAGGAAGGGGAAGGGTAGGGAGGGAGAGGATGTGGAGTTAGATGAGGGAGTGGGCGCGGGGAAGTGGACGGCTAAGGATTTGCTACCGCATATGAGACGCACGGCGCTCGTGCTGCCGGTTGAGGATGTGGAGGTCATGGTGGAGTGGCGCATCGCGCTCGACTGGACGGGCGAGGCGGAACATGCTATCTCGGCGTCGGCGCGGGTGCCTCGGGGATGTAAGTTCTATTCTATCCTGACAATGGGTTGTGCCTGTTACTAACTAGATGCAGGGCATGAGCAAGATGAGCGGCGCAGTCTGACGAGGGTGCCGGAGATGTTTCGGAAGCTGGTGGAGAGTCGCGGGCCGGTGGTGGCGGTGAGGACTGTGGTGGCTGGCTTGCTGGGTTGAAGGGGTCGATTGAATGGGGTTATGTGGTATGATTGCATGGTGTAGAGAGGGGATATGAGAGGGGTATAGCACAGCAGCGCACGATTATGACAATGATACCCGTTTACCCATCCTCATTCACCGCGCCCATCTCCTTGTAATCGTACAACTCTCAGATTCCATTTATATATGCGCTACATGATATTATGAACTCCAACCAACCCCCTGCCGGCTTTTCCCCTGCCAAACCGCAGTCCGCAGTCCGCATATGCATTATCCCCTCTCCCCTTCCCTGCCAGCCACCCCATATATCTCGCCGCATAAGCGCTAATCCACATCCACCCCCTTCTTCCTCAGATCCGCGCGCGCCTCATCGATCTCGAGCATCAGCTCTGCGTGCGCGGCGGGGACATCGTTGAAGGTGAAGACGCCGAGGCCGAGCTTGAAGAGGAGGTAGGAGCCGAAGGAGACGAGGGCCCAGAAGGGGAGCTGTGCGGCGGGTGTTAGCTTGTGTTCTTTGACTTTCTTGGGAGGCAGACGGGGGGACGAACGACGGGGATGATTTCGGATTGGATTAGTGCCGGGAGAGGGACGAGTTCGAGGTAGAGAGACAGGTAGAGCTGCGGCGTGTTAGTGGGGTCTGCTTGGTCTGCATGTCTGTCTTGGGGGGTTGGGGGGTTGGGGGCGGGGAGGGGGGACGTACGGAGGAGACCAGGAGGGCCAGGGAGATTGTTTGTTGTGCCTTCGTCATGATTGCTATGGGTATGTGCGTCCGGCTGTGCGATGACGCGTGGAAATGGTGGCTGTTGCGGGGGAGCTGCGAGCTTATTGCCTTTGTTGGCGCTGATGCCTTTTGGGTTCTTGGGGATTTCTTGGGAAGGGAAGGCGTCAAGGGCGAGATAGCTGTCCTTGGGAATTACCCGATTGGGGACTAGAGGATATTTGGGCGCGTGTGTTCGATTGACACGTGACTGGCCCTCGCTCGGATCGCTGGTTTTGTTTTTACGAGGTACGAGTAGCGCCATTGCACGTGCACGTCCCTCCTATCAATATTTGACCGTTGGGGCTGTGCTGCAGATGTTATGTAATCCGTCCATTGAGCGCATTTTGTTTCCCACTTTGGCCATTTATTTGTTGGGTTTTAATTTATGAGTTTATTGATTATTGTCTGGGAGGGTTGCGAGGTATCACAGGCATTCTACGAGGCAATTCGAAGGGACAAGTATTATTTAATTATCGGGCCTTCTCACCCCTTATATGTGGTATGCACGTGTGAGAGTTTCTTTCAACCCCACCATGTAAAGAAGCTTATCTCCACAATCAGACGAAAATTGACAATGGGCGAAAGGGTCCAGATAAAATAAATCATATTCGATAATAGCGTGTAAATATTGGTAAAAATCAGGGCATTACTTGCTGATTTTTCTGTATTCCCTGTATTTTATTTGGAATAATGCTGCGCATTCTTGGCCGTCTTATCGTTTCCAGACGTCTTCTCTGCAGTTGCCTAAAGCAGGCTGGGGTAGGTGGTGTGCGAGCTCACAATAATTGGAGATCTTACTGACCTAAGCAACATCCACACAACCTTCCTTCTCCCACTCTTACCCCCCCTTCCCCTCCAACAAACCCACAACAACCTGTGTACAAATTCCCCATTTTGGCAATATATACCCACGTATAATACTCCACACTTGTCCCCGCTAAGGGCCTGTTGCAGTCAGACACCACCGGGCAACCTGTAGGGTGCACCCACGACACTGGGTTCGCTTCTCACTTCCTGTCAGTGCTGCTTACCAAAGGCGGGCATCGTGGCGCAGCTCCCAGACTTGCAGCTTCCAGCAAGGCTGTGTTCCTGGCGGTCCAACTGCATTGCTCGATCTTCGTTCCACGGTCTCCACGCCAGACTTGGTCCGCTACTGTCCCACTGAAACTGAATGGGCGGTGACACGAGCCAGGCGGCCCGCAGCAGCATGCATGGATATGATGCCGGAATGGTTGGGGACATGGCTGGGATTTTGGGGCCCTCCAGTACTTATGCCGCTGCTAATGCCAATGCGCCCTCCCCGTTTGCCATATACCTCGCCGAAGACGAGTCCTTGCAGGCTGGACAACAGCAAGACCAGGAACCAGATGCTCTGATGGATGCTGTTTTGAAGCTGTTCTCGTTGGACGAGAGTGATCCGTTGGCAAATGGAGGAGATGAAGATGAGGAGGAGGATGTAGTGGTGGACTTGGAGGACCAGCAGCTGAGGACTGACCGCCTGAGGGGCATCACGTTGTCTTTGGACCAGCTCTGGTGGTCTGGTCAAGTGTACATGGCAGCAGCGGCGGAAAAGCTTGCAGATGGAAGCAGAGATTGTAAGTTGTATTCCTTATCAGTCATGGGAGTTTTGAGTTCCGTATTGGATTCAAATGACCTCTCTGGCGCTTTCTAACTCCAAGAAAAATGGCTGTCCTCGTCCACACACTAACTCATACTTATAGACCGCTGGAGGATACCAATGGGAAACTCTGGTCTCGTGGACGCCTTCTTGATGATAGTGGCCACAGAAGGCATTCAAAATTCCCTCATGATCCATGTTTTAAGGTTAATTGGAAACACGTGTGCGGACACAGGTATTTGACACCAAAATCCCCACAATCCCCTGCTAACCAATACCCTCAAGATGAGAATAGAGCAAGAGTTGTCTCAAGAGGCTCCTTGCAAGCGATAATAGCTTTGCTAAAAGACAAAAGCCTTGTTCCCTTCGTGGTGCCAGTGCTATTTAATATATGCTTTGATTATGGTATGTGGCTCTCCAACCTCTACCTATCTCTTGCTAAGTCGTATCAGAACCTGCACAAAAGCAAGCGTCGGAATTCAACCTGAGCAAAGCTCTAGTTCAATTTATCACGGATCCAGATTTTGAAGAACACAGGCCATTTTTAGGCTATGCGTGTAAACTTCTAGACATGGTAGTTGTACAACGTAAGACAAGTCTCCCCCATTGGACATAAACATTACTAACCCAAAAAGCCAATGAACCCTCACTTGCCCCTGAAAACACGGTTGAGGTTCTGTTGAATCTAGCCGTATCAGGGAAGTCACCTCTAGACCTGGAAGACTTTATTAGCGTTGTTAGTTCAGCTACTAAATACCTCCAACATCCTCGCTTCCAAGTCGCGCTGTGCAATTCAATGGCATTATATGCGGCCCTTAGGCTAGTACTATTATCTTATACTCGGCTTGAGGATAGTATGGGCGAAGCGGCTGCCCCGGATGAAGAGGACACCAAGCGCCTCGCTGTATGGAGGACTGAGATGAATCAAGTCCTTTCAGACATATCGGCACTCCCCGAATTCGCTGCGAGATGCCCTGTAAACTCGACCATGTCTAGCTACCTAAGGAAATGGCTGTCATCGCCGCAACTCCAACTACAAGTCTGCGCTTGCATAATGCTCGGCAATCTAGCACGCTCAGACGAAGTATGCGAGGAGTTTGTCCAAAAGAGCCGCATCCACAAACCCCTTATGGACATCCTCACCACAGCAACCGACTCCCAAGTCCTCTACGCCGCCATCGGCTTCCTCAAAAATCTCGCCCTCCCCGCTCGCAACAAAGTCGAGCTAGGCAACGCCGATCTCATCGAGATCCTACCCCGCCTCTGGGCCATGGATACGCTTCCCCAGATCCAGTACTCAGCGATCAGCCTGGCGCGCCAACTCCTCATCGGTAACTTCCCCAACGTCCTCCGCATCTCCGCGCCCCTCTCCGCCGACCCCGATTCCCCCGCGAACGAGAAATCCCGCCTATCAGTCCTCATCTCTATCTTTGGCCGCAGCGACGCCGAGCCTGTGCGCATGGAGATCGCCCGCGCCCTTGCCGCCGTATGTCGCGTTCTCGCTGCGCGCACACCCGCACCTGGCACCGATGCGGTGACCCTCCAGACGAGGCGCCGCGAGCTCTTCGAGCGTCATCGCGATATCGGTACCCCGCTTAGCTTCCTGGTCTCGCAGACTAAGTGGCCTGTTGTGCGCAGCGAGGGTTGGTTCGTTCTGGCGCTGTTGGCGCGCACGGAGGAGGGCGTTCAGTGCGTGGCGGATATTATGCATGAGATTGATGTGTTTACCCCGCTGATGGATCTCATGACGGGCAAGACCTTCATCGAGCGCATGTCCTCCCCAATGACTTCGCCGACGGAGGCGACTAGCTCGTTGCTTGCGGAGCTTATGGCTGCCAAGGATGGATCGGGTGCGGCTGCGGGAGGTGCTGCGGCGGTGGGTACGACGAAAGAGGCGGAAATGGCGAGGATTGATCGCGAGAATGCGCTTGTGCTTGTTAGCGAGCTGTTGCGGCGACGGGGGTCGACAATGGCGTTTATGCGGCGCATTGCGTTTGAAGAGCTCCTGCAGGATGGTGGAAGCTTGCATGTCGAAAATCTGGCGGCAGAGGCGGCGACGCCACCGCCGCTGCCATTGACGCAGACGAGTAGCGAAAGTTCATTTATGATGGATAGTGTGATGGGTGATAGCAACCATGAGATGTTTAACTGAGTGGTGGTGTGGAGGGTGGTGGTTTGGGCTATGTGATGGGATTGAAATGCATGGATGGATAACTGGGATTAGATAAAGGAGAAAAGGGGTTTACTTTAACGGGTATAATTGGGCACTCGACACTTTCCGTGGATTTCTTCACAAGACTAGAAATTGAAAAACAAACACAATTCTCAGAGCTATGATCTAGGACCATTCTAGCGAGTGGAATCAATTACGATGGAATTTATGTTTTTCATTTCCCCGTCTGCCCTCGCTATATGCCACATATTGCCAATAGATTGGTATCCCACACAACCTCCAAGCGCCAAACCCCAGCAATCCTAACATATAAATAAACAGGCATTATTCCTCATCACTGCTATCCACCACAAACCCACCAAATGCCCTCCCTCTCGGCCGCCGCGGAGCAGGTATGTCCTCATCATCGTCATCGTCAAGGTCCACCATCCCGACATCCCTCCCACCAGCCGCGGTACTACCCTCTTTACTCTCAACATCTTCAGTATCAAGCCTCGCCCGCTTCGGCCCCGAGGGCCGTGTATGTGGACTCGACAGCGGTGTCTCAGTCTCTATCTCCTCGCCCGACTCCACATCGACCGATCTCTTCTGACTCCCACTAGACGGCGGACTCACAGCCACCACAGCATCCTCATCGCTGTCGTTCTCGTTCACGGCAGCCACGACTGGCACCTTAGGCTTCTTCTTCTCCACCCCACTTGCCGCTGTACCTATCGCCTCCGCGACCAACAGCCCCCTCCTTACTTTCGCCCTCGTCCTCTCCTCCTCAGCGAAAAACGCCTCGTCGCGCTCCGCATCACTCTCATCATCGCTATCATGCACAAACAACTCGCTCTTAATCTTCCGTTGCTTCTCGAGGTCCTTCGCGCGGCGTGCTCGGTCCCTGGCCGCCAACTGCTCCTCGTCGAGCGCATCATCCTCGGTCCCACTGCGCCGGCGCTTCCGTCGCGTCTTCTTCAGCGCGGCGAAGGCGTCCGATTTACTCATCGGCGTGGGTCCGCCGGCAGGGAAGAGTATCTCGGCATCGTCCTCATCTATTCCGTTGTCTGATTCGTCGTCAAAGGCTGCGCGACGTCTATTTTGGGCGGCAGAGACGCGCCGGATCTGCGCTTCTGCGTTGTACCCATTCTCAAAGGTTGGAGGGTCGAACTCTGCGGCCTTGATTAGGGTGAGCGCTTCTTTGAGCTGGGCGGAGGAAAGGTGCGAGGGCACGACCCAAGGGGTGTCGATGTCGTTTTCGTCACCGATGCGGCGAAGGCCGACAAGCGTCATTAGAAGCCGGAGGTAGCCATTCTTGAGCATGGCTGTCTTGCAGGTAGCGTCGCTGGGCTTGGCAACTGTGTCTGTTAGAAGTGTTGGATGTATGGTTTTTTAGGGGGTATCTTACCTATTGATGGGGCTTTAGGAGGGTCTGCAGGCACGGGTGGGGTTTCGCCAGCATCGGTTTCGACGGACTGGATGGGTTCGCTTGCCCCCTCCCAGCTTCTGCGCTCTATCTCAGCAGACGACAGTTGAGATTTGAGCCACTCTAAAAGGTGACCCTCGTTACGGTCAAGCAACGCGCCAACAACAACGCCAATCTGCTGCTCCCATTCAAATCCAGGTTTGACTTCCAGCTCCGCCGCTGCCCGAGCCTTGCTCTCAATGGTTTGCGACTCATATCCGTACTGGAAGAAGTTGGCAGTGTATGTTGTCTTCGAAAACAGCATCTCGACAATAAGCTCGGGGTGTTCCTGGATCTTCTTAACACACTTCCGGAGAATGTGTCTCACTAGCTCGTCCCATTCCTTGTAAGTTTTCGAAGCTGGATCAAGCCCTCCGGGGCCTTTGATAATCTTGTGCAGGAGACGGATAATGTCGACTCTGAAGAGCATGATGCTCATGTCCATCTTAAAGGCCACACGGTACAAGAAACGATGAGCTCTCTTCATCTGTTCTGGTTTTAACTCTTGATAATAAGACACCAATGTGACAAACGTGTCTATACAACCCTGGGTCAGGAACCTAGACGAGAAGCGCTTGAAGTCGAATTTTCTTTCTCTAGAGACCCGCTCCGCCTGCGCGTCATCATTGTCTGAGCCGTCGATTATTTCATCGTCCGCGTCATCCTCTCCGGCGTCTATTGCCGCCTTCTTTTTCCGGCGAACTCGCCTCCGTGACCGTACTTGCAAGTCGGTATTTTGCTTCGAGTAATTTTCGAGGATGCGAATGTAGACATGAGCCAGCTCAGTAGCGGCATCAAGATATCCAAATCCCTGATCTTTGAAAGTGCGGATAATATTAGCAACACGATCATGTGTTGTTTCTTCGTAGAATATACGAGCGAGAATGTTCTCTGCAATCTCCTGATCCTCGTCGAGCTTTGACTCGGACATTTCTTGGACAGTCAGCAGGATCTGTGTAAAGCATTTCATCGAAGCTTTTAGGTCGTCCCATGATTTATCTCCGAAGTGCTTTTCCATTGCGCGGTTCAAGGTGATAAACATCTCTTGATTGAGGACGCTAGCCACAAGCCCAAAGCTGTCATCGGTGTCCTTATCTGCTGCCTTCTTACTTTTCTGCGATTTCTTCGACTGTCGTCGCACGCGTTCAGCTTCGAGGAACCATGAGACAAGGTAAAAGAACTGTCGTGGATGGTATTCGAGGATGCGCTCAGCCTGTCGATCGATTGCCTTTCGCACATTCTGAAAGAGCGGATTGAACCCTGAGTCAAGGAAGTCTTCGACGAACGTTTTCAGGTTGTTACTGGCTCGCTGGCTAAGTTTCTCTGGAGCATCAAAATCCATAGGACCCTTCACTTCCTTTGGCGCACGTGTTGGCGGTTTGAAGGTCTTATTCTTATCCATCTTGTCAAGACTCCGGGCGGTGTTCAATAGGGCATCCTGGCCAGTGACCGTAGACACCTTTCCGTCGTCCCGTTTAACCCACAACATGGTTCCAAATCTACTGTGTCTTGTCGGGGCTGTCCTCGCATTTGCTCTCCTCATCCCGGCTTCCTGATTGAGCAACTTCGCCAGCTCATCATCCTTGTGGCTGTCTAACTGCTTCTCGTTCATGAACAAGGTTTCAATGTCTACGCCTTTGATTAAATGAAAGAGTATTTCCATAACAACGACGTCCTGGGTGTTGAAATCCTCCCCCATGGATGAACAAAGCGCTAGAAGCAGATGGAGAATATCCTGGTAATCGAATGCGTCGATTATTGCTGACCGTGAAATTTCTATTTCGTCTCCATCGTATTGGACGCCCGGCGGAGGAGCTATCATGGCGATATTACGAAGTAGGTAGAGGACCATTCTGATCACGTTCTCATCTCGAGTACTGCGATCTTTCAAAGCGACGGCCATGGCAGGTAGCGCAACCCGGGTCACGGTGTGTAGAATTCGCGCCCCATCGTAGTTGACTATCGAGCGCTTGTAGCCCACTTGAGCGAGTTGGAGGAATGGAATATGGCGATGGTGATTCACAGTCATCTCAACCCCTTTATCCAACGGCCATGTCAACGGTACGAGAAGTTCCACGCATGCGAGCGCTATCCGCGACTTTATCTTGTTGTCGGTTTCGTTTTCGGGCCAAGCTGCCAGGATCTGAAGCAGGTCGCCGCCAACCAAGTTCAACTCCGCGAGACATCGTGCCACGTCCAGTCGATTCGCCTTTTCGTCGTATAGCTTCAACCATCGTTTTATATCCCGCAAACAGGCGAGAGCATCATCTCCGAGCACATAGCGTCCATCCTCGTCCGAACCGCTGCCGCCAAGCTGCGAAGACTCTTAGTGAAAGTTATGGTGGGCGGAATGCGTATAAACATACCGCTGTAACGAGACTGGAGACGTAAGCCTGAACTTCAGGATCTACGACCGCCTTTGAGCCGTCGGCCAACTCCATTGCTGGGTTTATTCGTTGAATTATCACGACCCTCACATTTCTGATGCTCTTTACGCGTACCCGAATTGGGTAGACGCGACGTGAATGCGGGGCGGGTTGTCGGAGAAACTTAGGCGCCGGCACCGGATAAACCTCGGGGGAACAGACCTCGGGATCACGGGTAGCCTCGGAGGGTAACTGCCTATGATATCAAGTCTCGGTTTTCAACTTCATTCCCCAAAATTTCCTTCAATTTATTAGCACTTTTGTTTGTGCATCATAATTACTATGGCTACAGCACTTCTCAGACGGCAATTGCTGCAATCCAGCAGCCATGCAAGGACTTTCAGCTCGAGTCCTATCGTTGCTGCTGGCGCCGTTAAGAAGCTCGGTGTAATTGGGGCCGGACAGATGGTAAACACGCTACAAGGTTAACTTGCGCTTTCCATTACTGACTTCGATGACAGGGTCTGGGAATAGCCCTTGTTGCTGCCCGAAATGCTGGTGTCCCAGTGACTCTCCTCGACACTTCCCAGGCTTCAATTGACAAAGGCCTCAAGTTCGCTGGCATGTGACTGCCCCTCCCAAACACAGGACGCCCTCTAACTTCACCACTCCTGCAGATAAACTCCTTGCCAAAGATGTCGCCAAAGAGCGCATTTCCCAGTCAGATGCCGACCTTATTCGCAGCCGTCTCACCTCGACCACCAACATGGACGACCTCTCGTCGGTCGACTTCGTCATCGAAGCCGTCCCCGAGATCCCATCCCTGAAGTTCGACATCTTCTCGCGCCTTGGGCAAATCGCCCCGGCCCACGCGATCCTGGCCACCAACACCTCCTCCATCTCTATCACTCGCATCGCAGCAGCCACGACCCAGGACCCAACCAACACCTCGGTGTCATCGCGCGTTGTCGCAACGCACTTCATGAACCCCGTCCCCATCCAGAAGGGTGTCGAGATCATCTCTGGACTCCAGACTAGCCAGGAGACTCTGGATACTGCTGTTGAGTTCTGCAAGGCAATGGGAAAGATCCCATCTGTGTCGGCTGACAGGCCTGGTTTCCTCGCAAACCGCATCCTGATGCCATATATCAACGAGGCCATCATCTGCCTCGAAACCGGCGTCGGCCAGCGTGACGATATTGATGCCATTATGAAGAACGGCACCGGTGTTCCCATGGGCCCGCTTCAACTTGCAGACTTCATTGGCATTGACACCTGTCTCGCTATTATGAAGGTGCTGTATGAGGATACTGGAGATTCGAAATACAGACCTAGCGTTCTGCTGAAGGGTATGGTGGATGCTGGATGGCTCGGAAAGAAGAGCGGGAAGGGGTGAGTTTGAATTCTCAAAAATGCAAAATCGAAGTACTGACAATGTTTAGTTTCTACGACTATTAAATAAAACGTGGGCGCGGAGGGAATGGAAGGAGCCACAGTGTGTAACCACTATATATAACATCATTCTGCAGTCAATTGATATGGCACGAGAGGCTACATAGCGCTATGTAGATCAATGTTTTTGGCAGACGCGATTGAATCAGATTTATACAAGCCAGAGATCCTGCTCGAAGCTACAAAAACGATATAGACAAATAATCAGAATAACCTCCATGCGCACCCCCACCACCCATCCACCCGTATCCCATCCCATGATTTCTAAGGTCTATTAACCTTTCGAAGATCGCCGACGTAACCAGTGGGTCTAATCCGATAAGAGCCAAACATATGAACAGTAGAAATCAGTTCGTCGTGACAGAAATTGATAGCATCGGCACCCTAACCAAAAAAAAATTGTTGGACAGGGTAATGTGTTGATATGTACTTTCGTAAAACGTTAAAAAAAGTGACAGAGAAGTAGAAGAAGCACTGCGACAGAAGGCAGATAAAGCAAATCGTAAACGCCAATTCCTGGTTGATACCCCCAATCCAGCCTTGTCTCATATCCCAAAACCCTCTCCTCATTCATAACCCAAACATTCGTAAAACAGCAAACATAAACATAAAACATAAACATAAAATAGCAAAATCCGATTCGACCCGTTTCCCAAAATTCCCTCAATTGGATGCCTTTTTTTTTGTTTGTCCATTTCTCCGTTGCCGCCGATCATAATTTTGCCGTAAAAATACACTTTGCGTGGCGGAACCAGGGGATGGAGCCGGAGGACAGGGGCCGCACGCCTCGGGCCGCCGAACCGCAACTATTGTCAAGCCCTGGGCACGTCCCGCATCACTGCCCATCGTAGGAGCCCGACATACTGTATGTCCGCTTGCGCCGCTTCATAGAGTTGAGATCATACTCATCTTGGCGCAGGTAGTGTGCCGTCTCGCCCTGCTGCTGTTGCTGGGGTTGGTGTTGAGCCTGCGGCTGGTCCTGCGAGTCCTCCAGGCCTAGTCCGTGGTGCTGCCTGCCTAGTGTACTTTGCTCTGTCGCTGCTGGACGACCTGGACTCATGCTCTGCGAATATGCAGCAGCAAAGTCCGCTGCTGGCGCCATGGGCGCACTGAGCTGTGAGAGGTGGTATTCTCGAGGCCCAGCGTCGATGGGGGTTCTGGGGATGTGGAACTCGGCGGGGGCCATAAGGGGAGCGCTCTGGAAGCCGCCACTGCTGAAGGCACTAGCAAATGTAGCCGCGCGCGCAGTGGCGGGGATGGGTTGGTTAGGGCTCTGGGAAGAGACTGAGCGGTATTGGCTGCGGAGATCAAGGCCGGAAGGAAAGGTTGCTGAGTTGGCTCGGTAGCGAGAGACAGGCGGTGTGGAGGGTTGGGTATTGGCTGGATGAGATGTTGGGTATGTGAGGTGACTTGGAGATGTGTGGATATTGGAGTCTACAGCAATGTTAGTGATGTACAATGTAGAATAAATCGCAAATACTTACTTGGATATGTAGAATTATCGTATTGCTGCTGCTGGTTGACTCCATTCCCTCCTGGTTGGTCGCCTTGGTATATGGATGCTTGTCGGCCATTACTGGACGGGCTCTGGGGACCTGGTGGTGGGTAGCTTGCATAATCTATGGAATCTCCCTTCCACGACATGCTGGAGCGTAGAGGTGATTGTAGTGACTCTGACCTAGACCTCGACATTGTCTCTCGTAGTTGCAATGGCTGTAACGGCCGCGCCCCTTGTCTAGAAGCCTGCATACCGTAACCGTCCATACTATTATGGCGATTGTACACAGTTGAATTTCGAGCTCCTGTGCCTCCTGGGTTCGCCAGGTGGTTCGAGTAGTATCTGTCACCACCTCCAAGCGAAAGAGGCGAAAGCATATCAGGCGAGCCCTGAGAGGCAAATCCAACATGGCCAAATGCGGGACTGAGGCCTGTTGGTGAGAGATGCTCCTCATGTTCTTGGCGTCTCATGGTGTCAACCATCAACGGGCGCATTCCCATGCCTGGATCTCCGTAGTTCTGAGAATAGTCTACTGGAGACTGCAACGGAGTGCCAATACCGTGCACAGCACCGTAGGGTGAGTGGAGTGCCTGCACATTATCGAAGTCGTCGGGGACGGCTCTCATCTTCATCATCCTCTCTCGGTCATCGGCTGTAAGACGCTTAATTTTTGCACGTCTTCGGATTGTTAGCTACGATCTACCTTTAGAGAGGGATTGCATACCTGTTCTGAAACCAAACCTGGACCTGCCTGGGGCTTAAGCCGGGGATCTCTCGTGAGAGACGCTCCCGATGAGCCGCATCCGGATGGGCTTGCTTTGCAAACTCGCTCATCAAGAATCGAGTTTGCTGGTGTGTAAGTCTTGAAAGTTAAGTTAGCATCAATTAACCTATCCCAGGATTTAGAACTTGTGCACACCTAAAGCGTTTCATCTTTCTCCGTTCCGCTCTACGTTCGGCGTCTGTTTGTGGAGGCCTTCCTTCTCCTCCAACTCCCTCTTCGCCATCAAGCATATCGTCGTCGTCATCATCATCATCGTCATCGTCTACCTTAACCTCGCTTTGGCCGAGGCTTTCTGCTGGTGGGCCAGGCGCCTCAGTCTTTACTTCTAGCGTGGGGCTCGACTTTGAGTTCGCAGGAAGCTCTGGTAGGTTCGACGGCTCTGGGAGCCTAAAGCCTTCCTGTTTCAGGCCATTGACAGGCGGAGCAGAATCGGGACGCTCAGTTGGTGGGTTTGAGAATGATTCTTGCCTGTCCTCAACTTGAGCCAGGTTATGCCGATGTGATAGTGGAGGGCGTGGTGCAAAGAGCTGGTTGGTAATAGGCGCATCCACAGGATGCGAGGTTATTGGTTGTTCAAATGGAGGAGATAGAACAGTCTCGGTGGGTGGAAGGTATTGAGAATACGCATCCCGCCAGTCCGGCTGCGTTGTCAATGGCTCAAGGTTCGACATGCGTGAAGCCGTCGGTTGGTAAGGGCTCCCAAGCTTGTTAGAGGACCAATTGTGCCGTACAGTATCGCATTGCCGGGTGACAAGCATTGGGTTGGTTATCTGAGGGCTTGAAGTTGTGTTATTCCGAGAGGGCTTCGAAAGAGCTAATTCAAACAGCTGGCCGAGGTCTAGCTGGAAAGGACGGGAAATCTGTCGCTGTGCCGGGTGATGAACGAAAGTGAGGGCCTCAACGAACGACTGTTGTTGACCGAGCAAAATGATGGCGGGATATATGCTTCTCAGCCACGCGCCTGTGGACTAATGGCGATTGAAGGAACGAACTTCTCGACTGGGCCAGCCAAATATCGTCCTCAGAATAGGGATGAGCTCAATCAAATATTCCGATCTTCTTGCGTCAGACGCGGTTAATCAGCTCATCAACAAAGCCTAAAAGTAGTGCTTCGTAATTTGATAATGAGATATCTGGAAACGTCTAGAAATTCTCCGTACACCAAGCCAACTCCTGGCGGCTAGGGCGATCAGATATTGACTTTGAATTCTTTGGTGTTTGCTTGTCGATGTGGCACAGGTCTCTTGATATGGTGGAAATGGATCTCTCAAGTATCAAGTAAGATACAAGTCCATGAGATGCTGCAGCTGAGCTGGTGTATATGTATATGTCTGTAGTTCTGGTGTTTAAGTTTAAGGATGCTCGAAGATCTATTCGAGTAGATGGCGGGGTTTGACGAGTACACAGGTTTGATCGACGAATTGCCTGATGTTATATTGGAGGCACGAAGGGATAGATATGATGCTGAGTCCGGGGATCACCACAACATGATCAGGCGAGCTAAGAACCGTAGATGCTTGAGGGTAAGGACAAAATCCCGGTCCCTTGCTGAACGAGTCCCTAAAAGGATACTTAGTCCCGACAGGAGGGGCTCTGGCCAAAGACTGAGAGGTGAAGCGCTGGATTGAAAGTTACAAGACCATTCCTGAATGGCTATGGGCAAGTGTGGCTTGAAGAAGAAGCGGCAATAGATGTGCACGGCCTCGCCTCAAGTGCCCTTGAGAATGAGCGGGAGAGGGGAACACTCGTAAGATCATCAAAGATGCGAGAGCCTAAAGGAAGGAAAAACCTCGTCCGCGTCAAAGTCACCGAGGAATCTCCACATATTAATGCCTGGTGGCTGATGGCGGATGGACAACCGGTGGTGGCGGTGGTGGGGGAATGTGGTGTAAAATGGAGGTTGGAAGGGGTAATGATGGGACCCGAAGGAGGGGAGGCTGGTACAAACAGTCAAGTCTGCTTCACATACCGTAGTGTACTACAAGCTCATGGTAGACATGTACCTTGTCCACTCTATCGAGAGTTGTGCAGGAGAAAAAGGCTAAGTTGAAAGTGGCCTGGGGTGAGGGGGAGATGGGAGGGGCAGTGACGGTATCGGCGCTGGTATCCGATAATCCCTAGAATATGTGAAGGGTTGGATAAGACCGAGTAGGGCAGTGGCGTACCTGGGCACCGTGCAAGGTAGTGGGCTGGATATACGTCCCGCTCCGGGTTAGTCGCCGAGGGTAGCAGTATCGAGGATATTGACGGTAGCGACGGTAGAGAGAAGCTAGCCGCTGGGGGTAGAAGGCCTCCAGTCGCACATGGAAGGCCACGGTCAAAAGAAGCTGAAGGACGAGCGGAGGGATCGTCGAGGTCTGTGAGCCGTAGCCCAAAAGTAAGAAAGAAAGTACCCTAACTTGGAGTTGACTGGGATAGAGCGTGGATCATTAGCTCCCTCGACGGGGTCTAGAGTTGCAAGGCATGGATGAATGTATGTACTGTGTGTAGATAGATGTACATGCAGGTTTTCAATCCACTCCATCAACAAGGCCGAGCAGCATATGAGAAAGAACCGAGAAGTTTGAATGGCTTGTAACGTTGCTGTGAACTGGGCGGCTAACTTGAGAACTGCAATGACTGATACTCGACTTCTCAATGGAAAAAACGGCCTGACGATAGTGGTGCCTTCTCTCAGAAATGGTTTCTCCAGGGCTGAACTGAATATTGTATTCCGCGTATTCTGGTCTCAGGGACACAGCTCAGAGTGGTCCCTGAGAACGTGACAACCCTGCCATCCACCGGCTCCCCACCAACCAAAATCTGGTAGACATTGCCAGCCAGTCCCCTTCTCTTCGACGTGGCATGGCATGTCGCTAGTGGACCCATCTTCCGCACTCCTCCCGTCACTCCATACTATGGTAGAGAGACAATTCGCTCCGGAGACGTGGAGAGGAGTAGTACCGCACCTTAAGGACGCCACAAACGTATAGCTCAATAACAACGTCTCGAATACGGTCCGAGGTTGGAAAGCATCCCGCAGCTACTGTAATGGAACGGTAGCACATTCGACGGCGCCACGCCAATCGAGCAAAGGCTTCTTCTTTCTTCCTCCGGAGATGAGGGCTTGGCAGTCTAGGACAAGGCCGGGGGGGGGAAAGACAAGGGAGAGGGAGGGGTACTTGCTTCAACGGCGCCAATTGCATGGTACCTTTTCGTGGCATGATCTATCCATACCTTGCTTCTCTTTCCATTCTATGCTGAAAAAAGAAGGGTTGAAGGCTTGTGGACACGGCCGCCTGTACGTGCAGGGGAAGGGTTATATCAGCCGGAGTTTCGCATGTGCAGAAGTCGTCGTCGGTCGCGTCGAGAATTCGTGCTTGCATACGTTCAGGCCTGCATGGAAGCAAGGCAGCCAGACTGTCTTAGCAAAAGTGGGGTTATTGACAGGCATTCCCTGTCATTTTTAGGATGTGAGTAGGATGTGAGGAACGGTTGTCTGTCTCTCCCTGTGTGAGTGCTGGCGGGTATAGTCATGGCAGATATCAAATGTGTAGAAGACTTGTCTCCTGGCCGTCTTCTGTATTGATATGGTTGGTATGTACTAACAAGGTGATTGCACATGAAGAATAGATTGTATGCTTCTCTTCGGAGCTTCTGTTGCTTCTAGTGTCGGGCCGGGGGCTTGTTCGCCGATTTTCAACCGTGGTAGCTCCAGCATAGCGCGGTTCAATCGCGTGGATTTGGGTGCGGCATCCCTGCCCCGCCGTTTGAAATTCACACTCTGGCTGTACAGCTGAGAACTAACCCACTCATGCCCACCTGTCATCTCCACGGTAGGCCGTCCTTAGATATGCATACCGTACACATTTTCTTGCCTGCCGGCGACATTAATGTGTTGTGCAGCACATCCCGCCATACAGGCTTTTCATGGACCATATGTGTCTCTTCCGTCCCTCCCTCCACCACACACCCTTCCAACGCACCCCAGAATCGGGCCCTGTATATTCAATTTATGAGTACCGCGGCTACCCTCCTCCCTTGGCGGGTTCCAATATGAGCCCTTTAACCTTACAGCAACTGTACTTGCGTCACTGGACGTACCGAAGCCTGCTTCAGATCTACGATCCGCAACATCTCTTACAAGCAACTTCCCTGGGCGGGTCCGTAGGGCTTCGTGCGAAACGGAAGCCCCGGAATGTGGACAGCTCGAGGTGGCAGATAGACAGGTAGTCTGGGAAGGAACAGTCAAGTCGATATCCACGCATCACAACATCACAATCCATCCAGCGGACGGTGGTACTTAGGAGCTACGGAGTTGTTGTGAGACATAGGTCCAGCCAAGCGAAGTCAAGCCGGAACAAAGAGACCATCGCCCGACACTTCTGCAGCACGGCATAGTCGAGGGGGGTTAGCGTCAAGGCCCTGACAAGGGACACGACCAATCGCATCGACAACGCCCAAGCATATATCACGTGCATGTTTCTAACGGTGGCGTTGGTAAGCGGGGCTTTAGGGTCGTTCGCTCTTTTGTGGAGTGCTCTTCTGTGATCTCTTGTGCTCTGTCGTATTCTTGATGTGACAATGTTGTAGACAACAGTGATTCAACAATGGTGGTGCAAACTCGCTGTCCCTTTGGATGCGCTGTAGAATCAAACGTGTATTGTTGTGTAGTGCTCGGCTACACAATTGCGATGGGCTGAGTACGAGAAACCCGAGTACGTACACCCATCACCGTGTGCGATCAACATGGCTCCTCCACTCCAAGGGTAGAAGACGGGGCCTCTCTGAATGGCTCGTCCCTCTCTTCGTCCTGCTGTAAGGTCTTGGCAAATTCGCGCGCGCGACACGCACATGTTGTAGATTAGGCTAAGGAGCTGTAGCCAGGGTTGCTGGCGTCAACTCTTCCCTGCCTGTGTACCATGCACATTGGTGTGAGAAAGATCAGGAAATTGCATGGGTCGAAGAGAGGTGGTATGGTGCTCCGATGCAAGGACGGCGCGAAAGGTGCGAAAGTTGCGAAGGGGCGCGAGGGGGTCGCGAAGGATGGGTGCTCCACGCACAGCCACTACCCCTCCAGATGTATGATGTGCACGAAATCCCTCTCCGGCCAACACCATCTGGCTCTGTCTTACTGTACTCCCCCTCCTCTAACCCACTCGGAGATCACCCACTCGCTCACTCGACTCCGCAAGGCTGAAACCTTCCGGAGAAAGCCCGTCGCATAGCAAGCGGCAGGACATTATAACGCCGACACGCCCGAGACGGCCCGCGACTCTCTTTCGTGGCTGCAAAGCGCCGTCCTTCGTCCTTCTTCATCATCTCGCAAATCAAGAATACTCAGAGAATCGCCGAAGATCATGAGAATGAGAAGGAATGTCGCCGGGCAATGCAGGTACCACCGGCTGGCGTGGGTGTGAAACCCTCTCGCTTCCCCGAACCACTTAAGGAATCTCACTCATTTTTTTCTCCCGCAAACTCCGGTCATAGCAATGTCTGTTATTACTGTCGTTATGCACATGAGTCTTTTCTTGCGGTGCTTGGCGCCGGTAAAAGGTCTCGATACTCACTTAGGACGTCGTGGCAGGTAACCCGCATCATTGACGACTATAGCCCGTAGTCTTCTTAAAGCCACGCATGTGTCCAGTAGACTATGGACTAGTGATACACGACATACGACGACTCCAGTGCTATAGTCACATCGCTTTTTCGACTAACCATGTACCCGCCGGAATGGAGTCCGCGCCAAGGCCAACCCGATGATCGCTGTGGAGGCGTGCTGCCCATGTCCTAGGAGACCAAAGCGGCGGCACGTCCACCGACTTTTCAGTGAGGCACCATTCCACCACCCAAATGAGACTTCATTGCGAGTGCGCCGGTTATCCTTTCTTGAATCCTTATCCTTGTCGCTAGGGGATGTCAAACAGCCACACCTGACTAGGGATGTTGCGCGGTTGCAGCCTCCAAGTAACATCGTGCCTTCTGTCTTTGTGGTACCGAAGCTCTGTGCAAACGGCTAAGACGACTTAGACGGAGGGGATCTCGATCGCTGGTGCCTCTTCCAAATGAAAGAATAATCCTGAAACCGCTGGTCTGTCTTTTGAGTCTTCCAGAATCTTTTGGTCCCCTTCCATGAGAAATGTGCCACGAATCACGACCCACTAGGGTTCGGCACAGAATACCGATATGTGCGCGGATTCTTCGCGGATGATATAGGTCCGCTTAAAAGCGTGTGTCGATGCCGATCAGTGTTGACAGAAGGGCATCAATACAGGGTTTATTATACAAGTGGAGTAGCACAACAAGGCGGTTCAAGTTCTCTGTGACCTGGTGATCCTGAATGATAATAAGCCCCTCACTGCCGGGCGGCACCATGCCCCGCAAGTGCAACCAACATTATCTATGTCTGTCTTGGCGACAGTTCCTCAACTATGTTCCTGGGATCCTTCCAAGCGAGAGCCACATACCTGTGTCATGTTAGTATTGATTGGCATTTCCGGCTCGCAGAGCCAGGCTATCGATGGACACCGTACTTCGTATGGCTACCCCGTGCCGCCACTTGTCCCTTGCTATTCGTAAATTGAACTGACGTAAATGCCAGTGTTTTGCCAACTATTGAAGCGGACACCGCCAGCGTCAGGATTCAAGGCAATAGTATCATGGCTTCTCGGAGGAATGCCTACATTTGTCACAGGTCACGACTGCCCGGAGCTTGTCTCCCACCTTTCCGCCTGAGTTTAGGTATGTCACTAAACAAGCTTCAGTTGAGGTCTCCATTTTCCAGGACCGCCCCGCCCCCGCTATTAAGGAGGGTAAGCACCATTAAGATCTGTCGAAACGCCCGTAGCGTATAATCCTCTAGAAGCAACCGCCAGCGAGCCTCCGAGATCGACTGCCACGTTCCTGAGTCAATAACAATATATTTTGTGGGGATATGGGGGAACTTACCCATGCTTGCGATGGTTCCCCCATGGATAATATTCAGGCGATTCTGTGAAGATCTCAGCAACTTGCAAGGAAACCGTTGGAAGGGGCCGGCCTGACGGTGTGTTCTTTCCGGATGTCAAGTTCCATTTCAACGCGCCCTGGTTCCGCCGTCGTCACTCGAAGCTGCGAACGAGTAAATAAGCAACAAAGTAGCCTTGTAGTTCAGGGCATTCCCGGCATATGCTTCATTGACATTGACCGGTAGTAGCGGGTAAACTCACATGTTCTCCGAAGAGTCTATGGCAAAATTCACCAGTTAGCATATGGTCAATATGATATCTTCTCCCTTCTATCCGGCATTGAATGGCTGTATTCCCAAGCGAGCAATTTTTCCCTACTTGGACGTAGACCCTACTGCTCCCAGATCTGGATATTAATTGAAACAGATTACGTGGTCTCGCTTGAAACAATGAGGCTGAAAAGTATACCAGGAATAAAAAAAGGCTCGAAAGTTCGAGGCGCGCCGCGCCGTTTGAACCAATATAACAGAGACTAAAACCATGGACCCAGCACGAGGAGATATGCAGACAATAGGAGAAGTGCCCGGTTTGTGGTGCTTTGATGGCTTACCTTGGTTCCAGCCCCGACTCCGCCTGATATTCACCACGTCAGTATTAGAAGCGGAGATAAATTCCTTGAACGTATCTGTAGGGGCATGTTTTAGAAGATTACCATGAAAGATTTCAGGACCTGTGGGACGTCAGCATTCTAATATACGCGTTCCTGCGGCGTTGGTAAAACAGCTTACGGATCTGACGAATTTTAGGGCAGCCATTGTTGCAGAGGTCCACTGATTGTCTGCCAGATGGATAGGTAAGGAAACAAAATAAGGAGAATAAAATTGCAAGCAAGTATAGAGTAAATTAACTTATTCTGTCCAATGTCTAGACCAGTGTTGGCAGTGCCGATGTCCTCCCGATGGCCATAGTATAGCCGGATGCCGCGAATAAGTTAATCCGCTCCGGCCAAAAAGTGTCAGCCTTGGAGCGCTCACGGATTTAGCTCTGCCTCATCATACAACTGCCAGGCTCTTTCTTGAGGATGATCCAAGAGCAGCCTATCTCTGTGGCAAGATACTCATATCCTTCAATATGCCGGAATCATCACTTGCCTCCTTTGAGTACCTGGAGAAGCTCCCGGGCGTGACTTTCAGACGGCTCTATGAGCAACCGTCTACAGCTCTGGCCGTGTTCCGGCGAATGCTCCCACACCTGGGTAAGTTGCAAGCCGAAAAGACTGTACTTTGATGCACCAGAATCTGATATTCGCTGAGCAGCTAAGTGTTTCGTGATGGGAATGCTATATATGCCCAAACCTTTACTATTGTCTGAGCTGGACAACTGGGTGCGACCAGGCAACAAGAGGTCCGTTTCCCTTGTCCATTCTTGACTTGTCCAGGATCTCATTCGTAGCAGTGAAAAGGGCAAAGCTCTAGCAATTCTATCCCGCCTCCATATCGTGACATCTACCGCCGCGAGCAGAGATGGGCCTCCCGCGCTCAACCTAACCCACAACTTCGCGACCTCTCTCCGACTCGCTTTAACTGGTGGCGGGGACCATGGTTCCTTCGGCATCCCATCAGACAGCACCCAAGACTCCAACATAACTGTCTCTTTCCTCGATGAGTATGCCACGGCCCAATGGGAAGGCATTCTCCACTACGTCGTGAACAGCACCGGTGACCCGTCACTCCTCGGTGCCCAATACCCCTCCGCCAATGTTCGGCAACTCCTCCAGATGGGAGCCCTCGTCGATTCCAAAGGCAAATACAGCGGTGTCGGTATTACCCAGGCCGGCTTCAGTTTCCTCCTGCAAGAGGCCAACGCGCAGGTCTGGACCGTGCTTCTCCTCTGGCTCGAACATGCCGAGGAACTGGCTATGGACCACGTCGATCTACTCTCGTTCTTCTTCCTGCTCGGTTCTCTCGAGCTAGGCCTCGCATATTCCACGACTACCCTTTCAACCACCCAACAATCCATGCTTCCCATCCTCGCAGACTTTGGACTTGTCTATTCTCCCCCTTCATCATCATCATTCTTCCCCACCCGGCTTGCCACAACCCTCACATCCTCCGCCTCGGCACTCCGCTCCATCGCCTCCGGATTCTCCGCAGCTGCAGCCTCCCCCGCCTCCTCCGGTGGTACAACTGGATTCATAGTAATCGAAACCAACTACCGTCTCTACGCCTACACCTCCTCCCCTCTCCAGATCGCCGTTCTTGCCCTCTTCGCCAAACTCTCCACCCGATACCCCAACATGGTATCGGGTCGCGTGACGCGTGACTCTGTCCGCGGCGCGATCGAGCATGGCATCACGGCCGACCAGATTATCTCGTACCTGACGACGCATGCGCACCCACAGCTGCGGCGCAAGACGCCCGTGCTCCCTCCGACGGTCGTTGATCAGATCCGCCTCTGGCAGATTGAGAACGAGCGCATGAAGGCGACGGCAGGCTTCCTGTTCAAGGACTTTGCGTCACTGGCAGAGTATGAAGGCTGCGTCAGGTATGCAGATGAGATTGGTGTGTTGGTGTGGAGGAGTGATGCGAAGAGGAGTTTCTTCGTCACGAAGCATGAGCAGCTGAGGGACTATATCAAGAGTCGAAAGATTAAATAATGGGTCTGAGAAGGCGGGGTGTACTGTCATGCATATTTGGTTTCGCATAGCGTGGCGTTTGGGTTTGGGATAAGGTAAAAGGTCGGTAGCTTCATAGCAAAATAATCTACATCGGTCACGTAAGTATCAAAGAAGATATTCAAATAATTGAACTTTGTCCATTTATTTGCAAATTTCTTGATGTGTTTATTGCTCGGCATATTACCTCTATCAACTATGCCGCCCTTCGTGCCTATCTGTACATGATCCCGTCTCTTCATCAGTGCCTCATTTCTCAATGGCAAAAACTATTCTTACACAACAGCTCCTCCAGCTTCCCACAATTCTTCATTCTTAAGTGCCTCCATAACCTCATCATACTGGTTTGACACCCTTTTCTGGTTAAGGAGGGACCTCTCCATTGCTTTCTTCCGATACATCTTTGCTTCGGCCTTCTTATCGTTCTTCAAAAATCGCTTGTCGCTCAGAACACTCACAGATCTGCTCCTGCTGAAGAACTTCCCAGCCCGAGAGAAGATATTCTCCTTTTCTTGAATTGATCCTCCAATGGGCAGGAGATTCTCGGATTTGAGATTCCTTGCGTATGCCTGCTGGAAGCTCCAGAGGCTCTTCTTGGCATCGGGTGTCTTACAGTGGGTTTCCAACACGGCAAAGACTCGACGGTATCGGAGTTGGTCAGCGTTTGACATGTCATCGTCTTCGAATGACCCCCTTTCATTTTCTATCTCTCGGAGGGCTTCAAGAATAGCTGGTGACTCGAGGTAGTCAATATCAAAGTCCTCGCTGTGAAATTTGTCGTCGAGCGTTCTGTACCGGCCAGCCCAGTAAGCTTGGGGCATACCCGTGCGAACATCTCGAAGGTTAATTTCTGGGTCATTGCTCGGATGGGTCGGCGTACTTGGGCGGGTGACTCTAGAAAAAAAGGCCGCTGGGCCTGAGCTGGATCTGGCTGTATTCGTTTTCGTTGTGTGGCCCCTGAGTGACAAATTGGACGTTGCTTTATGAAGTTTGGTGAGTGAAAACGAGCTTGTTATCGATGTAAGCACCTGGAGTGTGCGGGCTCTGGTGAGCGGTGGCCCTTGCTGTACTGATGGTCCTGGTGTTGGAGCTCGATATTTAGGCTTCGTTTGATGGTTGACCTTCGAGGCCTTCTCTCTATCCTTCTTCTGAGACGGTGGCAAGGCCTGCGTGAAGTTCTCTCCATCCTTCTCCTCGAACGTCGTTGGCAAGACCTGTGTGGGTTTCTCACCCTCGACAACATATTGGTTTCGAACAGGTGCCTTTGCCTTTGAGGCTTGCTTCCTACGGCTGTCAAAATCGCTATGATCACTATCCACAGTAGGATGATTGATACGTTGCCTTTGACCCCCTCCCAGTGAAGCCCGTGTCGGGCTTGGGATTTTCGTTGGTGTTAGGATTCTATTAGAATGCATGAACACTTGAGAAGCAGATGCTGTGAGTCTAGAGGTGGCCACGGTTGGTGTACCACGGAGGTCGATTTCATTTCTGTCAAAAGGTACCAAGCTTCTGTTGCGCTTCCTTCGAACAGCTGGTTTCGTCGATGGAGGAAAGGGGGCTCCAAAATTCACCGACGATTCCGACTTTGGAATGGTTGTTTGTATGGGTGGAAGGAAAGGAGCTCCAAAGTTTACCGATGATCTTGACTTTGGAAGTGAGTTGTAGGTTGGTCTGTATTGACGATCTCGCTCAGAAGTTGTCGGATTAGAGGACGACATGGTCGTATTTGTAACCTGAACTGGATACTATAGTTAGCAGTGGGAACATAAACTTCATTGAGGAGAATTGGATACACCAACCAAGAAATTCAACGGAGGGTATTCTGCAAAGTTGTTGTATTGAAGTTGTTGTTGTGGTTAGGTGAGCAACTCACTCGGACACGAGATGAAATTGGTGGCTGAAGAAGACTTTAACAGTACTTGACGGTAAAAATCGTGCTTGGGGCGAATTGGTTACTGTCAGGACGTGTAATAAGTGAAGTGAAGTTGAGTTGTTGAAGCTTTGTTATGAAATGTCAAGAGCTGGAAACCAGCTCTTGCCCAATTGGGCTTCCTTATGAGGATCGGAAAAGAGCGGTTCGCACGCTCAAGCATATATTCCTCACAACAATCGGATAAAACACCGCTGCAGTTTTGTAGATTCGAGAGAGAAAGAGTGCAAACGTGAAGAAGAGTGGCACAAAGTAGATGTACGATGGGTAGCCGAATTAATAGCTTTGGATGCGTTCTATTGCTCGGCGCTGGGTATACATTTGAGAATAGTCAACAACAAAAAACGACACAATAGAACCTCCCTTCCCATGTAAAACGTTCATCCAAATATACAGAGTAAGAGTAAACGCCTACACGCCAAACGCATATTTCTAAAGTTGCTGTGCCCCATGCAAGCGTTGCTCACCTGCATGATGCTTCTCTGTTTGCAGATGTCGTTAGATGCCGCCTTCAAATCCAGCAGACAATCATAACCGGGCAATATACAGGCTTTGCAGAGCGTGGAGTTGAGTATTTTGTTGCAGCCATATTGCGTCTCATGGCGTTACATGGTGTTTTATCTGTTCTCTTAATTAACAATTACCATTCAATTATTTGCTCCTTATAGACGCGATGTTCTAAGGGCTACATACTCATTATCCAATGCATCCCATCCCTCAATCTGGAACTCAAACTTCATATCTCCCTCGCCGCGTGGTATAGGTTTGCCGAACTCATCCCATAGAGACCTCTCAATAAAGGTTACTTTCCCCTCCCAGTCTACGAGCATAATGGTCTGACGCTGCGTCCCATAAAGGCCACTCATTATTGGTGGTGAAGCAACATTCGGCGTCTCTTCTTCCTCCAACCTCTCCATTGCATCACTCAACTTAGTGTCTGCCTGGATTGTTGTGTCGGATTTTGGTATCCCAACAGCAGGAACCTCATCTCCTATTGACGGGATAAATATTGACTTTCTCAGCTGGAATATGAGCTGGTCGAAAGATTGCCCATTGGCTGGAGGTAATGTGTCCGTGTCCAAGATGTCGAATAGTTTCCGCACCAAGTCATCTTCCCCTAAAGATTCCCTGACGCACTCATCAACAGTCTGCGACAGCTTCTCCTTTCCAAGCTCAACTTTGGGCCAAGTGACTGGATCCATATATGAAGTATTGCTCAACCCATACACCTCTCCTCTCTTTTCCGCAATCCACGGCACCTCCTCAGCGGCTCCGCAGCGATTGCTCACAATAGCCAACGGTGTGACCTCATCCCTCCCGCCTTCCTTTCGCCTCCTCAGCTTGCCACACAGCAGCGAGAAGCCTCCAACATCCTTGACGCCCTCGCCCTCGAGCAGCCTTTCGACAAACGCCCCCGCGTCCTCGTTCTCATTACTCGTCAACCATGCCGTCACCATTCCACCCCTGCTCCGCGACCCCTGCACCGGGTGTTCGATATCATTCGCATCTGTCTCGCGGTAATTCGTCAGGGCAGCAAAGTTGCCGTGTTTCGTAATGCCGAGCCAGGTTCCTTGCTCCTCGCGCTGCAGGTCCCGCGCCGAGAGGATCTCCTGCTTGTTCGCGCGCCACCAGTGCGGGCGCGAGGTTGGGCGTAGGATGAACTCGTCCCGGTTGTCGATGACGACGAGGGCGTACGCGGGGTGCGCCGTCGATACTAGGAGTATGCACATCGTGGATATATGGCCTCTGTGCGACGTGATTTTGGGTATATAATTTGGTAGAGAGAAGACGGTGGTGTCGCGTGCATCATATATATGCGGTGGTGGCGACGAGAACCGATATACGGAAGGGGGGCGAGGTTACGAGGAGACCATAGCATGCAGCACGACGCAGCTCGGGGCCAGACGGGATAATGCAGCTAACTCGGGCTGGAATCGTCAACTAAATTCCTGGGAACTATTTCCCCTTCGGGGTTCTAGGGAGGACAGAAAGTATGGTGTCAAGAACGGATGCAGCATTGCCTGATGTGTTGTCGGCTTTTGACAGGTCCTGCGGGGTAAGCTCGAGTGGACCCGCACACCGTTCATGGGCGGCGGTTGGCCTCAACGTCACAAGCCATGGCTCGGCCCGTGACTGCGATTTCGCAAATAAACAATGTAGTGTAAGGTGTCATGAATTATAAAATTAGACTTCTGCAGATACATTGACGATAATAACATGCAGTTTCTCTTGTAGCTAGTGGGAATCATAGGGATTTGTAGCGTGTTAGATCTCATATATATCCCTACTTCAATCTAGCTTCGACAATATAAAACCATGCTGGTTTGAGGAACTACTGCAATGCATAAATCTCAGTCCCACACGTGCTTTAATTAGCAATTACTTGGTAGGGCTCCGTGTGAGTTAGTACCTGAGCGTGCGGCGGGTTCTTATAGGCCACGAGAATTGTAGCGGCTCCTCGAATGCGACGTCATGACTTGACTTGAGAAACTGAAAATGGCAATTGTGCAAGCTAACAGGCTGCATATGTTCACCGACTTGCCTTTCCAGTCTTTCTGGCCAGGTCTATCCCTGTTAGTCCAAACTCTGTCCTACGGTGGCTCGCCACATATCGTCGCGACTGTCATTGATTGTGTGGTTGAAATTTGGTTCTTGGGTTTAATTTTGCGATCATAACTTGCCATGAAATCCTCAACTCACTGTCGCCCCTTTACATTAAACTGGAATGATGTTTCCCAACCTTAATCTTCTTCTTCTTCATCGCTTCCATCCTCTTCCTTCGTCCCATCGCTCTTCCTATCCTCCTCCCCCTCCCTGGACCCCATCCCACCCACATCCGCATTACACGCACAGTGGCACTCCGGAATCGGGCACTCATTATGCACCTTAAACCAACCTCTCGCATGGTCTGCATGGAACGCATGATCACACTTCATGCAGAAGCTCATGAAGTTCGCGAGTCGCTGATACGGCTCCACAGCGACACGATCCTTATCACTTCGCGGCATGCCTAGCGTCAACAGACAGATGCCACAGCGTGGCAGATGCCGTCCACACTTCGGGCAGCTAATTCCCGCGTGAACGCCAGAGTTATACAGCGGGTTGCGGTCCCCAGTCGCAGAAGCCGCCGAGGCTTTCGGTGTCGAAGCGTTGGAGCCGGTATTGTCGAGATCGTTGGTGAAAGCGGTGTCGCAGTGCATACAACGTAGTGTTACTTGTCGTGGCCGCGGCTTAATAACAGAAAAGCCATCTCTATCCCTACTCTTTTTAGTGCTCTGAACATCAAATCGGCAGCGATCAACGAAGAGGCGATTTTTATTGTGTAGGTCTTGGTAGTCGGCTCGCCACTGCCACACTCTGAAGTCGTCAATGTACAAAGGGGCTGCAAAATGGATAATCAAAGTGGCAGTCTGATAGTCGCCGAACTTCTCAATATAGGCGCTGAGCAGGGACACGGCGCTGTCCGTAATTCCCGTCAGCACGAGGCCTTCGATGTCGCCAGTGCGCACGACTTCTGCGGTTTGTCGGTTGAGCCAGTTAGGAAGCTCAGTGTCGTCGAGGTTATGGAGCGCAACCCCAACTCGGTCTCGCAGTGGTAAAGACGATTCGTTGGCAATTGCGTGCCAATCTCCAGTACTGATGAGTGTATATATTGCCCGGAGATAGGGATCATCAGCCATGTCCGAAAGATCGGACATATTGTAGTCCCACTCTTCCTTTTTAAGTGGTGGATTTCCCTTGACTTGGAGGCTTAGAGCAAGACCGATGAAAAGAAGGTTCTTCCCTCCGCGTTTTAGAGATTCAACTGCTCGCTTCGGATTTTTTTCGAAGAGAGCCCATGCGGCTGCTACTGTATATTGCCCCTTTGCTTCCAGATCCGATAGGTCTTGCTCAAGCTCCGCTGGGGTTTTTCCCCAGCCACATATCGCGAGACACATTTGCCGGTGATGGGGTCGCTTTGTCGGAACGCTTTTGAATAACCCGCGGCCCGCCTTCTTATTAATATCCGCAAGAGCTGCGCTCCAGTCCTCTTCACTTGGTATGGCATCAGTGGTCGGATCAACCAACCTTGATCTATACTTAGCTCCAAGATCATTGTTCCAAATGCTCTGCACGCCCATGTATGCAAGGTTCAACGGGCCGGAAACCATGCCGTCACCAGCAGCAGCGCCTTCTGCACCATCAATCCACACCCACACGTCTTTTAGCCAAGGATCGTCCACAAGGATATTAGCGTTTCTTTGACAGTTAAACAAGTAGCCTTGTTTTATGCGGGCTATCATTAGAGAATTAATTCGATCCGGCCAGGCTTCTTTAGATCCAAGGTCATTCGATTTCCCAGAAAATAACTGTTCGTGGCGTTCCCTACTTGAGAGAATGCGACTTGAGAGTAATCCATCCAACCCTTTGCCAGAAAGTTCATTTGAACGGGCCATGGAGCTTTCGTCGGGCGCAACAAGTACAGTGTCGAATTTTGAAGTAGTACCTGGGCTTGTCGGAGAAAGCGGGGGTTCGGATTTTTTTATCTTTCCGTCAGGGCCGAATTCAATATCCTTCCGTTTCTGCGACTCAAGCAGCGGTTTTAAAACGGCTTCTCTTTCTTTCTCGTCCGAAAACTTCGGTACGGTTCCCCGACTTGTATCTGGCATGGTGTTAGCACGGCTGGTCTGAACTAGGTTGAGATATTTCACATACGCTTTGCTCTCGATGAGAAGTCCATCAAGTCCAGAACAAGGTTTCGAGACAAAGATGGTTTCAAAATGACGCCCATCTTGTGATTGCTTCGTCGTGTGATAACTCTAGGCTGGTAGTACGAAGAGCCGAGTGTCACCCAGTCGAATGATACTATACGGTCATCATGAGAATACCCAAAGTCCTCATTAAAGTAGGGGTATTGCAAATCATGTGACCTTTTAACTTCCAGCAACTCTGGTGATCCTTCAGTATCATTCTCAGACATTGGCTCTATGTATTCTTTTTCGGTGCAAATGAGTTGCAACTCTCCAGCGCTGGAAAGGACGGCCAGGAGACCGCGCTGGTCCCGACAATACCTTAAACTTCGAATATTCGTGTCATACTTCGAGTCGATTACTCTGTTGAGTTTCAAAGCGCATCCCCAAGGCACATCGCTCGAGTCTACTGTGTCATTGTACATCTTCGAAGCCACTTGGCGAGACGTAGCTCGGCGATCCCATATCATAACGGCCGGTGAATCAAGGGACGATGAAGCAAAGTAGTTAGGGTCCCTATGATCAATCGCCAGATTATTGTTGCACCTTGTTTGAAAACTTATAACGGCACCATTGGGATCTATATGCCGTCAGCCAAGTTCAAATAGGTCTGCCGGGGAAACGAACCGCGAAGGTCATGAATTCTGACGCTTTGATTCTTCACCCCCACTACCAACGTTTGGGGCTGGTCCTCAAACCATCGAGTGCTCGTTATTGCGACACTTGCTTCTAATTTATGAAGCGGATCAGCGGGAAATGGCGGCGTTTGCCAACCCTTCTTCGAAGGATCCCAATTTGATAGGCGCTGGTTTATATCCCAGATGTGCAGGCACTGGTCATTTCGTACTCGATCGAGGCCAACTGCCAATAGCCCGGTGGTATTGAAAGCAACTGCCTGGCAAGTTCTCTGGAGCTTCAATGGTAATATCATAGAGTCGTTCGAGCCATCATCTACGCGTAGGAGATGAACCTCTCCGCTCTTAGTCCCAAGAGCAACAAGACCAGGGTTGCTTGGGGACCAATCATAGGTCCCAAACCCTTGGAAATCGGTGTATTTTGCTACATCCTCATAATCAAATTGTTCCGGGACAACCTGCCCTGTGGGTTTATGCAGTTGTAAAATCCGGTAGTTGACGTTGATGGATAAGAACTCATCTCTTGTCCGGTTGGGCGACCACCGGATAATGCCATCGCCGCGGTCCATGATGAAAATACTACTCTTTTGAGTTATTTCGTCTTAGAGCCCTATCCATTGAACATGCTAGTTTCTTAATCCTCAAAGCATGCTGGATGATGGAGGTGATGCCGTCAGGTGTCAGGTGATGGAGGTTTGTCACCAGTCTCTTAAAGCCGCATATCGTTGTACAGAAACTTGAATAATGCAAAGAATACCTCAAAATATCATCCTAATAACCAATACATATAAAGAAGAGACAGTACAACTTGTAAGTGCGGTGCAATTGGATTGAAACGAAGCTCTACAGAGAGTGGACCGCGATAAGGAGGTTAATCCGATCCGTCGGCAAAACTTTAATCCGTTGTCAGAAAGTTACATCGCAAATCAACGAGAATTCAATCCAGACGCAGGAATACCTTTACAGTAACCCAACTTACTCCCCAGAGGCAAAATGGCCGCCAAACGGTCACACGAGGATTTGGATGGCATCCATGAATCAAGACAGCCGCAGGTCCACCGGGACGACCCAAAACCTGCAAAGAAACCCCGCCGAGAGGGTCCTCCAAAGATCAGGAAGCAAGTGCACGCATCCAGTGTGAATGCTGTCAAGAAGCGGATACGTGATGTGACTCGTCTTCTTTCACGATCGGAGGATTTGCCAGCAGATGTCCGTCTCGAAAACGAGCGAGCACTCGCTGCTTACCAGCAAGAACTGAATGCTGCGGACGAGGAGAAGACAAGGCAGCGAATGATAAAAAAGTACCACATGGTACGGTTCTTTGGTAAGTTTGGGTCCCCGAAGAGTCTTTTAACTTTTATTAACATCCGTCACAGAGAGACAAAAGGCGACGAGAACGCTCAAAAAACTAAAGAAGCGCCTGCTAGAAGCGACAACCGGGGAGGAAGTCGAGGATATCAAAGCTCAGATGCACATCGCCGAAGTTGACCTTCACTACGCTCATTCATACCCGCTGAATGAACGTTACGTCAGTTTATATCCACCTAAGGGCGCCGAGGAGAGTGAAGACAAACAAAAGGATGCTGTGAAGCCACCGATGTGGGCAGAGATTGAAAGGCGGATGGAGGAAGGCACACTGAAGGAGCTACGGTACGGTGTGAGAGAGGGGCATGTCGAGAAGCCAAAGACGGTCCGGCAGAAACCAGCAACAACAAAACCACGACTTGCGTCGGAGACTCAGAATTCCAAGAAGAGGGCCGAACCAGGGGAACGTGTGGGACAGAAAGAACGTGTGCCGGAACCGCAGGACTACACCTTGAACCGCAGAGAGAGGAGGAAGGCTATGATTAAGACTGGCGCTTTAATAACGACGAAGGCGGCCAAGAAGCCCGCAATCCACGAGCCAATGGCTAACGAGGTGGACAATGATGACAACGGCAGCGATGGAGGATTCTTTGAATGATTTGTATAGAACATATATGATTCTGTGGAGTTTTGATAACTTCCGGTATACCCAATACGGATACACACTTTTACATACCCTCATGACTGTTCGCCCCTCTTGAAATTAATTGAGGCATTCTGTATCTACCGAAAACACACGTTGGCCGCCCAAAAGTTCGAAGTAGAACCGTGTGTGTGAAGCAGAGAAATTAATATGTTGTTTGCTATATTTTCGAGTAACTTGCTTGGATATTACAGCTTTGAGTGATTCAGAGCATTTACTTTATTTACAGTTTCTGTAAACACGGCGCTCATTCACGGTTTCTCTTCTGAATTTCGGGCGGCACGAGTATCCTCAAATAATTGGAAGGTGCTAAACATGGTTCTCTGAGATGCAAGGTCTGCTTTAATGCATGTTCCAGTACTCCTCTCTTTCACCATCCTTGGAATGTTTGCTTCACCACACCGAAAAACAAACATCCTCAAGCCTTCCGAATTAACTTGCTACCTTCTTCACTAACCAAGTCCTCCAAGCTCACTTAAAGATAGCATTGCTTTATTATATTAAGTTCTAATCTCACCTCTCTTTAGCCCTTAAATTTAGACACCATTCACAACTGTTGCTTCTCAGCTAGCGATGGAGACCACAGCACCGCAGGCAACACCCCCACCGTCAGGTGTCACATTCATAAGCATCGAAGATTTCGATGCCAGTTTTCCAGCTCCAGAAATCGGTCAACCCTATGTGCAACATGTTCCTCCACTAGTTCAGTCATCCACAGCGGACTCGAGCGTGGCGGTGAACGACAAGGCAGGCAGTGAGAGCGGGGGCTCCACCACATCGACTCCAGATCTGGGCACCATTAACTGGATTGGCAAGCTCCAAGGTACTTAAAGTCGCCTTCTCACTAACCCTAAACCCATATTAACTTTATCGTAGAATACCACCAAATCCACCCCAAAGTAGGAAAACATGTATTCACAGAGTCCGCTACTCCAGGCTTCCCGCCTCGATTCGTTTGCTCTGTGAAAATCGGTGAGCGCCCCGAGCCATTCAACTCGACGAACAACTTCGGCAACAAGAAACAAGCAAAGCAGCACTGCTGCAAACTCGCCATCGAATGGCTTGTTGAGAACGGGCACATGCCTTCCATAGATTCTGTTTCCTTCCCGAAACAGCATCAGGTGGCTCCGCAGGCTAAGGCGGGGTCCACCGCCAGTGCCGCGCAGATGACTCCCGGTGCTGAAATCGCACAGATCTGTTTCGAGTTGCGCATGGGCCTTCCGGCGTATGTTATTAAGAGTGAGCCTGCTGGGTCAGCGCTTTGGAGCGGATATGCCCATTTCCCGTCCAACCACCTTGTTGACGGCCGAGTTGGAGAATTCAGGAACGTCTTTGGCAAAAATAATGCCAAGGGAGACTGTCAACTGGAAGTACTGAAGTTCCTGAAGGAAATTAAGAGGGATAAGGAGAGTGCGGTGTTGGATGATGGGGCTAAGGGGTGCAGGGAGACCGCGGCTATGGAAGGGGTCGAGGGACACAAGGAGGTCACGGCCATAGGAGCATAAGGTAGCTTTGCTTTCAAGTCTGGGATATATTGCGAAGCAAACTTTCACTAAATCATCCCCTTGCCGACCTCATCCTTCCTCTCCTCCCACAGCGTCTTCCCAGAACAAGAGCAGACAGTCTTATCGTTGTCCCAAACTCCTGGGCTGCGAGCAATCACTCCCACGAGAGTGTTGTCGTCATTCTTCTCAAACTTCCCCTCTCCATCGTGCTGCCTCGAAACCACGATGCTTCGCCCTATCATTTCCCAGATCTGGATTGGCTTGTCGATAAATACGCTTCCCAAACCATTTCCATCCACATTAACAGTTCCCAGACGGCCCTTTAATCCCTGTGGCCCTTCCTTAACTGGGTCTTTCCACATAGCTCCCGTCGATATGACGCCTTGCGAAATATCGCCAGTCTCGCGGATTGTTGCATCGTACTTTCCGGGCGCCAGTCCACGTATCGTGAGGTCAAACAGGGTCAACGAACTTGAGACCTGCACCATCCTTATAAGCCCCTTCACCTTGTCAGATAGTTGCTGCGAATGAGTCTCGAGGATACACACAGCAGAGCCTATGCTATTTAGTAAACTGTCTTCGCACGTGACCACATATACTTGGAGCTTACCGTCTGTAGTCCCAGTGCCCCGTAGAATGGCATCTCTCCCTGTTCCCTGGATCGCTGAAACAATTGCAGATGGCGCAGCTATATCACAGTCAGTTAAAAACACTGTTCTTCCAAGGACAACCATGTTCGGCTAGGTGGGGAATGACGAACCAGTTCCCTCGATGGATATTAATTGGTCTTTTAAATTTGCATTAACTTTTGTAATTCCCTCAAGCTTGTGCAGCGAGCCAGACACGTCCTGGACACAGCTCTCACAGGTCATAGGGACGGCAAATAGCGTCTAGTATTGAGGTCAGTTATGATTGTCATGGCGGGGCTCCGGAAAACGGAGTCACAGTACCTGGAATGGGGTAGTTATCGCCATGGTTATATTAATATCGGAGTTGCCGGAATCGAACGTATGGTAAAATCAAATCTCGCAGCCATAAAATTGTATAGTTTTGGGGGATTTATGGAAGTGCGTACAGCAGATGCTAGAAGTTTAGATGCTGAATAATTCATCACTGGACGGAATGACGATTGCGGTGCCCATTGATAATCCGTCCCGGAGCTACCCGCCGCGGGGTGCCCCACGTTTGGATTGTATGGTACCAGAAATTGAATTCTCAGGATCTAACGATGAGACATGCATTTTAAAGTTCAGATAGTGTTGATTCTATAGTGGCTAAGTCTTACCAGAATATGATGTCTATATCCATATCCAGGAACAGGTAGGTATTGTAAAAATCACTAAATCTAAAAACCTCCCTCTACTATCCAGCACAATATCACAATCTAAATGCTCTTCACCCTTTGACTGCCCCAGTTCACCGGCTTAGCTTCCTCTCCACGAGGAAAAAGGAGCTTAGCACCGACGCCAACAAGACAACAGCGGCGAGCCCAAAGGAAGCCGAGACCGCCTTCTGATAGCACTGGCGCACCACCTCCCTAACCTCCGGCGTCAGTTTCTCGAGGTATTCCAAGCTCTCCCGCACTCCCTGTACAATCTTCTCAGTCTCCTCCCCATCCCCCAACATCTTTGCCAACTGATCTCTTAGTCGCTGCTGCACCAACGCTGCACTGAGCGAGACGCCCACTGCAGACCCGAGAGATCGGAAGAGATAGCTGCATGCTGTGACGATTGCCATATCAGACGGGTCGGCACACGCAACCAAGGCAATGAGCGTTGTCGTCACGGAGATACCGCCTCCGAGACCCGTCACGGCGAATGCGACCAGTGTCGCCAAAGTACTCGTCACAAGTACGCCGGAGCACAGGAAGATGGTGGTTATCCCCGTGACCATCATAGTGTACCCCGAAATCGTGAGCCAGTAGTACTTGCCCGTCTTCTGCATGATGATGCCGCCGCCGACGGAGCCGGTGACGGAGCCGATGATGCCGGGAATCAATAGGAGACCTGCTTCCGTGGAGGTGTATCCAGAGACGGCCTGGAAAAATAGCGGGACGTAAAAGATCATTGCAAAGTAGCCTGCGAAGGCGAAGAAGTTGCATATGAGTGGTGGCGAAAGCAGCCTGTTGAATATAATCCCACTTGGGGCAAAGGGGTGCGAGACGTAGTGTTCGACCACCATGAATAGGATGTAGATGGGTATAGAGGTAGCCAGGAGCGAGATTGTCAGGGTGCTAGTCCAGGAAGTGTTCGAGCCAAGGTCGAGGCCCACTAGGAGCGAGCATGTGGCGATAATGAGGAGCGATGCGCCCAGGAAGTCGATGCGGCCGAGACGAGTGACCCAGTGTGCACGGGGTGCAGCGGGGAGGTCGAGCCTCAAGGAGACTGCGGTGAAGGCTAGGACGCACATTGGAACTTGCAAAAGGAAGGCCCTGTGTGTTCCGTTAGTCTTCAGACACAACACAATGAGTCGAGGGTCGTGAGAAAATCCGACTTACCATCGCCATCCTATCGAATCCGCCAGCAATCCGCCCAGTGGTGCACCGCTAGACGCCCCAAGTGCGTAGATAATATTGAGATACCCCTGCCACTTCCCTCTTTCCCTCAGCGGAATGATGTCGCTCAGCAGGACACTCACCACCGTCGACATGCCGCCTCCGCCAATACCAGCAAAAGCCCGCGCAGCAATCAGCTCTCCCATATTCCGCGCCAAACCGCAGAAGAGGCATCCGATGCCGAAAATGGTGTAGGCGCTCAGGAGAGCCATCTTGCGGCCGAAGATGTCACTCAGCTTGCCATACAGAGGCTGGAAGGTGGTAAGGGTGAGGAAGTACCTAGACAATTGTTAGTTGGGGATGATCCCAAGAAATAAGGGGAGAATAAGTACGCTGTGGCTATCCAGCTGGTGCTATTAAGAGCGTTCATCTCGCTGCCAATCTTGGCGTACGTGGAGACGATGATGGTCTGGTCCAACGCAGCGAGGAAAACCTGTATGCCTCGTTAGACTATAGCACCTAGAAGGAATCATTCGGATACTTACTCCGATCCCAACAGCAGGAAGCAGGATATACATTTTCGCAGCAACCTCTGGCAAGCCCTCCATCAACGGATTCGGCGCCTGCCCCATCTCAGGGGCCTCCTCGTCTCCAATTCTGCCATCGTCGCCGACGGGTTCCTCAATAGGCTCATTGGGAACTATAGTCAATCCCCCATCTCTCGTCTTCCCATAAGCATTGGCGAGTAGGGGCGATGTTTCTGAGGGAGACGCATCGCCCGCATTGTCTCTACTACCGAGAGCCATTCCGCGTCCCCTACTGGATGACGGGAGCTTTAAATGCTGACTGGTGTCTTAGGAAGGAGAATACTTCCCAGTAGGGCGGTATTGCGATGCTAAAAGTTCCCAGCCAGGCCCCACTGCGTTTCCTGCGATCGAACTCCCAACTATCGAGACGCACTCGCGCCTTTTTGCGATAATTCCCTGACCGACGCGGTTCGGAAGTCTCGATGGAGTCACCCCGCCTCGATTGCTCAGCAACAAGGAAATTCGACCGTGCTGATAAGACGCGATATCACGTGGTTAACTGGGCCTCCCCATCCGCCGAACTCGATTCCATAAAAATTAGATGCATTATTTCATATATAGTTATAATCCTCATACGCTGCTACTCGCTTCGCAACTTGTTCGCTCACATGGGTATCTAAACAGTGTCATCGCCCTCATCACCTGTGCCAAGCGGCACCAGAACGGACAGGAACGTCCTCTTCGTCTCCCGCATCGGCGATCATCTCCTTGATCCAGACTTGCTCACTCATCATAACCTCCTTCTCGATCCTCCGCATAGTATCTAACTCTTCCAGCATGCCTCTAACCAGCGTCGTGTACCCCTCGACAGCGGTTGCGAGGCTGCTCTTGACCTCTACTTCTCCCAAGTCAGCGAGCTTATCCCTCCACTCCTCCAGCTTCCTAGCTTGGACTCTGCAATCATCGCTCCAGCTCCCATCAATGTCCTCGATAAACATGACTTCGTCGCCATCCAGGAGATGTCCTCTTTCACGCCCTTGGTGGATATCCACGACAGTGTGCATCCACCTTTCAAACCTTCTCACAATCCTGGCGTACTTTCCGCCTGATTCGCCCATACCCCACACGCCAGTAACCACCTCATCTAGAACCTGAATCTTCTCCTCCAATCCCCATCCCGGCATGCCGCTGTCCGCCCATACTTTCAGGGCCAGGGCGTTGGTCTTGCCATGCTGTGCCTCCTCTTGTGCCACCAACCCCTCGTGCTTCCTCACCAATGTCTCAAACTTGTGACCTAGCTTGTTCCTTGCACTGTCCCGCCATTGATCTTGTACCGATGCTGCGTCACGGTGAAGAAGGTGTAATTGTAATAATTCTGCTTGTAGCCGAGCTGTCTCGGCCGATATCGCAACGTTCGAGGGCAATTTACTCGGCGACGGAGCTGCCAGCAAGCTCGCTGTTGTCGGTTTCGGTGCTATAGATTTGGCTGGTGAATAATGCTGTTGTAGGGTGGAGAAGTTAGGGCGGTGTAGAGCCGGGTTGGGAGCTTGCTTAGTTTCTGACGGCGGCCTGAGAGTCGTCGTGGAGCTGAGTTGAGTGACTGAAGTATTCCGCGTGTGTTTAGAAGCTGGCGGTCGGATGGAGGGCGCACTGCCGGTAGAGGTGGTGCGGGCGTGTCGAGATGTGGTGCTGGGTCGTCTTTGCAGGCCAGTAGAAGACGCTTGCTCAGTGGGCGTCTTGGAGCCGCTGCGGAGGGGCGCGCCTCTCTGGTTGTCGGAAGACAGTGGTGGCCTACTGACGGATGGTCTGTTGTCGGAGCTCAATGGTGGTCTGGTTGTTACAGACCGTGGGGGCCGCATAGAGCCATCGTTGGCTCCGGACTGGGAGCTTAATGGCGGTCTGGTCGTCACAGGCCGTGGTGGAGGGCGCATAGAGCCATCACTTGATCCAGGTCGAGTGCTAGCTGGCGCCGCCCTTTGCGATATACTGCCCGTTCGTGTGAGTCGTGACGTAGAAGTGCTCGAGCTGGGAGGTCTCATGGGCAGCTTGCTTGGGGATTGGCTTCCCGTCCTGGCCGAGTCAACCAGGTCTCCACCGCGGCTCCTCCCCCCGGGCGCATCTGGAGCTTGTTCGCTATTCGACCCATTTAATCTCGACTTCAAGTCAATCCCCGCATTGGGCTTTCGTATGGAACGCGTCCGGCTCGGAAGTGGTGCAGTTGCCATTGTTCTGCTTCATTTACAGGCATTTGTTTATTTTGTTGCTGTTGTGAGAGAGCCGAGAAAGTGGAGAGGGTTGGTCTCTCGGGTGACGACTAATAGCGAATAGAGGGGCACAGGGGCACACTCACATGGGGATTTTGCCTAACAGATAGAGGTGCATTACCCTAACTTGCCTTATGACGACGCTATTCTACTAGAGATTTACACATCGGATATCGGCTGAGTGAGTGAGTTATTTATTTTTGATTTTTATTATAATATTTGCTATATTATGGCTCTACCTCTCTCACCGCCGTCTACAATACCTCAACCTCAAAACTTATTTTTCTCTGTTTCTATTCCTGTATCTGTCTCCTAAAAAACCCCACATCAGCTTATTTTGCTCTTCAGTGGTCGGTCAGGCCGTGCTAAGTATACGCATAGTCTGGAACATTTTGCCGTGTCTCCAACATTTCTCTAACATCTCCACTTGCTCCCCCGAACACAGTTAACCCGAAATTTACATCCACCAGAATCGAACATGGGTGGGATGATTGGTAAATCTGTAACGCGAAATTCCACTTATTCTCCCGTTTTCCACCCACAGCCACGGAATTCAGTCAATCAATTGCTAACTCGGCTATGATTGCACTATAGTACGCGTATGTGGGGTCAGGAACAGGGCTGTGGGAGGACTACAACAGCCCTGATGGGGTTCTTGATGCCCTCATCCTTGCTTTTATTGCATCTGCACTACTTTAATGCCCGTCAGCAACACGATATATCGAGTTTCATATCTTGCTTAGACCCCAGCAGGGCTGATACTACGGCAGATCCTTGGAAGGGATCATCATAATTAGCATGATTGTGATCTTAGGTCTGCCCTGGATGGGGCTGCCCTGGAACTCCACAGGCCTTCCACTGGCCTTCTATCCATAAACTTCCTTTGGGCTTTTGTGACTTGACTGTTTGTTGTGTTGACATTTACAGATGCGGAAACATTGAGCTGGACTGTTTCTGCCCTGTATTTCTCAGCTCTGAATAAAGATGGCGACTCTTGATACTCTTACTCCAAGCGGAGATCAATCAAGCTTTAAGGCTCTGCCACAGCCTCCGTCCGGCATCGTCCGTGACCAAACATCGTCGTTTCAGTCGCAAACACCGGAAGCTCCGGACGACGACGATGAGATGCCCCTTCCAAGGCCTGATTCTCTCCTTGCAATGGTGCCTGACCGTGCACCGCCACGGAAATCTGTGCTGCTCGAGCATGTGAGGAAACCATCTGCTAGTGGTTCTTCAGTGTACTCTACACATACAGTCGGGACAATTGGGGACCGTCGTAGCTGGACAAACTCTCCGGAACGAAGGGAATCCGCAAGCTCTCTCGTCTGGGAAGAGGAAGAGGCCCATACCAAACCCGTGTCTGACTCCCCAGTGCTGGGAACTAAGCAGGAAGACCACTTTGAGTTGGAGGATATTCTCAAATCGACACAGATAATGCACTCCAATTCCATCTCCAGTACAACGTCATCGGGACGACCAGAACTTTGGCGTCGTAGGTCCCAAAGAAGTGACCGAAGCGTCAAAATTACCGATTTGAAGTTGGCAAATAGTAATGGCTTCACTGCAAGCCAGTCTTTACGGCAAACAGAGGCGGCGTCTGATGCTCCTCAAATTCCTCTCCCAGCAGTTCCAAGGAAAGCACCCCATCGACCCGCAGTAGGGCTCCCTTCACGGCCGACACAATTTATCAATGAGAAGAGCATGCAGTCAAATGCACAGCCTGAACAAGACGCACGACAATACAGTCATCCCACGACGCAGTATTCACAACTTGCGACGGGACTGGCTCCATACAACCTGCCGGCGATGCAAAGTCAGGACAACCTAGAACAAACACAGCCTTTCGCAACAAAGCAGAGCGTGAGGAAGCCGGTCGCTCTCCGTCCAGCTCCGCCACAGCCAGAAAAGCCAGAAACTATGGGCGCACGGCTCTCGAACTTTAAGAACAAGTTTCGCTCCACGGAGCAACTTAACCAACATAGGGATATCCAGACACCAGGCCACACTCCACAAGGATCTCTTGATACTGTTAGCCCCAAGCCTACTGGCTTGATGGGTATATTCCGTGGCACAGAGGATGAGAGCGTGCCAGCTCCTTCAGAGACCAAAGGGAGTGGCTCTGCATTCTCAAAGATAAAGCACAAACTTCGCTCATCCGATGCAGAAGATAACTCGTCCCCAGACCTCTCATCGCCAGAAGGGTCAGGCTGGAACCTGTCGAAGCTGAAGAACAAGCTTCGCAACTCCGGAAACGCAGATGAAGCTGCAGCATCTACACCAACACGCACCCAGCCAACAATCACCCGGCTCCCTACCCCCGACTACCAAAAGCAGGATCCAGCACCCGCACCCCTGACACCACTCATCCACTCCCCCTACTCCCCCCAAATCTCCCCCGACGACACACAATCCCGCCCCGGTTCCGGCCATGGCAGTCGCCCACCCAGTCGCGGGAGACAATTCTCCTTCTCGCAACGCCCGAAACTTCCACCAACGGCTGCATCGACATCAAGCATCCAAACCATCGCAAATGCATCCATCATCGACGGGAAAACATCCCCAGTCGACCCGGCACAAGCACACATCCATCCCCTCCTCCGCACAAAGACCAGTCCCTCCGCCACCGACCTAACTCTACCCACACCCCCTCTCCTCCGCATCAAGACCAGCCCCTCCGCCACCGACCTAAATCTACGCATGGTCTCCGCGGCACCTCCGCTACCACAACCCCCCACCATCGCCGTCTCAAGCCCCCGCTTCTCTCCCCCAGCTACACGCGCTTCTCCCCCAGCTACACGCTCCTCTCCCCCTGCCACACGCGAACCACCCCGCGGTCGTGCATCCAGCCCCAAGCCACTCAGCCCCATCGTCACCGGCGCTGCCAAAACCGGTGCCCCGGGCTCCAAACCTCTCAGCCCTGTTACCACGCGCCAACCACCCAGCCCCTCGACCCTCAGCCCCGCCTCCGAAAGCGCATACAAACTCCAAGTCCCCGGAGAGATCAGCAAGCGCATGACCACGATCCTGGAGTCGTCTCCCTTCCTCCAAATCGCGTCTACGGACCCTGATGACGAAGAAGTGTACCCGGCGCCCGCGCTTGCGGAGACTCAGGTGAGGTGTTATCAGGCACATCGGGTGATGCATCGGAGCAGGAATGATGTGTATGCGCTTGCGTGTGGAGTTTGTGGGGTTAAGGATCGCGAGGGGAGGTGGTGTTGTGCGTGGTGTGCGGTGAGGTGCTGTGAGGGGTGTTTGGACAAGGTTAAGGGGGAGGGGTTGGCTGGGGAGAAGGTTATTGGGGGTGGAGAGACTGTTGGGAGGGCGATGGTGAGTGTTTGAGATGAACAACGTGTCGAGATTTTAAGGGAGGCACTAGGTGCGATGACGAAAATATAGAAGGGGGTAGACTGGCGTTTTGTGTTGTTTTTTGGGAAAGGAGGGGATTGGGTCAGGCGGAAAATGGAAAAGGTGGACAGGTTGGAACAAACGGGGGGTGGCTTTGCTGTATATACGGAATGCCCTCGGCCTGGCGCGGAGCGAGCAATGATTTGTATGATACATGAGCTATATATATAGATATACATATCGATGACTTTTGAAACAATTCATAAGCTATATCTCTAAGTTTGTATCTGAGTCGCATATAAGGGAAGCGACGACCGACTCGAGAAGGAAAGAGCGACCGACTCTAGAGGGAAGGAGCGTTCCTTCCTACTAGAGCTTTACAGTTAAAAGGAGAAGGAACGACCGTGGGTAGCCATATTTTTTATTTTTCGTTCCTTCCTTATATGGATGAAAGGTTTACATTTTAGATTTATACGGTGCTGCCTGGATGAAGATGAGGGGATTGTTTTATACCACTACGTATCACATTGCAACATGCAATAGGCTCGAATGGTGGCCAACAAAATAAATTGGTGAAGCTACACTTGTTTCGACCAACAGCCTCATCATCTTCAAAGGCCAGCGTAAAATATGAGTGGCGGATAGCAATGCTAAATAACTCCCTTCACAAATTCTCACTTCCCCCCTCCCATTACCACGCTTCGTTGCGGTACTGAGCCCTTTATCCCCTCTATTTCAAGCCAACAAGCAATCAAAAACCACTGAGAGCTCATGATGAGGGAAGCGATAGCATTCCTCCACCTCCCCTATCCACAGCCGTCCTGTCTTATCCGGCCACCGCACCTGCAAAATGACATTGCTCACTAAGAACCATCATTCCCAGAGGCAGAGCTCACAAGCTCCCCCTTCTCGGGTAGCTCACCCCCTCCACCGCCGCATCATCCACAAACCAGCTCACTCTATCCCCACCCCCTTCATTAACAAGCGCACACGGCAGCCCCGTCCCATCCTCAAAGATCTGCTTCAGTACCTCCTTCTTTCCCCCTCCCGTCGCCACAAACGCAATCTTGACCGCATGATTCACCACCGGCAGCGTAAGCGTAATCCGCTTCGCCGGCGGCTTCGGGCTATCCTCAATGGACGCGACCCACGCGTCCGATTCGCGGAGCAACTCATGGCCCGGGAACAGCGAGCACGTATGCCCATCTGGTCCGCAACCAAGCAGGATCAAGTCGAAGATAGGCAGCTTGACAGAATCGCGCTGCGCGAAGTTGCGCACAAGCAACTTCTCGTACTGGTCCGCCATCTCCTGGACGTCATCAAGGTGCGCGACATCGATGGGGTGGACGGCAGGGGCGCCGAGCTCGGCGGGGATCTTGGAGAGGAGCTCGGCTTGGAGGAGGGCGTAGTTGGAGTCCGCGTGGTCGAGGGGCACGGCGCGCTCGTCGGCGAAGAAGATCTCCCACTTCGAGAAGTCGAGGGTGTCCTCTGGGGCGGTGGAGGGGGGGAGGAGAGCCGCAGCCAGGGTCTTGGGGAGGGAACCGCCAGAGACGGCGACTTTGAAGGTGCCGTGCCTGCTGATGCCGGAGTTTTGGGCTTGCACGACGTAGTGGCGCAGGCCGGGGGCGAGGTCGTTGACGGTGGGGAAGGAGTAGAGGTTTGGTTGTTTGCCCATCTTGGCGCTTTGGGTTGAGGGTCTTCGGTGTGTTGTGGGTGGGTGTCTCAAGTAAGAAGGATGAGGCAGGGAAGATCTTTGGGGAAATGATGTATCCGATAGAGGATGGGAAGGCCCGAGGGTGTTTAAGACAGCTTTTCCAGGTCGGTTGGGGTTTGGTGGTAGGCTGCAAACGGAGAGATTATGCAATCGAGGGAACCCGCTTTTGAGAGCTTCCGTAGCCTTGCTTGGCCTGGTATTTTTCCGCTTGGCTGTAGATTGTTCCTCACGTTCGAGTCCGGAGAGTATGGGGTTTGGTGAAGCAGTGCAGGATCAAGTTTATAGAAGTGTGAGACAAGAGAATATGGAGTGAAGAAGAAGATGGGATGTTCCTTGGGCTTGCAGAGTGGCGTCGTTGCACACAAACAGGCAGAATCAGGGTAGTTGGGGGTGGTTGGTGGCAGTCTGTAAATAATGAATAATTGAGTGGTCGCGGGGTCCTTTCGCCCTAGCGTGGGGTAAGTTTAGAGTGTTACAGCACAACAGTAGTAGTAGTAGACGTAAACTAGGCTAGGCACAAGGAGATGAGTACCCCTCTTCTGCGTTGTCTTTTTGATGTTTGGGGCTGTAGGATTTATGTATAATATTACAAAATATATATATCTATAATAAATAGAAATATAAGAAATATTTGGACACAATACATACGCTCATCAGCAAAATAGAGGGAACTACGTAGGAAAATAGCGAAAAGGTACAAAAATAAATAAATAAAAAGGTCCCAATCATCATGACGACTACAAGGGAGATACGAGATAACGAAATGCCAAGCCCAAGGATTATGCCCTTAATTTCCAGCAACCCGCCAGCCAGCCCGTCATCCCACGTGACTTGATTATTCACCCCTCATTACACGTGACTAGAAGCGAGGTTTTACCGAATACCGGATATACTGCTCTATATATATATACTGCTGAGAACAGCAGGAATCAACAGCTTCATCTCCATGAACTAGAACGCCAGTAAGTGCAATGCGGAATCCCACGTGTTATATACATTCCGCCCGTATGTGCATGCTGCCGCCCACCCCATAACCCCCCATCTAAGTGATCTGTCTAATGCCGTTGACCTCCGGAACCCCGTTAGGTTGTTCATTCGCAGCCATCTCATGCGCCTTACTTATCTCATGTACCATGCTCATGCCATTGACCATGCTCACCATCGCCGCCATATCCACTCCATTCGCAGCCACCTCCTCCTCCTTCTTCGCCTCTTTCCTACAGCGGTCACACATGCAGTATCCCCCTAGACTGCCCTTCGCCCACTCCCTGCGCTCCTGAACAGGAAGCTCAATGTCGCAGTAATGGTTCATGATTTCTTCTCCTTTAGCGACGCCCGGGCTCCGCCCGTCGATTCGCTCGCCTCTCGCCCACAGCTTCATCCGCATGCCCCACTCCCACTGCACGTTCGGGTCGCAGTCGTGGTTCGCGAGGCACCACAGGGGGTGCACAGCAGCGACCTCGGGACGCCCGTCGAGCTTGTTAACGCGCGCACTTGCGGTGCCGCGGAACTTGGAGTACAGGGTGTTGAAGATCCATAGGTCGTACTTGTCTAGCTCCGCGAAGACGTCGATTTCCATCTTCTCCAGCATGTCCAGGGGCCCTGTGATGTTGGCGCGGAAAGAGAAGGGCAGTGTCCATACCGGAGGTGGACCGGCTTGAGGGGAGTATGGGACAGCGTTCGAGCTGGTCGGTAGGAAGTCACCCCAGATGTATTTCACCTCCTTGAGCTCGAGTGGATGGATATCCTGTGTGGCGGACATAGCGAGCGCGCGCCCCAGGAGGAGCAAGTGGAGCATGTTGGCGGTTTCCCTTTGATGGGTGTTCTTCGCAATCCCATCAACTTCCCGGTCACACACGGCCGGATGGTAAGTCTCCATCGCGAAGTCGTGGCAATCCTGAGAGCAGTATACCGTCTCAACGCACTCCTCACATGGCACACACTGCTCCTCGGATCCAACATCCGGGAGTTCAGTGCTGCACGCATCGCAGAGCGGGTATACCTGCGAGTTGTTGACTGTCAGGGCCGAGATCTCGTGGAGCACCGTCTCCATCGGTCCAATATCCTCCTTTGCAAAGAGTCCGAGTTGCTTATTCGTCGGCATAGTGAAATCGGTATCTATGCCTGTAACCAAGGCGTCTCCCAAGGTAGGCAATTCCGTAACCAAAGCGACGCATTTCGGCGCCACCTTGGCCAGCTCAGCGTTCAAAAATTCGAGTGTCTCCTCGGAATATCGGTCGGGCTCGTAGTCGTTCCAGGGATAGACCTCGCGCCTCACGAGGCCCTGGTCAGGGAAGTCCTCCGGGTTGACCGTCTCCGTCTTCAGTCTGCGCCGCGCGAGATTGATGATGTACTCCTGCGCCTGTGTCAACTCCTCATCCCCCGGTGCCTTCTCCAGTCCCCTCTCACAGAACTCATGCGCGCTCTTCAAACACCCACAAAGCAACAGACTAATAGCCAAAATGCGATAGCACCTCGTACTCGCCACCTCCAACAGCGCCGTAACCCCCTCTCCACCCCCCTCCCCCAGGATGCCCCTCTCCTCATGTCCCCTCAGCGCCTCCGCCGCAACCTCATGATACTCAAAGCCCTCATCCCTCACCTCGTCCGTGAGCAGCAGCGCGCGGTACGCATCCCCCGCCGCGAGATCGGGGTAGCCGAGCTCGGAGTGCGCAACGGCGCGCTCAATGTATAGAACGAGGTCGTAGGGGCTATCGCGCAGACTGCGCGTCAGGCGCGTACGTCGAGCCAGGAGTGCGGTCGTCGCCATGTGAGCGCGCTGGGCCTCCTCGTCTGACTCCGTATCCATGCTCGACATGGCGGGCGGGGTGGCGCGCGCCCGGGACTCCCTCCCTCAGAGAAATTTCTCGGCAAATTGGGGTTAGGGTGATTGGGGGGATGGTGGGGGTTTTGGTGGGGGTTTTGGTGGGGGGTGATGGGCGGTGGTTGTCGCGGCGATAAGAGATAAGGCGAGACGGTGCGTCTTGGGGGGGTGGTTGACACCGAGCTTGATTTTCTTGGGTGTTCTTGGGTTCTCTTGGGTTGTCTTGGGCGGGCTTGGGACGCCTAAAAGCGCCTGTGAATAGCCCCTAGACAGAAGATCGGAGTATAAGCTCCAAATCTGCCGTTAATGCAGAAGAAAAGATCTGAGAAAAGTGCATATGGGCTGCCATCTTTTAACTGTGGCGTCCTTCATAAAAAAGTTGCACGGCCAACCCGTCGTCATGACGTCAAATGCCCCTCTTGAAGAGTCGCCACCAGCCACAATAGTATTAAATCGAGACGGTAAAGCCACAAGTCAGGTTCATCGGTTCACCAGCCAGGGGAGGAATCGCGTGGAGTTTGCCCTAGCAAAAAACCATCCAATTAACACAAGTCAAGCCGGTTTATATACTCTAAAAGAGGTCTAGACATTCTATATAGCAATTTTTCCACCATGACGAGGCTCGGCCCCCCCGAAAACCCGCTTCTATACCTTGATATCACTCAGTTTATCCACATAGTACGCTGGCACCGTCTCCGCGCCCTCAACCTCCCACTCCTCCTTCTTGCTCACGCCGGTAAGCACCGCCAGCGTCCCGCCCAGCCGCCCCTCGATCCCGAACTTGATGTCAGTGTTGAGTCGGTCGCCGACCATGCAGGCCTTTGAGCGGTCGAACTGAAACTTCCCTTCTATGCTATCCATCATGGCTTGACTCGGCTTGCCTAGCGCAATGGGTTGCTGACCCGTCATGTTGACGAGGGGGATGCTGATGGAGCCCGCGCCGGGGAAGAAGGTGTGGTTGCTAGGCAGCGTGCTGTCTGTGTTTGTAGCCAGGAACTTAGCGCCGCGACGGAGATATTGGTATGCCACTGCTAGCTTGAGGTAGTTGATGTGGAAGTCGAGGCCGGCGAGGACGATGGCCACGTCGTCGTCGAGCATGGAGCCGTCTGCCATGGCGGTGTAGTCGGCCGGGGTGATGTCGCGGCGGTAGGCGGGGTCAGTGCCGCCAATGAAGGGGACGCCGCATTCGCGGAGCTCGGTCTCGATGCCTGCTTCGCCGAGGACGAAGACTTTGTTCTTGGGGCCGGGGAGGTTCATGATTTTCGAGATGTAGATGGCGGAGGAGTAGGCGGAGGCGAAGATCTCGTCGACGTTGCTGGGGATGCCCATTGCGGTGAGTTTTTTGAGGTAGTCACTGCGGGACTTTGTGGAGTTGTTCGTGACGAAGATTGTCTGCTTGCCTGGTTCTTTTGTCAGCCCTGATAGTAGTTATGCTTGAAGCCGTGGTGGAAGGACTGGCACATACCCCGCGACCTCAATAACTCCAATGTATCCACGACCCCCTCAAAGACATGGTCTCCAGACCATAAAACTCCTGATATCAGTCAATAACTGTAAAGCCTTGTATTCGCGCTGGCTCATATACCGTCGCAATCGAACAGAAACACCTGTTGCCAGTATCAGCATAAATTACCCCTCATACCCCGCCATGCACCAGAGACCCACGTCAAACTTATCGATAAACTCATTGATCGCCGCCTTATCGCCAGTCAGGTACTTGGGGAGCGCGTGAGTAGCCATGATGGGCCTGTAGGGAATGCAAGAGAAAGGGTATGAGTAGTAGGTCGCAGAAGGTGTCGGCGGGTTCTGACGTTGAGTAATTTATTGGCGGCTTCGTCGGCGAATTACCGGAGCAAATATTGGCAGCATTGGCACCCCGGGCCGCTGGAAACATAATTTTTGGCTTCACACAACAACACACCTTACCATGGTTTTTAGAAACTTTAATTGCTAGTTAGGGTTCTATACTGTAAGTTATATCCTCGCCATTATTTCGAAGCTGGACTCCCTCCCGTGCGACTCTAATGGCGTCCCCGCCTCCCCCCGCCATCTCCCCAGGCGACCACGCATGCGGGGGTGGAGGTTAGGATTGTGGAGAGGATGGGGGAGCGGATATTGGAGGTTGCTACTGCGAGACATGAGCTGGGTAAATGATGAATGTCTCGATTTGATAGAGCACCTGCATTGTATTGGTTTTGGCTTTTTGATTACTGGTGTATTTAGAGCGTATTTGAACCTTTGTGTAACTGTTATTTACATTTATTTTAGGGTCAAGCTTCCCTTGCCTTACAGTAAAGCTATCAACATACACAGGTAGTCTGTGTGATAAATTCAGGTATGGTATCAAATCTCATCATTCCACCCCACGCAGCACTCCCAAGATGCAGGCGTACTGCATACCCCACTCGTTGATTTAACGTTTTGTGTCACCACACCCTACTATGTACTCTCCTCCAATTTGTCGCCCAGGACGCCGCTCAAAGACTGGGAGATATCAGAACCAGCCGACCCTAGCTCAGCGACAATATCATCCATCCGCCGCCTCTTGCGCCTAATATCCTTCAGCGCCGCTTCATACTTCGCGCACTTAGCTTTGAGCTGTAGTATAACCTCATCCGAGTGCCTTGAAGCAGGCAGATGTGTCACAGAGCCGCCAGCTACCGTACCCAGCTCCGCTCTCTGCATTAATAGCCTCTCTTTCTCCGCCAGGTCCGCCGCCATAATTTTCCGTTCCTCAGCAGCCATGAGTTCTAGACGACTCGCCATTCTCACAATTTCGACATACTGCTTCCCCTCCTTGACGCCCGCATTACGGTATTCATCCCTCGCCTCGCTGACGTCCGAGACCTCCTTTTCGAGCTCCGCGATTCTATCCATCAGCCTACTCCTGTCTTCGGAAAGGACGTTGACTTCGTTGTCGGCTACGACCTGCTTCTCTTCCAGCGCGCGTGACCGTGTTTGCGACCGAGATAATGCGGCGAGTAACTTGTCGTGCTCTTGCTGGAGTGTTTGTAGGGCGTAGGCTTTGACGGAAACCTCGTGCTGGAGAGTCGCAGTATGAGTGGCCACAGCAGGCGGAACTGCGCCACCTATAGCCCCTGAGCTGAATGACGATGAGTGCGAAGGAGATAATGACTGATGAGGCGGCTGGGGGGGCTTGTTTGCCGAAGAAGATGGCGGGAAGGTGGATGAGTCCGGTGATGACATATTATATGAGGGCGAAGAGTTGTGTGGCCTCTGTGGCGATGTAATGTGCCTCCCAGGGGCCGGGGGCGGATTCATTGAAGGGAGCTTGAACCCCGAGGACTCTGCGTGAGATGTCGAACTGAAGTATATCGGTGGTAATCTATCGGTGGTAGATGGACTTGCCGACGAGTGTCGGCGTGCATCCCCAGGACGGCCCTGATGCGTAGACTGGCGTTCCATCCCTCGCGTGTCCATATATTCTAACCGACGTCTTTTCGAGGCGTCGTCAGATTCCGACGAGAAATATCGTTCCAACGTCGGGGGGTTGTGTTCGAGTTTAATGTTTTCTAACGGTTTGTGCTGATGCCCCTCCTTGACCTTAACCAAATAGACCGGTCCAAGCTGGACTACATTTTTGGCAAGATCGTTTACTTCATTTAGTAGGCCAAGTATCCGATGTATTTCAGGGAAATTCGGAACATCATCGTGCACCGTCCCTTGTCTGAGGCACTAAGAAATGTTAGAAACTTCTACTGACGCTATGTCCACCATGTCCGCTCCGTGGAAGCTACTCACATGTTCATGGATTTCCTGATATGGCCCGAACGGCCCTAGTGACGTTTCGAATTTTTGTATCATAGAAATAAATTCCTTTATCTGAGGTCTGAACAAATTGCACTTCTCGCAGTTTTGTTCAAAAAGTGAGACCTTTGCCGACGAGGACCCACGGCGCGGATCTGCGGCCCCCAACTCCTCCGCAGCAAGCGTATATGACGACCTCCTCGTATCTTGACTTCCCTGGTACATCGTTTCTATTTCAACCGATCAGCATTCGCAACTCACCGCCATAATTTTGCGACTTACCATTTGAAGACGACGGAGGATCGAAATTTGTTTGGAAGCTAGAGCCGCTACTCTCGCGACGGTATTTTGTCCATGGAGGCTGTGACGGAAATGGAGCCGCATTATGATCGGGTCTGCCTAGTGGCGCATCGCGAGAGTCTACAGGCTGCCGTCGCTCAGCCCCATAGCTATCCTCCAAGCCAGTCCCATACCGGGCTGGCTCTGGCTTCGCAGTCCAACCCTGTGTCTGTGCGCTTGTATCCCAACCAATTTGTTGGGCAGCTGTATCAGACGACCTCCGCGCGGTATGTATCGGTCCACTGAGATGTCGGAAGTGCGAAGGCGGTTGGCCCTCACCAGATCTCGGGCCGGCGCTGTGAGAGCTCGGAGAGGCGTCCCCTCCCTCCCATGATCGTTTGGCAGGTATGTTCGGAGTTGATCTCAGAGAGTCCCATCCAGGCGCGTCCATGACCAACAAGCCTTCCCCCCCCAAGCTACCCGGATGGGGCCGCGCTTGTGGTCTGTAGTAGGTCGTCGAATAAGCTCAGCCCTGCGGCGGAGCATTGGTTTGGGAGAGAGCCCTGAGAGCTCTTGGGGGCGAACTGGCAGTGACACACGTTAGCAACATGCTCATCGGCGACATTGGAGGTTTTCGGTGATCATACTTGTCCGAGGTGTATCCCATTCGGGGTAAGGTATGACGCTAGATGATTCAATGACCGATGGCCGCCTCATTGGGGTTGCTGGAGGTGTCTATCACACCTCCATCATCGGGAACTGCTTGGAGTAGAATAGAGTCGGGTATAGCAGAGTAGAGCAGGTGCAGAGGGAACGCGATTAATGAAGAACGGGGCTTGTGATTAGTGGGAATGATATGCAGCCAGCGTAGTAACTGCTGAGGTAATGATATACAGCAAGAGGCGGGCGGGCGACGGCAGTAAATATGAATTAAGCATTAAAAGCAGGGGAGGAGGAGCGAGGATGAGGGAAGAACGAGGCTGTATGTAGGAAGACACTCTTCTCTCTACTTTCAGAGTATGATTTGATTTGATTTGATTTGATGATTTGAGGAGGTTGCGCCACTTACACACGAGGCGGCTTTTGCTAATAACAAGAAGCTCTCTCACCACCACCCACAGTAACATAACAGTACATACAACAGTAGTGGAGAGTGAGATTTTCGGGGATACAGCTCAACTCCGAAACTCCTGACGGACGGAGGACCCTTTGGTGGCTCGATCCTATAAACGCCAAGACTCTGATGTATGCATGGAACGCGTAGTAGCGACCGAAGAGTAATCGGGTCACCGGGGGGTGTGCATGGAAGGAAAGACAAGTGGCAGACTATGCGCACACCCCCGAAAGGTCCGACGAATGGTTCCAAGAGGATTTCGAGAGAATTTCAAGTTATTTCAAGAGAACCTGTATGTGCTGACTCCCGTGACCCTGCGTATATTCTGGGGAGTAGATGCTGACTCTCGTGACCGGATGCCTCTTCCGCGGAGTAGTTTCGACCGACGTGACTAAGCCGTAGCATCAATGAAGCATACCGAGGAGGGGTGTCAGCACCAACCAGGCGTGAGCGTAACGCTTTGTAAGTTTATGTAAATGTCGTCTCAAGCCACTTATACCGCTCTTGGTTAATGAAAATAGATGACAAATTGTGGCGCTAATTCTGACAACCCACGTTGTGGATATCTGGGGAGAAACAATATCCGATGATCCCATGTGTCCCATACCCATAGCCGTATTTACTGCCCCTACCACTTTCTCTCGAAGTATAGCAGTATGCCCATCCCCATCCGCATCCCCATCATCATCAAATCATAAGCCAACCAACAATCCCGAAGTACGGCCATACTCCCCTCCCTCCTAAGTGGCCAGCACCCACTTCCTTCCTTCTCTTCCCTGAAATGTGTGCTTCCATATATCCATATCCAGTCCGCAGGCCCGCTCGTACACCGCACTATGGGCGTAAAGTACAGTAGGGCTGCGTCGGGGGGCTGATGATTAATCCAAACTGCGAGCTAGGTGTGGGTACTTGTGTACGTACGTGCATGGTATGGCGCCGGAGGATGGTAGCTCTTCATCCGCGGGATACAGAGAGAGGTCAGCATTGCGAGCTCTCGGGGGGTTATGCGGAGGGAGGTGACATGGTTTGCGCTTACTTCTGTACTTTGTGTAAGCCGTTTGGGCGTCTGACACGACGACCCGAACCCAAGTTGGGCCCAATGAATTTCCAGGTAGGTAGAGAGAAAGAAAGAAAGAAAGAGAGAGGTGAGAGGCTAATTGCGGTCTCATGGGGGAGCGAAATTTGTTCACGATGTGATGTGCCATCGTCTCTTGGCCTGCAATAGCAATAATAGTTGGGTTGGGGTATAATAGAATTGATTAAGCCATCCAGCCTGTCTTTCATGTGCTTTCCATCCCCCGTCTCCGGTCTACTCGAAACAATCTCTCCGCTCTGCACCTTGTACTATAACACATAAAAATCTTCATCTAGCTATACCTCCGACCCCTCTTCGACGGCGGTGGTGACGGCGACCTCGAATCCCTGTATTCGCGCCGTCTCTTTGGCGGAGGCGACGCGGACCTCGGTCCTCGTCTACGCGCTAGGCTCAGCGAACGCTCTGCTGAGGGAGACAACGACCGCGAGTCTGAGCGCGAGCGGCTAATGCTCCTTCCCCTCTTTGCAGCTCCAGAACGCCTGCGGGGACTAGCAGAGCGCGAACGACCGCGCGAAACTGGGCGGGCTGCTCCTGCTCCTCGGACTGGGGAGCGAGAGACCGATCGGGAGCGCGAGCGAGAGTAGGAGCGGCGGCGCGACCGGGAACGCGAGTGTGGGCGTGAGTATGACCGGCCACGCGAGCGGGAACGGGATCTGGAGCGAGAGCTGGAGTAGGATCGGGAACGTGAGCGTGAGCGCGAGCGCGCGCGAACGAGTGGCCGAGACCGAGAGCCCGACCGGGACCGTGATCGAGAGCGTGAATACGAGGAGCCCGTATAAGATGAGTAGCTCGATACGGAGCTGCCGTCTGATTCCGCCGCTGCGGCGGGGAGGGCAGGCAGCGCTGGCTTGGGCATGTTCTGTAGGTACTCGCGCATGTCCTCCGTAACTGCTCCCATGCCGATGCTGGTGAAGTAGTTGATGGAGAACCTCGTGTTGCGCGGGTTGTCGCGGGGGAATAAGCCTGTGAAGTTGGCTTGGTATGCGTCGTCCTTCAGACGTGCCTGGAGTTTCTTCATGCCCATGGCCTCCGCGAGGTCTTGGAACAGGATCTTGATGAAGATACGGCTACTTGACGTAGTCTCTTCCTCGTTCAAGTGGATAACGGTAAGGACATGCCAGCCAAGCGCGTCTGAACTGAGAAGGTGGCCGAAGAAACGGGCAATGTTCCTCAGTCGGTTGGTCTCATAGCGATGGATCGTATCGTAATACTTGGTAAACGACTGCTCGAAGAGATCGGTCCAGAGGCGATTGATTTTAGCAAATCGCTCGCCAATCAGACCGTAGAACTTTTGATATGTGCGTTCTTGCGAACAACACTCAACGATCATAGAGGGAAGCTCTGGTTCCTGCCCAGGAGGTAATGAGACCTTCATCAGTTTGTGACAGCACTCCTCCGGGTCGATACTGGACATGATCGTCAGGTATATCGTCCTCCTCAAATTCACAAGATCAGCATTGCTAGCATCCTTGATTTCCAAGGCCTTCTCTTCTTGTTTTTCTTCATCATCTTCGCTTTCGTCACTCTCGTCCTCGTCTTCGTCCTCCTCGTCACTGCCTTCCCCAAGAATTTCCGCCTTAAGACGCTGGTACGCCTCCTCATGCTCTTCCCACTCTGGATCAAACTTGAAAATGTTCAAGCCATCCTGGACGTCGAGCTCATCATCCAAGCTCGTACGGTGTGTAATTTGATCTTCCTCCTCCACTAAATCCAGTTCCTCCTTGATAGCCTGATTATCCTTGTATTTGTCTTTCCGGACTTGAAACAACACCTCGATCATATATTGGACTCGCTTGTCGATATCTGCCTCGTGGAGAATGCTTCGGAACTGGTCGAAAACAGCCAATGCAATGGGACCGCTCATCTCTTCCAAATGCTGGCCTACCTCGCGAGTTAGGCCAACGGCGATTTCAACGCTGTCATCCGTAGGTTTGTGTAGTAATAAGAGTAGTATCTGGGCGGCGATCATTTCGTGCGCCACCTGTTGGTTGCAGAGATGTGCGATGAAGGTGGAAGAAGAGAGGCAGACAGCCTTGTCGTTTCGTTTGAAAGCTTTCCTGAATTGTATAATAAGTCTTGTAAGGAGCAGCTCGCCTACTTGCGGCAGCTTCGTGTTCACGATAGCTGCCATAGCTGCATATATAGGAGTAAATGGCAAACTGGCAGCCTGCGCCTTCATAATGCTTCGGCAGAACAATCCACGCCCTCTCACAAGGTTCTCGCCGAAGAGTTCAGGCACAATGAACTTGATATTCGAGACGTTGACCTTGTTGATGAGACCATTAATAGATTTTTTGAGGGCCTCCCAGGCCATGCGCTGGTATTCCTTGCTCGACTTGTCGGTAATTTGCGACTGCAGGGCCCTTAAACGCGCAGGAGGGATGTATGTGCCTCCGGACCTCACATTCAATAGCTTTTCATATTCTGCCTTCGCAGCTGCCTGCTTTTCCTCTTCGGTCCTCACGGTTGTGGCTGGGCGGCCTCGAGAAGCCAATGGTTTGTCGTGTGATCGGTTGTGATGATCGCTGCGACGCGGCGACGTAGGTACTCTGTTTGGGGATCTTTCATCCGAGTGCCGTTTGGGCGAGGTAGGCGCTGGATCCTCCATAGTGAACTTGGCCTCGAAGCTGCTCTTGAAGGCTTTTCAAGGCGCACCTAAATCGATGGTCGATCGGCGATAAGGTGAGGAGGCGAATGGCAAGACTGTCGCGCGGCGCGACGGCCTCTGCGGAGTATCGCTTGACCACGAGTTCTAATCCGTTGCACGTGTTCGTACGAGGTCCTCGTCGATGGAGACACTATTACAGGCACTCCAGTTTAATTGTTGTCGTTCATTTGCAGTTGTGTTCTGTGCTTGTGTTCCAAATTATTATTTCGAGAGATGCAAGATCCAGCGGCAGCCTTACCTTTTGGGCTAGACCCCAATAGAGACAAGCTTAATGACAGGCAGTGTAGCGCGTCACGACCAGAACCCATGTAAATCGAGTAGGGAGCTTCGAAAACCGAGGGATCTGGACATTATTGAACTGCACTCAAGCAGCCAAAAGTAATTCAACCTCGAGTCGCAACATCGCCCTTTGCCATAAGACATTGAAGCGCTTCAGTTTGACTTCATTCTGTTGGCACTAATATTCTATTCTATTGCGACAATGGTTGGTACACCGAGACTCCCATCAAGTCCCTACTAACGTCTACTCCCTCAGCTTGACAAACTTGTCGGTCTCGCAATGCTCTTGGTAGCTTCTGCTGTGTTCCTCTACTATTCTATCTGGACGCTTCTTATGGTAAGTCGATGGCAAGATCAGGGCTCGAGGCACATCAGCTAACCTCTGGCAGCCATTCGTCGACCCCGATCAACCAATCCAACAGCTATTCCCACCACGAGTATGGGCCATTCGCATACCTGTTATCATCATTTTACTTGGATCAGCTCTTGTAGGATCATTCCTGAGCATTGTCATGATCCGAAGCAACAGAAAGAAGGCAGCAAAGGCGAAGCTGCCATCGAAGAAGAAGGCGTAAATCGTCGCGCCTGAGGCTACGTATCGACAGTTATTGTACTACTACGACTGCACTGTTACAAAATATCTTGCTCTGGAGGATAGAAAGCGGCGGCGGAGGAGACAAGGAAGAGCGCAGGATCCCTCAAACACTGATAGTGGTTGAGGCGCAACGGAGGAAGTGGTGTTGCGCAAATCATGCTCTCAAAGGCGCACCAGGTTGCTTGTGATGGACAACGCTGGTTCAGGGATAAAATTACAATATCTAATGAATATGTTTGATTTCCAACTCATTTTGGCTCTACCCTATATTCTAATATAACAGTAGATAATGTATTTGTAAACAAGTCCAAACACGAACAGCACGGTACTTACAGTACTTGTAAAGTGAAATGTGGCCACCGAGTTACTCACATGAGCAGTTGTGCCTGACATTGTCCGGAATGGATAAATGCCGCTAATTGGTGACTTACGGCAGGCCGCGCGACTGTACGGGGAGGGGTCCAGGCGGGCGCCGCTGTCGCCAAATGCCCCGCCCCTCCTTGTGGTCGCAGCTTATCATCCACAGTCAGGCAAGTCACAAAGGGCACTCTGCTCTTCAAACCACAACACTTACAAACGATATCTAGAAGAATATAAAGTCGCCGGTCGCATTCAGGAGAAATACTACTGCTCGGAATACATCACTCACAGTCATTTGAACTTCACCAACGCTCTAAAACCAACGACGCTGGTAAGCCGGGATCAGTGCCACCTTGGCAGACCCAGCCGCCCATCAGCTTGGACAGCATCGTACGCCCAACTTCATCGCGTTTCAACTCTTCCTGGCGCGGCTGTAGCCAGGTTTTACCTATATACAGCTTCTATCAAGTCTTTGAATGACCCGTTCGACTGAGAAAGACAACAAACCTGCATCTGTTATCGCATCGCTGGCTCGGAAACAGTCACCCCAGTCGTCATCTCCCTCAGCCACCATTCCGACCAAGAAGGAAAGGAGAAATGCGGCGGCGAAGGATAACAGTAGTGGAGGCGCTACGGCAATAAATATTGCATCTAAAGTACTGTAAGTAAAGACATGTGCCAGACCGCCGTTGAAGGCAGCGCCCCATGAAACAAGGCCATACTGATCGTATAACAGAGACGACAATAAGCCAGCAACTCCTTCGCCGCCGACATTTACACCACCGGTCTCTGACGTTAAGCCGGTTACTACTGCGACAAATACAAATAGGCCAGGAATAACGTCGCCGTTGCTGGACGCTCTACCATCCCCTGACTTTGGCCAGTCTATGGGACGGAGCACCACGGAATGGGCCAGAAACATCCCATCGTTCTCGAGCTCTCCAGGTAATCTCATCAACCCCAGCGACACTCCGCCGACGGTTCCATCGTCTTATGATGACAAAAATACACTTGCTGAATGGAATCAACGAGAGCGGAAAGGCGTAAATGGCCATAACCCATCCGCGTCCCCACCCAGCTATCGCCGAAGGCCAGTAAGCGTACAGATCGATGGGCACAATCCATTTGAGGACAATATGTCACAAAGAGGATCCAGCATGCATCGCAGAAATTCTACCTATTCTCAACAGTCACAACGCTTTGGCCCCCATCCTCCGCTTCCCCACCAGGCGCAGCCGCATTTCTATGGTGCGCCAGACATCAACTTAGGATTACCGATTCGCCGCATGGGCTTAAAGCCAGGCTCGCAAGGCTACTTCTTTGGTTTGGACAGCATTAATACATCCAGAACTGGCTCAAAGCACACTGAGAGTGTGGTCATATCTGGGTTTGAAGGGGGCCTGAGCGTTCATGCAATTTCGAAGTCGGGAATCACCGAGATATCGACTCTCGACGGCCTACGCGGCGGTGTCTATAGCGCGAAGATTTTGCCGTGGACAGTGAAAGGCGAACTCTCGGGCGGCTTTCCTTTGGTCGCTGCTGTGGTACATGGACCTGCATTCTATGAGAATGGTGGGGAACAGGGTTCACTAAATCTTGGAGCCACAGAACCGCCGGCAGAACAGACATCTGGCAGTATTGGCAATTCATCAAGAGGTCATCGTATGCAAGGCGGCTCGACTAGACACTATCAAACAACAGTGGAAGTTTGGTCGCTGAGCACGAAGAGATACGTGGGAACACTTCTCTCTCTTCCAGAGACGATTCTCCCAATACCGATCACAAGCCCGCATTTCGTCCCTCCAGCACCAGCAGGTGCTTTGACGGTAACTGCAGATGCAGGAAATATTGTGGTTTCATCAGGAATCACTGGCGAGCTATGGGTTTTTCGTCAAATAAAGATCGACAACGATGCGTCAATGAGCTTTCGATGTCTAGGCAAGTTCTGGACTACAATTCAACAACCAGCCCCTTATGAGCCATCAGCCCAGCCTGATTTCGGGGATGGTGACGGCCAGTTCAATGAAGCCAGGCTGAATAAATTGCGTCCAAAGTCGACGTTATTTTCACTACGAGGGCGATGGCTGGCTTACAGCCCTTCTAGTGCAATGAACCAAGTGTCGCTAAGAGCGCGTGTTGACATCTCGAAGTCGAACACTAGAATACCTGGACTGAACACTTTCGCACCGCCACAAATTCCCACGGCTAACTGTGCTGTTGACACGCCCCAGGGGGAAGAGTTCTGGGGCCGTTTGCGACGCCAGGCAGCTCAGGAGGCTATCAAGGGTGCAAAGTGGGTTGGGGACCAAGGATCAAGGGTATGGGCGAATTATTGGAATAAACCTACCAATAATGTAAACGGAAACTGGCAGTCATCGGGCCAGAAGGAGCCTCTTCCTGACTTTCCACCCACGCATGGAGCCGCCTTGCAATACGATACGTCACAGTCCGACCCGGTTCTTATAACAATTGTCGATCTTGACAAGCTTGCAACGCTTCGGAATACGACATCTGCGACTATGGCCACGTTCAAAGTGCCTCTTGGCTGCAGTTATATGTCATTCTCTCCTACAGGTCTAGCCTTGTTTACCGCAAGCAACAAGGGGGATGTTCAATTTATCTGGGACCTGATGCGGATACAGCATACGAAGTCTTCAGCTTTGCAACCGCAGGCTCCTGGGCCTTCGCAGGGCATACATGTTCGGCAGATTGCTTCGTTTACTCGCCTTACAGTTGCGAGAATTGTCGATGTGATATGGACCATGCCACTTGGTGAAACGATTGCCATGGTCACAGAGCGGAACACGGTACATTTCCTCGATGTGCCACACAATGCCTTTATTTGGCCACCTCTCCGCCAACGGGCGAAAACGTCGTCGTCGGTGTACCCCTCAAATATCAGAGAGGCTTCTCCTTCGGCATCTGCAATGGCAAGTAACGTGGCTAATGCAGCTTGGAACCTCACTCAGCCGTTCTTAGCACGTCCACGCGGTGCAAGTGGCAGCTTTGGCCCTATTCCAAACCGAACAGGTGCCATTACTGCGAGCCTCACTGCAATTGCTGGCCAAGGTGGCAAGGCAATCGCTTCGGGGATAAGCAAATCGTTCGGTGCAGCGACTGGCACCATTCAACAATTCAGAAGAGCTGGCGACAACAAATTGCATCTTCCACAGACAGCATCAATTTGCTCGGTCGGCTGTGTGAAGTGGCTAGGCGGTCGCAGCAAACAGACATTTGCTGCACTTGTGGATGGCCATGTCAAGATGTATACGATTAAACATGTTAGGTCCAAGAGCAAGCCTGGTGTGTACCGTATCCACATCGGAACTGCTCCGGCCGATATCAGGATCCCATCGATCCCGGATAATAAGATAGCTCCGCTGATAAAGCGAAAGCTCGATCTGGCGGACGAAGAGGACCTCGAGGAAAGAGATGCGGGGGAGAACCGCATACTTCTCTCACGTCCTACGTCTCTACCTGCAGGACGCCCCATTTTAGGAACCGAGTCCTCCATTCCTCACGCTGAAATCGAGTCAAATGCACCTTATCAGCCATTCCACACAGATCCTCGAGTTACGCTATTTGCATACTCCGAGGTTTCACACCAGCTTCTATCTCCGACAACTTCGGCATTGTTTTCTCCTCCGCTTTCTACGGAGAAGGCTAACCGCCCCTCTAGTCAGCCATGGGTGTTTGGTGGCCCTATACATGCTGCCAATCTTCACGTTGGTAAAGAACACTCTGATGAGGACGCTCTCATGTCGTCCGAGTATCACCGCGCTTTACCAGCTGAATCCATGGAGCGAGTCACCACGAGAATCCCAGATGATTTATCGGAGCCCATCGTCAGCACCACCCGCCGGCGGAAGTCCTCACGAACCACTTCGGATCTACCAGATGATGAAGAGGGTTTCTTTGAAGATGATTGTACTGTGATTGATTTCGCGAGTAACAGAGTCTAAATGCTCAGAAAATCCTCACAAAAAAAACTTATGCATCTACGTCTTTATTTATTACTATCAGCATTGGTCGGTCGTTTGGTCATTAGAGAGCATCGGTTGTTCATCGAAATATTTTACTGCTCCAGAGCAACAATTATGCCCCTCAACTGGGCGATACATTTTTGGGGGTTGCTTTACATTCGTTATTGGTGGCTATGGAGTTGGACTGCGTGCGTTCGTACATATGGCTGCCTGCGTCTGTTCGGTGATTTGGATTGGATTGGGGAATTTTTTGAGATACCTAGGCTAGCTGCACGTCAGCCCTCACATTATAAAGTGAAATTGATCGTATTTATATCAGTCATCGCGTTTTGATACAGTTGCAATAGTGAAATGTATATATTATTAAACCAGGAACTGGTTCGCTTTCTTTATAGAAGGCTCCACAAGCCATATAAGCTACAGAGACCTTGAGTCTATCCACCCCCCAGTATCACATTAATACGCCGTCCAGATTCTAATCGTACCATCTAAGCCATACTCCAGAACCCCATAAGCCAGATCTATCCCATCGCCACCAATTAACAGACTCCATTGTTGTACATCCCAGGGTATCGTGAAGGGAAAATATTTGAAAACACCCCCATGACAAAACACAGCATGCAGCACGCCACAATCACTGCTCACTTCCACCCCGCCAAACTGGCGTCGACGTCTCTAGCCATGCCCATGATAAGCTTCATATGCTTCTCGCGATCTGCCTTCTTCAGCGCCTCTCCAGCCTGCTCCAGGAGCTTCTGGGCAGCAAGCTGCTCTTCCGGGCCAAGCTCCGCCGCTTCACCACCATTCGCAACAGTCTCCAGCCCGGTCTTGACCTTCTTCGAAGCAGCACGTTCACGTGGCGTGCGCGGCAGGCGCGGACGGGCGAGTAGCTCCTCGATGCTCAGATTTTCGTCCTTGGAGGGGTCGTAAACACGCAACAGCGGATCATTGGGGTGTCCTTCATCGGAGCCCGGGGCGACGGTGGCGGCATCTCCGGCAGCGGCAGCGAGGGTTGTGAGCTTGGAGGAGACCTTGGCGGGGTTGAATGCTGTGCTGGAGACAGAATCGTTGTCGTCGTGCTCCGACTCGTGGCGGGACTGCGAGGGGTCGGGGGTGGTTGCTGTGGTGGTGGCGAGGGAGTCGTAGGCTGAGGCGCTGGAGGAGGAGGAGCTGTAGAGGCGCTTGAGCGCGGAGTTGTCGGACATGACGGGTTGGCTGGAAGTGAATTAGAGGTTGTAATGTCAGGCCAGAGAGCGGTGCGTACTTTTTGAGGGAAGTGGCCCGAAAGAGTAGTGTGAATCCGACAAGGGAAATTTAATTTTTACGGGTTATGAAGTTTTTGTCACGGGATGAAGAATCTGTACAGAGGCTTTCTTGGGGAAAACTTGGTTGTTGTTTCGTGAAGAAAGGTAGAATTAAGAGATTCCGAAAATACACTTGACTTTAATGGCCTGATTGTGATTTAGACTGACCGTCGCGCCAGTTTTGTAGACGTTGCCCTACTCGGCAATGCGTCGCGCGATCTGGCATCGTGACTTTCTTATCCACTAGCTAGCGGGTATGGAAACGACGGTGTCTCCCCAAAATTAGAGGCTAAAGGCGGGTACAAAGCGACTTCCGCTCATTATCTCCAATCTCTTTTTCGCAATTGAAGGTGTGTATATTGGGATCTACAGAACCCTGTCAATCATGACGTCCCAGATGTTCGATCCCATCCTCTAGTTTCTCTTGGACCCCTTCTGCCCCTTATCCCCTTTCTTACCGGCTATCTTCGATCTTGTCGCAGGCTCCACACTAGGCTCCATACTAGGCTCATCAACCGGGTCTCCGGGCAGCGCATGTGACATCCTCGGGATGAATTTACTGACTCGTTTCTGGTATTCCTTGTACTCTGGGTATTTTTGTGCTGTGAGTTTCTCCGTCAACCAAGTGGAGCCTTGGAATAAGCAAACCAGACCTAATGCGCCGAATCCAGTCCAGTTATATAGCTGGTCAGTGTTGAAGCACGACCATTGATATACGGCAACCCAGAAGGCTTGCTCGCACACAAAATTTGGGTGGCGACACAAAGAGAAGAGACCGGTGACAACGAAGCCTCGTTCTAAGTCCCCTTGTTCGTAACCTTGAGGAACTTTGGCGGTGGCCCTGTACTTCGCCTTTGCGGTTTGGAAAGCTTCACGGAATGTTAGTATCCACATGTGCCAATATGAAGTGAGAGTACAAACTCCATTGTTGGTGGTCAGCCAGGGCCTCGATCAGGACAAGACCACCAAGGGCTCTGGGGAATAATGTATCGACCTTCGACATGGGCATTTCCATGTTCGATACTAGCAGCTGGATATAGGCTGGCGTCGAGATTAAAAGGAGGAGACTGAGTTGCATGCCAGCAATGAAGATGATGTTGAAGACGGGCCATATCGCTTTGCTATATGAATCGACCACCTTTTTAATAACCATCCTGAGCACGCTGTTAACATTTTGTAACCGTTACTCAAACCAGAATATGTCCTCACCATCTGTAATCCTCAGAGCCAATATTGTAACCTCCTCGTCGCCAGTAGTTGAAAGTTAACCGGCCCTATCCCCATATTAGCCGCTGAGCGAGACCCTTATTCTGGGTAACTTACACTCCAAACAACAACAGTGAATAGAAGCATATCTAGTCTCTCAGTATCCAGCCCAACCACGTGTCCATATGCTACAAAATGCCCGATGAATATCGCCGGCAAGATGCTCCAGAGCCGGTCGACCTGCGAATAGTTCCTGTTGACTTCCGACGCGATCCACACTATCGGGAATAGGAACAGCCCCAATGCCAATGCAGATATCATGGGGTTTGTCGCAACATAAAGCTGGAGGAGCTCATCGCGGCTCGAATATGAGTTGAGGAGCTGTTGAGGCAATTCGTACAGCTGAGGCAAGAAGGGAGCGACGGTCTGGGAGAAATCGGCGCACTCCTCGAACGTGGCCACAGTTGGCAATGCCATAGTCGTGGCGACGAGCTGCATTTATCGTATATTTATACTCTGTAGCTGCATGTAGACTAAAAGATGTCGTTATGGTCGTACAGGCAAGTGGGATCGTGTGCAGTTGGAGACGTGTCGTCATACGCGACATATATACGGAGCACCGCTTATTGAAGGCTTATCCACAACCCCCCTGCCGTACCTGGCTCTGTGCCTGGACCACTTTATAAATTGCGCGTGCGTGTAGTAAATCACAGTGCAAGGAAGCGCCACTGTCATTTTTGTACAACTGCACTGCAGCGTTCCATACCATACAGGGGTCTGCTTGGTTGTGCCTGCTTATTCCTCTAGTTCCTGTTCCTGGTGGCAGGTCCCCCATATAAACCCTTTAAGCTTATTTATTTACCCTGCCTGTCGAAATAAAATTTGGCGGACACGCGTTGGATGGTCATCCACACCTCTTTCCCCCGTATACCGACATGGAATCGAGACGGGAACCCTCAATATATAAGTTCCAGAGATTTCTTAATATTATAGTCTCTTAAGACGCGTAGGAACATGGTATGACAGGAAATCATGGGTCCCAAGATCCTTTGCGTGGCGGAGAAGCCTAGTATCGCGAAGGCAGTCGCAGGACATCTTGGCGGAGGTTCTTTTGCGACAGTAAGACTGAATCTAGAGATGCGTATAGCACACTCTCTCTGTGCCCAATACTGATGATACCTGGCAGAGAAATGTCACCGGCGCCCAGTATACCAAGAACTATGACTTCACTTTCAATTTCGGCCCGCCATGGGGAACGTGTAATGTTACCATGACAAGTGTACTTGGGCACTTGACCGAAGTAGATTTCGGTCCCGAGTTTAAAGATTGGAGATATCCTCCCCCCCGCAAGTTGCTTGACGGTCGTGTTCATGTCAAAGTCCACAATGTAAGCTGCTCAGCGAGACCCGAAGGCAACCACTAACACAACCCAAGGACAAGGCGGCTATTGCGAGGAATATCGAGACCCAAGCCAGGAATGCCAGAATTCTCTTCATATGGACTGATTGTGACCGCGAAGGGGAACACATCGGTAATGAAGTTAGAGAACAGGCAGTCAAAGGCAACTCCTCTATCGAAGTCAAGAGGGCAAAGTTCAGTAACATAGAACGAGTGTAAGATACCAGAACCTTTCTGAAGTGTATTCTAACATTTCTTAGGCACGTCATAAATGCAGCTAAACATCCCATAGAACTTGATAGCCGTCAAGTGGATGCAGTTGCAACTCGCATTGAGCTTGATCTAAGAATCGGTTTTGCATTTACTCGCTTTCAAACTCTCTCACTCCAGTCCCTTGGAGGCCCATTAGGAGATGCCAAAATTTCTTACGGTAGGCCCTCTCTCCAATTCCATCGCGGAGAGCCCTCTTCTCACAGTTACAACAGGCTCATGCCAGTTTCCCACTCTTGGGTTTGTCGTCGATCGATATTTGAAGGTTCAAAACTTCGTACCAGAACCGTTCTGGAGTATAAAGGTCACCCATACTCGTGACGATATTGACGCAACATTTCACTGGAATCGCAACCGGCTTTTTGACCGTGCTGCCGTCACAATACTATTCGAACGATGCCTCGACGCGAAAATAGCAAAGATCACCAAGGTCCAACAAAAGCCAACCAAGCGATGGAAGCCACTACCGCTCACTACAGTCGAGCTGCAAAAGATGGCTAGTCGATTTCTACGTATGAACAGTCATACAGCTATGCAGGTGGCAGAGGGCCTCTACAACAAAGGAATGATCAGTTACCCCCGAACAGAAACAGATATATTTGACAAGGGCATGAACCTCAAGGCACTCGTTGAGAAGCACACGCAGGACAATCGATGGGGACCATTTGCCCAAAATTTAGTCAACGGGGGCTTTCACTGGCCTCGTGCAGGGCGAAATGACGACAAAGCACATCCGCCGATTCATCCCATTGCTGCCTTCAACGCAGACCGGAATAGTGACGAGGGCCGCCTTTACGAGTTTGTTGTCAGGAGATTCTTGGCATGTTGCTCTGAAGATGCCATTGGAACCGCAACCGATATCGAGCTACAATATGGGCCCGAAGCTTTTCATGCCCATGGAGTTATAGTACTGGAGCGCAATTTCCTCGACGTTTACCCTTATGAGAAATGGACAGGAAACATGCTCCCTAAGTTCACTCTTGGGGAACAGTTTGAGCCCAAGGAAGCCACACTTACAGATGGCAAGACCGCATCTCCAGGATATCTGACCGAACCCGATCTTATTGCCCTAATGGACGCCAATGGTATTGGAACAGATGCTACAATGGCCGAACATATTGCAAAAATCAAAGACAGGGGATACGTCATGACACAGTCAAAGGGAGGTGGTAATGCGCCTGTTAGGGAAGACATTGCATCAGGAAGAGGCCGAGGTGCTGGCCGTGGTCGAGGCAGAGGGAGGGGGCGGGGAGGGGGTGCTGTCGCTGAAAGTGGCAGGTCAAGCGGAGGCGTGGAGGAATTCATACCAACGACTCTTGGAGTCGCGCTAATAGAAGGATACGACAATATCGGCTTCGAGGAGAAGCTGAGCAAGCCGTTTTTACGGAAGGAATTGGAGCTCCAGCTTAAGGCCATCTGCGACGGTACCAAGACAAAGAACGAGGTTCTGCGCGCCGAAATAGGACTGTATAAACGAGTCTATGACCAGACTGAAGAGGAAGTGGGCCATTTGATAGCTGTAAGTTTCTCATTTCTGTGTGCGATTACGTGGGGTATTGGCAATTCAGGAAGCTATGTTCCTTAGGGCCAAGTATTGACTATGAATCTAGGCGTGTCGAAGATACATCTTCAACGGCGGAGTGCAGTAGCATGTTATATGACCCACGTTTCGCCGACGATGCGGGGTACTTTGCGTCTTTTATCAAGACTGTCGTAGTCGTCGTCGTGGCCACCTGGTCTGAGAACAACCACCATGTGGTGGTTGTATAAAACATGTCTCATCGGCGTTGATCGATGGTGGCGAGCAAAGCCGTGCCATTTGATCCGGTCCAGTTCTATCGAAACGTGCCCGATCAACTTGACCCCGCCAAACCATGCATGATGCTGGTTGTGGCCGGCGCACCTGGAGCCGATCGATTTCCCCTCAATAATAGCCGAGCAATCAGGACTTGACAAGCTAGGAACGTGGGAATTGCAGTGTTATTGTTGGAGCTAGCTAAGGGTTTGATAACGTCCGACGCCGAGGGCGAACCTCTTACACACGTCATGGCTTGGTTTTCAATTATCATTTTCCGTGAGGGAAGTTTGCGATCCGTGGGGATCCGCGCGCACCAAGGGCATGAAATGAGGGCAAGTGGAGAGGGCTTTGATAGATAAAGCAGCGAAACCTCAAAAATGAATTCCTTTTGTGCGCCAGCCGAAGTGGGGAGTGGAGTCCTCGCTGTAATGACAGTTCCCGAGATGTGGAGAGAGATAAGACGCGGCAAGTGAAATCCAGCCCACAACATGAGGTCTCGGACAGTTTTGCGCAGAAGGACGAGGTGCTTGCGGCTTCACGATGCCCCGCCGGTGCTCCATCTCGGGTGATCGAGCTGGAAATAGCTAATTGCATTGAGGGGCAAAATGCGATACACAAAACGTTTTTGGGGATATTCTTTGTTCATTACGTGAGTTAATGGCAGGGGCTTACCTTTTTCTCAGTACAGTACTTATCCTCAGGTAAGAAAGTGTGAGTAAGGGGATGGCTGTGGGCAGCGAGATTAGGAAGGGAAAAGCAAGGAAGCCTGCACGGTTACTCTCTGATTTTAATATGAGCGGATTTACAGTGAAGTCCAAAAGCCCGTCGATGTCTTCCGGGTTCTAACGCACCATTATCTGCATTCCTTGCTTTTTTCTTACTGTACTCTACTGTCACTACTACTCGTAGACTGAGTCTTTGAGTCTATCTATCTATCAGCTGGTCTCAGCTACGAACGAACAAAGAAAGGACGAATAGCGACGCGTTATTATGCCACAAGCCACGCCAAACCACCACCACCACAAAACATAGCCATCGAACAGTACTTCTTACCACACTTCCACACGGTAGAATGTGTGGTACCAAGGTATGTTCGATGGCGGTTCCCGACTTAGGGGCCCTTTCCTTTCTCTTGCGGCAAGGTTGATCCATAAATGTACATTTCATACTAAGAGTACATTCATACTAATAGAAGTACCCGTATTACCTGGAGAGGTACTTGCTTGGTCCGCTAATGTCCGCCCGTCCGCTTTGTCTCCAACCCAATACGCTACGGCACATGTCCCAAGAAGTACGTACTCCCACACTGACTCCCCCGGAAACACACTCGCACCCACCCAGGTATTACTGCCCAGCCAGCCAGTGCCAGTGTGAGCCTGGATGGACTCATATGCTCCCCCTTCCCTCCCCCTTCCTCCCCTTCCTTCCATCAACATCACCAAACAAATAAGAATCGCACAGCAAACAAACAATCTGCTTTCGCATATACCAGCACTGCCTCTGCTTCTAAAGTCGCTTTACTTGACTTTACCATCAAGTAAATTCGTACGAAGATAGCCTCTGTCAGCAGAAGACTCGATTCCAGTCGCTTCGCACCAACCCGGTCATCGCGTCCTGAAATCGATCGCCTCGTTTCTTTGGCAAGCCGAGTGAGTCAACCCAAACGAAGAAATTCCATCGCCGAGTACTTCCAACGCTCAACGCGTGATATTCTTGTTGCGCGCATACCGTACTGGTGGCTAATATTCCGCGCGCGCAATAGAGAAACGAACCCAAGCAACCCTTCTGTCAATATGGCTACGACGAGATCTAGCATTTCCATCGCCTTAAATGGCTCCATGGCAAATGCTCGCGACATAAAGAAGCCCTTGAGTCCAGACGCTTTCACTAGTGGTCTGGCCAAGAGTGTTCCTGCTACGAAAGCTACCCATACCCTCCCTACTCCTCCCAACTCCATCTCTCCGAATCTGGCGCCACACGGCCTCAAGTCGCAAAACTACGGCTCCACTGCCCCAGGCCACCTGGATGCCGTCGAGTCCGACTTCGACCTCCGCGATGGCAGTGGCGGCAGCATGGATTCCCAGAATGGCTTTGAGACGACCGGGTCCATCACCCCAACCCTTCTCGCGAAGCACCACCTTCCCGACATCCTTCTGAACAACGGCCCCCTCGCCATTCGCCACATCATGGGATACCTCACCACCTCCGTTCCTGGATTCTCCAGCATCCCGCCAGCCAAGGCTCGACGACTGGTAGTTGGAGCGCTGGAAGGTCGCGGAGGTGGCGACGGCGGCGGACTGAGCGGAGACGTCAAGTTTGAGAAGGTTGGATGGGGAAGATGGGATGCGAGAATGAACGGCCAACCAAGCCGCGAATCTCGCGGACAACAATCGCCACCCCCCAGCTTGCCAACCTACTCGATGGGAATGCCCATCAACAATACCAACGGTGGCAGGGCACGACCCAACGCGCCATCCTCCAGCTGGGCTGGCGACTCTGCGGTCTTCTCCCACGAAGACGACGTCGATATGGAGATGGAAGAGGTAGACAAGATGTCACTTGATGGCTCCTGCTCTTCTTCCGAAGCACCTCCAGACGACGAAATGATGGGAGACGACCCGGAAGACATGACCGACGACGAAGACTGGGCCGCCGTCGGCGCAGTCGCCCTTCGTCAAGCATCTTACAACGGATCCGTACCTCTTAGCGGACGCAGCTTCCTCAATACTCATGTATATACTGGAGGGGCTGTATCAAACAACTACGGCGGAGCATCTCTCTCTGCTATGGCAAAATCAGCGCCACTTCGCCATCATGATCATATTTCCTCTCAACAAGCATCTAACCCCAAGGTCGATTTCAGCTCCCTTGGGATGGCCTCCGACTCTCAGGAGCGCGAGGCCATCGAGGCGCTCTTGCGTCTTGGTTCTGTATAATATCTTAACGGCGTTCTGGTGGTTATTACGGCAAATGGGAATACCTCTTATACTACGATCTCGCGGCGACGATCGATCGATTCCCATGGTTTTTACGGCACGGGTTGGGTTTTTTTAGTAATGGATTTTTTTAAGGAAACAAGCGCGACTTGTTTTCAGCATCGCCTCTCAGAATATATGAGGCGGTTCGATGCGCAAATACACAACTTTTTCTTTTTTTCGACAAATACATCGATATCTCTGGTCCGAAACACGACTAGTGGGGACTTCGTACAGGGCTTAAAACACATGGCCTGGAGCCTCAACTGTCACCTGCGAATTCAACTTCTTTCCGTCGTCCTGACTCCTTAGCTGGCAGCTTCGGGAACGACGTCGCCTTTGCGCGAATTTTATTTATACCACTTTTTATGGTCCCCCTCCCATGGGGGATCCGACACTTCTTCAAGACTTTTTTGTTGCGAATTCCTTTTTTTGATATGGGATCGGCAGGATGGGAAACACGGAACTGAAGCGGGCCCCCTTCAACGGTGGCTGGGCGCTTTAAAATGGGAATGGGACAGACGGATAAGGGATTGGGGAAAAGCCATTCCTTATTACATGTATGATTGATTGGAACACAGAACATTCCTTTTTCTTACATGGATATGAGGGCTTTTATGGAATGAGGATCGGGGAGGAGCGGATGGATGGATACTGGAGGCCACACAGTCCCTACATAATTTACCCACAATTTGAGGCTCTCTCGTGGCAGTATTCTGAATAGTAATAATGGTGGTTGGTGGTTGAGAGATGGGGAGGGGGAGTGACGTTTTTTTCCTAGTTGATACGTGCTCGTTTGGGCTGCGCTGGGTTTACGTCGGAGTAGGGTATATAGTTTTTTTTAACACGTCTCGCGAGTCGAGGTTGTGTGTGTGTCAATGAGAAAAGACTACTACCCGGCTACTTTATTTGCTATGGTTTTGAGTGAGCGTGTGACTGCCTGTTGGTCAACGTGACTGTCTCGGAGGAATTGGGGTGGTGTTGGGCCGGATACTTGGCGGCATATATAGATTGCTGGAGAGACATTTATGAGGGAATAAATGTATTGGGTTGTTATAGTGATCTTATGATTACTCGCAGTGATGACATCAATCTGGTTCGGATTTTAAGTAATGCAGAGGTACTATTAAATTATAAATATTGGTATGGTATGTCTTATTAAACTTTTAGGGGGATTTTTTATATATTTTATTATAATAATGATCAGCAATATAAAAATTTAATCACTGTCACAACAGTACACAGTCGGGGCTTCTCAAACACCCTCTAGACGATACTGCACTGTAGTTCTACTGCACGAAGTCTTCAAAGCGGTGATTCCATATACATCTACGAGATGGATTTAACCCCCAGCCCCTTTCCACCCCCCAGCCCCATCAGAGCCATCAATCCTAACTATACAGTACACCCCCCTCCATCATCGACACCCCATCCATCCCAACCCACAACCCCCCCCTACAACCTCGCCGAAAGCCCAACCCCATACCAGATAGTCGCGCCCAAGCTAGCCAAGTTCAACACCGCGCTCGCACCATGCACACGCGCAAACCTCTTGTTGAGGGCAAGCATATCCTTGCTATGCGGCGCGGGATCAATACTCTTCTTCCCATCCTTGATCTCCTGCGCCTTCCGCAGCTTAATCAGCTCCGACGTCTTCGGGCCGACGAACACGAGATTGAGGAAACCGCAGACGAAGGCTGTGGTCAGGGGGTAGAGGACGCTCCAGTGGTTTGCGGGCGCCAGGGCGCCGTGGTAGGAGGAGGGCCCGGAAGCGATGCCAGGGTAGGTGAGCGCGACGAGGAGGGGGAGGGTGGTTTGGAGGGTGAAGTAGCGGGGGAAGACGCGTTGTTGGAGGGCGGAGAAGTGGGCGCGCTCGAGGGTTTGGTAGGCGGTTATGCCGCTGACGAAGGTCTTGGGGGGGTGTTAGTCGGGGGGAGTGATGGAGGGGGGGTGGATGGTGATGGGGAAGGTGTTGTGGGGAATTGATGGCTGATAGTTTGGTGATAAGACGTTATAAGAGATGAGATTTATGTTACTTACCTGCCACATCTGCGCACCGAGGTGGGTGCCATATCTGAGTCTGTCAGTACGAGACCAAGCACCAGCCTGACCAATGACTTACGCAACGATATGATACGGAGCCAAAGTGTTAAAGATTGAAACGTCGGCCATTTTGGAGTTTGAGTGAAGCTGTATGTATGTTTAATTGATGCTTCGTTGCGGGGAGGGGACTGGATTAAGGAGTCAGAAGTTTGGAGTCGATGCCCGAGGAGATGGACTATAAAGCGGGAGCGCGTCATCTGCCGTTATCCGAGGCAACCAAACTGTCTTATCTGCACGTGAGACCGTGACATAATGGTTAATTGGACGCGTGAGACTACGCGTTTGCCTAGCCCAGCCATCTGTCGGAATCCTTCAATCATCGACAGGTTTCCATTCCACTCCCAGTGATTTAGTTTTTTAATCTGCTTTTTAGCAATTCGATTTTTTTATGTGATAGAAGAATACAGTAACATAACTCTGCCTCAACCGGCAAGATGTCGGGCAAGGAGGCAACCATCTTCATCGTTGACCAGGGCGCTTCCATGGGCAGGAAGAGCAATGGGAGAGACGAGAGCGACCTGGATTTTGCGATGAGATATGTCTGGGATTCTCTTGCTACGATCATGATCACGGGACGGACAACCCTCACAGTTGGAATTGTCGGGTTCAGGACCGATGAGACGAACAATGCCCTGGAGGGGGAGGAAGGGTACAACAACATCTCCATTATGCAGCCTCTAGGACCCATTAAAGTGCCGGATCTGAAAAAGTTGCAGAAGAGTGTCAAGCCAAGCAAGACGGATGTGGGAGATGCGGTTTCGGCGATCATAATTGCCATTGATATGATGGAGAGGTTCACGAAGAAGTTGAAGTATGCGAGGAAGATTGTACTGGTCACCAATGGGACCGGCTTGATGGACTCTGATGATCTGGATGAGACGTCTTCAAAGCTGAATGAAGATGGCATAGAATTGGTGGTCTTGTGAGCTCCAATGTCCCCCAATGTCTCATCTGGTGGCTAACATGATACTAGGGGAGTTGACTTTGATGACCTGGAGTTTGGCTTCAAAGAGGAAGACAAGGATTCGCTGAAGGTCATTTTACTTTGTCCGTCGATTAAATTCCATTGCTGACACATTTTAGGCTGGCAATGAGAAGGTTTTGAGAAGTCTTGCGGACAAATGTGAAAAGTCAGTATTTGGCACTGCCGCAGAAGCGGTCCAAGACTTATCTATACCGCGCGTCAAGGACTATAGACCGTATGCAACTTTCAAGGGCCAGCTCACATTAGGAGACCCTGAGAAGTATGACACCGCTATGTGCATCGACATCGAGCGCTATTTCCGCACCAAAGTCGCCAAACCTCCTTCCGCCAGCAGTTACGTTGTGGCGGAAATGGGTGGCGACATCGAGGGCGATGTTAAGATGGAAGACATTGCAACCCAAGGTGATGCACTTACTGCCGTGAAGAATGCAAGGACATACAAGATAGTGGATGAGACTGCCCCTGGCGGGAAGAGAGATGTCGATAGAGATGATCTTGCTCAAGGGTTCGAGTATGGTCGGACCGCAGTTGCCATTGCCGAGTCGGACCAGAATATAACGAAGCTGGAGACTGTGGCAAGTTTCTCGATCGTGGGATTCATACCGGCTGAAAAGGTCAGTAGCATTTTGCCGAGCAGCTATCACTTTATTCCGACGCATTTGCTGACATATCTCTCTAGTACGAGCGATATTTTAACATGGGCGAAAGCTGTGTTACTGTTGCTGCGAGGTCAAACGAAAAAGCTCGACTTGCGCTTTCATCTCTCGTTCACTCACTTGCAGAACTAGAGTCATATGCCGTCGCTCGCATCGTCTTGAAAGATGGCAAAGACCCCCAGCTTGTCCTCCTATCGCCATCCATCGAGCCAGACCTCGAGTCTCTGATTGATGTGCCTCTTCCCTTCGCTGAGGATGTTCGCCTGTACCGCTTCCCTCCACTTGACCGCGTCATCACACTATCTGGCCAGACCATGACCAAACACCGCAACCTCCCTACAGATGAGCTCACCAAGGCCATGTCAGCCTATGTCGATGCTATGGACATCTCAACGTTTGGCAAGGATGACGAGGGAAACCCAGTAGAATACATGGCCATCGAAGACACATATTCTCCCGTTCTCCATCGCATCAACCAAGCTATCCGTCGCCGCGCCGTGCAACCCGACGAGCCCGTGCAACCTCCCCCCGAAGTTCTTATGAAATACTCGAAACCACCTGCCGATCTCGTCAAGGCCAGCGCAACTCAGCTCGAAGCCCTCATCGAGGCCGCCGACGTTAAGAAGGTGCCACCGAAGGCTAAGGGCCGCGTAAAGGAGGCCATCAAGCCCCTCTCAGGTCTCAATGTCGACGCCCTGCTCAGCCGCGAGGAAAGGACCGAAATCAACTCCGAGAATGCTATTCCGGAATATAAGCAGCGTCTTGGCACGGCTGAAGATATCACTACGATCGAATCAGCCACCAAGGAGATGGACGGGATCATTCGCTCCTTGATCGAGCATAGCCTCGGCGACAGCGGGTACGGGCAGGCTATTGCGAATCTGGGTGTGATGCGAGACGAGCTGGCGAGTCTGGAGATGCCGGAAGTGTATAATTCGTTTATACGGCGGCTGAAGGAGGATCTGCTGAAAGAGAAGCTGGGAGGTGATCGAAGAGAGCTGTGGTGGGAGATTAAGAAGGCGAGGCTTGGGTTGGTGGATAAGAGGAAAACGGAGGTTAGCACGGTGAGCGAGGAGGAGGCGACGGAGTTCTATGCTGTCACGAGCGATATACCGATGCGTGCGAAATAGTTAATTTTGCTACTGTGCTTGTTCGATATGTAAGACCTTCATTGAGGCATTCGATGTTCTAGCCATAGTACTTGTGTGCACAGGTGGGAATTGATGAAATTCAACTGAAGACAGCAAACCTGATCTTTTATCTTAATTTTTAAGTAACAAGCCTGTTGAAGAGCTCTAATAATTTCTAAGTCTTCAAGAGTGTTCATTTATTTGCATTTATTATAAGCAACTCGATCTCCACACAAATGAAATAGAGCCGTCGTGCCAAGGTTTGTCAGCGACTCCAACCCACCACAACAACGTTAATCCGTTCCTGACAAGCTCAAGCGTGCTACGTAGGAACAGCTCCCTCTCTCCACCTTCTCACCTCCAAGAGCAATCATGTCAACAATCACCACCACCGCCCTCCAAACCTCTTACCCCGCAATTCTCCCTCTCAGCTTCAATGGGAACCAGCCGGAGACAATCCGCCTCTACCCACTCTCCAACTACACCTTTGGCACCAAGGAGAACCAGCCCGAAGAAGACCCGTCAGTGCTTGCGCGCCTAAAGCGCCTTGAAGAACACTATGAGCTCCATGGAATGCGCCGTACCTGCGAGGGCATCCTCGTCTGTCACGAACACAATCATCCTCACATCCTGATGCTGCAGATTGCAAACGCGTTCTTCAAGCTCCCGGGCGACTACCTCAAGCCCGAGGACGACGAGATCGAGGGATTCAAGGCGCGCCTGAATGAACGGCTCGCACCAGTCGGATCGCAGTTCTCGGGAGAGGGAGTCAATGAGGACTGGGAGATTGGCGACACGTTGGCGCAATGGTGGCGCCCGAACTTCGAGACGTTCATGTACCCATTCATCCCCGCCCACGTCACAAGGCCGAAGGAATGCAAAAAACTCTACTTCATCCAGCTTCCGCGACAGAGTACGTTCCCCCGCGTCTCTATGTTGATAATAACTAACACAATACAGAGGTTCTGAGCGTGCCAAAGAACATGAAGCTCCTCGCCGTCCCGCTTTTCGAACTCTACGACAACACTGCGCGCTATGGCCCTCAGCTGTCCGCGATCCCGCATCTGCTCTCGCGTTATAACTTTGAATTCGTGGACGAGAAGGGAAATGTTGTTGCTGCGACGCCCGGCCAAGCGCCAGACGCCAACGGCTACGTGCCACAGACGAAGGTTCTGGCTGGTGGTGATATAGAAATCGAGGATTTCCCTACGAATGAGGAGGAGGTGATTTGAACTTGCAGCACACGAAAACGGAGTTGGCGTTAGGGAAAGCATGGCTATATGCATAGATACCATAGAACCAGGTGTACAATATGTAATGATCGTCAAGAACACTTGGGTGGGTTGGCATGTTGCAGCCAGCAGAATTGTGACGCTCTAGAACCGATGCTACTCATGCCTTCTCTCCCTGTATCGTAGCTACCACCTTCCTCTGGTGCCTGGCTGCCCTGAACTCTAGATACCACACTCCCTGCCACGTCCCAGTCGCTAGCTTTCCATCCTTTATGGGTATCGTCACGCTCGCTCCAATCAATGCGCTCTTAATGTGTGCCTACAGCTGGTTAGTAAACACCTAACCCAAACTGTTGCTGAGAGCATACAGGCATATCATCCAAACCCTCCGCCGAGTGCCTGTATAGGTCTCCCTTCTTATCCTCTGGCGCAATGCGATCAAGCGCATCGCTCATGTCCTCCCTCACATCCGAGTCCCAGTTCTCGTTGAGCGAGAGCGCGCAAGACGTGTGTTGGACAAAGAGGTTGACGAGGCCCACTTTGTAGCCCTTGAGCTCTGGAAGGCTGTCGACGATGTGGTCGGTGATGAGGTAGCTGCCCCGTGACTTGGGAGGCAGAACTATGGTCTTTTGAAACCAGGACATAGTGGCGGGCGTGGGTTCTGGACGCTAGGTGTCTGTGATGGGTATTGGGTAAAGAGCGCGGTTGAGCAAAGATAGAGCGGTACGTGCTACAGACAACGGAAAAGCGAAGAGAAGAAAGCAAGAATATGAACGGGTTTGAGGCGGGGTTTGGTGATCTGTCGAGATCGTGAGGTAAGTTGGGAAGTAAAGTTTGGTGGGGGTTATCGGCAAATTTGTGATGTCACCGCCCGGCGGTAACTTATAGAAAGCATGGATGGATAGGCTGGTCTATAATAGATTATCTGGCAACTTATGTGGAATAAAACTATCGTAAAACCGGCGGATACTTTTAGAGTAGGAGTGGCAACAGAATTTGCCGGTAGTCCAAATCCTTCTGTTCGCTGTCATACATCCCCACCTCTAGACATTTGGCAATCAAAAACAAACGGAGGAATGTAAATCATTCATTTTCTAAACGTGGCTTCTCTAGCGCTGCTACTCAGACATGCTACATACTCTAGTAGCTAAAGCGGATCATCCACAGATACCGGGGAGGTTGGTAAAAGCAAAAGCAAAGCAAATTGTTGGGTATCTGTGGTCGTATACATGAGAAGTGCCAATCCCAGGCGGCCATAAAAGAAAGTACCATCATCCGTGATGTGTGACGCCCAGCCCGATACCAGAGGTAATTTGCTAAAGAAACAAGAAAACAATATAAGAAACAGGAGCTGAAAACAGTTTGGGTGAATCAGCACTCGAGAATCACAATAGTGTTCACACAGGAACCTTCACGCAGGAACCTTCACACAGGAACCTTCACACAGGAACCTTCACACAGCAACCTACACAGCAACCCCGTTCAAACCAGAGACGAGGTCTGACTGAAAACTGTCCATGCCCAGCATTGAATCTTCGTCAGTCGAGCTCTCTGTAGCGCCATCCATATTGAGTAGAGCAAATCGGTTGATTGGGGCCCTTGGCTTGGGGGCACTATTCTCCTTTTGAATTGGGCGTGGTTTGAGAACTGGGATGGGAGCGGCACACTCATCGATATCCCATTCGATTTTGCAGCCCTTGTATTTGCTTCGTGACCTGTTGCATGTTAGAATCAGAAAGTTAACTTATGCAATCTACTCACATCATACAGGTTCTCGCAAACATGGCATTGTGGACGGAATTAGTTGATACATGAGCGTCTCTGTCGACGAATTTAACGCTGATGATGACTAGGTTGTGGATATGTTCCAAATCTTCCCTGATAGACTCATCCGTGTGCCTAGTACCTGCGGATCGAATAACGATATTTCTCGTTGCACCCATTCCAATCTTATGGGCGACATGGTTTGCGAGGGTGAAGTGACGGTCAGACCACGAAATCGTGACCTAGTCAATTTAGTGCCTGTATTGGCAAAATAGTGTAGATCTACACTCACCCTCTTCCCACGGATATAAAGATCGTTGCGTTTAGCATAGCGGAAAAAATCATTGGCAGCATTCCCGTCCAGAAAAGAGATCGATGCAGCTCGATCTTGACTGCGAAGGAAAACATCAAGGAGCATTCCACCTTTGACGGCATCTGTCACATCTGCATGCGTGGCCGCTTCTGGGAGATTGCTCAATTGTATCGTACGCTTGGCGTTTCTCAGAAACTGGCCATCACGGCCAACTTCAGTGCGGTTGTTGCTATTGTTGAAGTACCCATCCTGGCCTTCATTTGGAGAACAGATGTCTTCGAATTGACCTCTGTATTCTACGGCCTTCGACGTATGGCCCACCATGTGGTTGCCATAGTTTGCGTATTTATAGACGTTTTCGTTATGATAACTGGGAGAAATTCCATATGCTGTCGGAGGTTCTGGGACCCGAGTCAATTGCGGGGATGCGGCATCTGATGTGCCGCCTGGTGCCAAGTTGGTGCTATCCTGAGCGCTGGTTGGAGTGTCGTTGTTGACAAGGATCTGTATCGCCTCTGGGTCAGCTTCTGATATGTAGAGTTTGAAGTGAAAACTTGCATCAAGAATGTCTTTTGAGACCCCTCCTTTGTATAGGTTCCGACGTAAATTTGCTAATGCACAGTAAGTCCCGAGCTGTGCCGCATTGATAGAGCCTAGAATCTGGCGTGGATGCATGAGGGACCGTCATACCGTATTCTCGAGAAGAAACAAGCTATAAGCTGTAAATATGACAGTTGCATAAAACGGGGTGAGTGTATAATAACGTACCAGCCCATCGTAGTCAGATTTGGGAATTGTCACCATGGGCAGGTCCGTAGGAGTACTGTGGTCTACTCCAGAAGAATGCTACATTGGAAAATGCATTAGAATAGCTTCAAAATCTGCGTTTTAAACATACAAACTGCGCTCTGATATAAATATTCATATTAGCCTGGATGTTACATCGGCCAACGGCGCCAGGGGGTCCCATATCAGCGGGTGTAACTCACTTTCGCAATAAGGTTTCAAAATAAGCTCTGTCCAGAGTCACAGAACTAGACAAAGTAGCCATTTTGCCTTTCCAGATAACTTTGAGGACGGCTATCCACGTCGTGCACTCCTGTATATCTGGTATTTGTTTACCTTCAAGAAGGATGGGATGTTGGACAAACGACGCAATATCTAGAGGGATAAGGCGTGCTTGATGGAGCCTAGCGTGTGAATTAGGGTTGACGCTAAATTAATCGCATCTGTTCCAGGTGCGGGATGTGGGTCGCTCTTGCCTGGTGTATATTATAATCACGTGCAAAAGATTGTGCTTCTCACGTGACTAAATGGGAGATAGTGCGGGAGCGGGGCTGGTTGGGCAGAATACCATACTAGCCAAAGGTCACTTATGAAAGAGCAACAGGGAGTAGAAGAACCAGCAAAATTCTATAATATATACTGATAGTTAAATACATTAAGTCCCACCTGTAGCAACAGCTTATTTAAAATTGTAGATGGTACTAAAGGACTTAAATCCCACCCGCCACTGAAATATCATCTGGCATCACCAAATTGTCTTACGCGAAATTTTAGGGCTAGCCGACAGCGCGCCCGCAAATTCTCCCTCTGACAACGTCAAAGCCAACGACAGCGACGTCTACCTCAAGCATCTCAAAATGAGCGGATTCCAGAACAGCGGCATCCCGCCTAGGGACTTGGATGATGCGTCTGATGTCGCGGAGGAGGTCCTGGCCGCCGACTACCGTGAGCAGGTCAACTACCAGGATGAGGACTTCGGCGGGGAGTTGAGCATGGCCCAGCAGACCGACGACATCCAGTCGCGGCTCGCCGCTGCTGCGCAGCCGTTGGACTTTTCCGCCTCTCTTGAGGTCAAGTTCCAGAGCTACGACAGCTACTGCAGCTTGTTCCACTTCATCTTGAACTCGGACGGGCCGGTTGACTTGGAGCCACCTTCCGTAAGATTATCCTAATCCAAGCAGTAAGATCAAAACTAACATCGCGGGCTATAGTACTACTGGGCATGGGATGTCATCGACGAATTTATCTACCAGTTCAACAGCTTCTGCTCCTACAGGAACAAGATTGCGCGACAGGCCAACAACGACGAGGAAGTCCAACTCCTTCGCGACAACCCCAACACCTGGGGGTGCTACAGCGTGCTGAACGTGCTGTACTCCCTCATCCAGCGATCCCAGATCAATGAGCAATTGGCCGCCATGAAGCGCAACGAAGAGCCGATGGCCGTCGCGGGCGACTACGGTTCCAAGTCCATCTACCGCATGTTGGGATACTTCTCGATCATCGGTCTCCTGCGCGTCCACTGCCTGTTGGGCGACTTTAGCCTCGCGCTCAAGACCCTGGACGACATCGAGCTCAACAAGAAGGCCATGTTCGCGCGCGTCATGGCTGCGCACTTCACGACCTACTACTACGTCGGTTTCTCCTACATGATGATGCGCAGATACGCCGATGCCATCCGCATGTTCAGCCACATCCTCATCTACGTCTCGAGGACCAAGAACTTCCAGAAGGGAACCCAATACGATTCCATCTCGAAGAAGAACGACCAGATGTACGCGCTTATCGCCATCTGCGTTGCTCTCCACCCAACCAGACTGGATGACACCATCCACACCGCCCTTCGTGAGAAGTACGGCGACCAGCTCCTCAAGCTCCAGCGCGGTGGCGAGGAGTCCCTCCCAGTTTACGAGGAGCTTTTCCGCTCTGCGTGCCCCAAGTTCATCTCCCCAACGCCTCCCGACTTCGATACCCCAGAGCTCAACGTGGACCCCATTGAGCACCACCTCAAGATCTTCATGGACGAGGTCAAGACTAATATGTGGAGCCCAACCGTGAAGTCTTACCTGAGACTTTACACCACAATGGACTTGAAGAAGCTGGCTGGCTTCCTCGAGGTTGAGCCTGAGGAGCTCCGCAGCTTCCTCTTGGTCAACAAGCAAAGGAGCAGACAGACAAGATGGGCCGAGAACGGACTTTTGGACGGGGAGGTTGTCAACGCTAATGACCTTGATTACGCTATGCAAGGGGTACGTTTGCCAGTGTGTTTTATTTTAGAATCTCAGTTTGCTAACATACAGCGCAGGATCTTATCCACATCTCTGAGGCTAAGGTTGGTCGCAAGTTGGTGGATTGGTACTTGCGCAACTTGGCCCGCACATATTAGAAACGCGGTGTGATGGTTTACTCTGATGAACTGAATGCCGATATGGATTTGCATGGCTGGGGCGTAATTGGTATAAAACTGGGGTGCTGACGGTCGACTTTGAAATAGATGTCAACAACCGTGATTCCCTGTTAGTTAGTTTATTAGGCAGTAAGCAAGAAACAAAGAGATTTAGAAATTGGAGATTGAAGATGGTGTGACTGGTGATATGCATCTGCAGTCTTAGTTAATGCAGCGGGTTGCTGGCCGGTGTTGGAATGTTGGAATGTTGGAAAGCCTCATGGAGCAAGCTGAAGCCAAGCCGCAGGGGGGGAGATGCCGCGCAACCTTCGCTTGCTGCAAGCATTGTCTGGGCGGAGCGGTGACCTGTTTCGCAACTGCTGTCAGCAAAACATATAATATCCGAACCTCCAAATTCACAGTTATTGCTACCTTGAGCCTCCTGCTCCTGCGATATAATGTTGTACATTCCGGAAGATTAATTGAAGCACCCGAAGATTCGCGCTTCGGTGGCACGTGCTACCACGTTTTTTTTGTTTACTTCGTTCACTCCTTAGAATCACAAAATCTAGGGTCAACTCACCGTGGTGGCCATACCCGACGACACTGCCGTGACAGAGAGCTATTCAGAGGAAACTGTGTGAAGGTCGTCCACTTAACACCTTTTGGTAGGTAGCCACTCCGGATTTCAGCTTCCAGGACCCCTCCTGCTGGGCATAGAGCACACCAGACAGTAACAGCAAAGGCTGTCCACCACCAAGCAAAATATGTCAGCTACATCAGGTCCAAGGACCCCAGGTTCTGCATCTCCAGAAACCCCCTCTTCCCCCTCATCCTCCAGGCCACAAAGAGATGCCTCGGTCGCGGGCCGATTCAGCCTGCCAAGCAGCCCAAGACTGGATACCATCACGGAGCATATGGCGACTACCCAGATTGGGCGACACGGATCTGTCTCCAGCATTTCGTTTCTACCACCAACTGAAATGTCTGGTATCTCCTGGGCAGAGTCAAAGCCGCGGAAATTAGGAAGGCGCAGGACATTATCACCCCCAGCACCAAGGTTAGTCCAGTTTATTTCTTCAATATTCTATCTACAACTTGTCCTATATACGTCAGCAAGTAGCTGGATATTATACCGAGCTTCTGCTCGGCAGGACCGCCGTCTATCAATATCTGCGTTCTGGCGGAGGCTGATAGTTATGAGGAGCTTCGCTTAGTGGCGACTGGCGGCCCGGCGTCAACCCCACCTTCACACCTTATCTCAACCCACCTTTGATTGTCAGCCCATAGTACCGCGGTCGTTGCTCACGTTCTACCCTCCCCCATTCTCTACCAATATAACCTAATCTACCTTCTTATGTCGGATCTAACAGAACCGCGCAGCAAGTTTGAGCCTCACGTTTCATTCGACAACTTCGCTGGCGGGGAGCCGACGGAGAGCAATACGATATCGCTCACGTTGAACGAGAAACATCGAGGCTATCAGCACAACAGGCGATCGCGTACGTTTATGGTAGGTGTCGATGAAAATGCCTACTCTAATTACGCGCTGCAATGGATGCTAGATGAAATGGTGGACGACGGCGATGAGATTATCTGTCTGCATGTTGTCGAGAAAGACTCGAAGATTAGTAACGACAAGAGCGTTACACAGAAGAGTTACCAGAAGGAGGCCAGGAGGCTTATGAAGGAAATACAAGACAAGAACGCCGAACAGAGGTCTATAAGCATCGTGCTTGAGTTTGCTGTTGGGAAGCTACAGCAGACATTCCAGAAAATGGTCAGTATTGTCACAGCCTTATTGTCGCATTGATCTGAATATTTACTGATCGGCCCATTTCACAGATCCAGCTTTATGAACCAGCTATGCTCATTGTCGGTACAAGAGGTCGCAGTCTAGGGGGCGTCCAAGGCCTGATCAACAATCGCAACTCCTTCTCCAAGTGGTGCCTACAATACTCTCCCGTGCCTGTCGTAGTCGTACGACCGAACGATAAACGAGACAAAAAGAAGAAGAAACGAGTGAACGACCCCACACGACACAACTACGCGCACATGTTGGAAGGGAGCAGTTTAGGGATGCATGAGGCGAATCTGCTCCCTAGCAGGTCAGATATTCCGGTCGAAATTCTCCCAACTAGAACGCCAGACGACGAAGCACACGAGGTCGCTGCTGCGCTTGGTCTTCCTGCGAGATTTGACCCCACAATCCGGTTGCTGGATGTCAACAAGAGGCTGCATGCGCATGCGCAGCAGAAGCAAACGCAGACGCAGGCGCAAACCCATAGCACGACGGCCTCACAGGAAAGCTTGTTTGATAGCAGGCCATCCACTCCGGGTGGGGGAGGGACTTTAAAGTCTAGTGTTGCAGATAGCCGTGGGGCTAGTGATGATGAATCGGGAGATGACGACGACGAATTTGAGGTTACGCCTGGTGGCGCCTTGATTGGGGATGTTCCGGAGGCTCTGGAGAAGCAACAGAAGCTACATGCGATGGAGCAGGGCGAGGCGGCGGCATTGGCTGCGGGGCGGAAACGATCTCTTGAATCGGTTGATAGTAGTATCTCCAACTCGGGAAATGATCAAGGATAGATGCATGGTACTTTTAATTAATGAATATACTTTACTTACGCGGCCCAAAGTCTGAGGAAATGTGCGCGACTGATAATTGATACTATGAAAGATGATAGGATTTCTTCTTTTTGGCTTGGGCTGTCCAATCGAAAGACTATAACAATTCCGAGTTTACCAAGGGTAATTATGTTACCTATAGTTTGTAGACTGCCTCCCTCCATGCACGGCCTCTCCTCAGCGGCCGGCAGTGGGCTATAGAAGTCTCGACCCCCCAATGGACCCTCACGTGTACTGTACCTGTGGAGACATCACATCACGTGATCCATGTCGATCTCCCGTCCGCATGCAGCCTTGCGAGCTACGATACGAGGAAAACCGGATTGGACAACTCACAGCTCTCACCTCCTAACACCACAACTCCCTCGTGCAAAGCACCGCCGACCTCAACTCAATGACTTGAAATGCGCCAGAGCATCGTCCTCCCAGCACCGAGGACCCAGTCCAATGCTCCCCTCCACCGATGATACGTGCGATGAGTCGTGCCGGATGCCGCTGCGGCCGCGCGCCCTGCTGTCCTTCCACTCTCTCGGCACGATCGGGTCAGCGCTGCCCTTCATCTTGACTTTCGTCATTGTTAGCTATCTGGTTGCGCGACACCTCTTTCCGCTGCTCGCTGGCGCTGCATCCAGAGTTGATGACGACTATTACCTTCCTTCCGATGCTCCGCCGGCATTGAAGGAGGCAGAAGCGAAACACAATACCTGGCCTCTGCGCCGACGACTCGTTGCTGCTAGCTTTGGTGCTACAATTGCCCTAGCTGCTGTGCTGGCCGAGTTGATACTATGCGAGATCTCGAGCGCGCTCGATCCCGACGCCCGGGCCCTGACGCTGCGCGTCACAGTGCCTGCGCTGCTGGTGATGCTGGTGCTGTGGATCCCATTCCTAGAGATACAATCCGTAATCCGCGGCGCTGGATGGGACTTCACAAACCGTCGCGACGGGCGACTGAATAAGATCCCCTGCATCTTACAAGCCCTCTTCTTCACCCTCTGGATTTCAGTATTCTGGTTCTCAGATTTCTCAAGCACAGCCTCCTCATTCGACGACATGCTCGCCCCCGCCCCCACGCCCTCCCTCTCCGACGCAGCACTCTCTCGCGTCGGCGTCGTAGGCGTCTCCCTTATGGCTCTCCTCTCAGGCTTCGCCTCCGTCTCCTCGCCATGGCAAGCTTTCTTCCAACGCTCCAAGCCTGTCACCGACTCCGACCTGGCGCGCAAAGCGACCGGATTAGACGCAACGAACGACCTCCTAGCAGCCAAGAAAAGCCGTCTGCGCGCCCTGAACCACAAACTCTCCGACGCCCCTGAAGAGGGGTTCATGACCCGCGTCCTCGGCTCCATCCGGGGAAACCCAGACGCCACAGAAGTACAGGCACTCCAAATGGAAATCTCCGGCCTTGAAACAATGGCCGTTAGTCTCTCGACCTCACACACGCTCCTCCAAGCCCGACACGCCGCACAAGCGCGCGCCAAGTCGCCCTTAGGACGGTGTCTTGTGGTCCCGGATGTGGCGTTTTCGATATACTGCGTCTACCGCATTATCGCGACGTCCATCACCACCCTCCAGCGCTCGTCGCACCCGCATAGCACGTTTTCGACTACGGATCCGATAAACCGCGTCCTAAGCCTGCTAGTAAAACACGTTGACGCCTCCCTCGACCAAGCCGCCTGGGCGCGGCAAATCTCCTTCCTCCTCGCCGGGATCATGCTGTTATTATCCTTCAACTCTGTCCTCCAAACGCTCCACGTATTCTCCCGTTTCGCGCCTGGCCTGGTGCGACAAGCTCAAGCCAACTTACCCCTTGCAGTCGCGCAGATAAGCGCGATGTATGTTATCAGCGCGGCTCTGTTGTTGAGGAGTAATCTCCCGGCTGAGATGGCGAGTGGGATTGGACATGCGCTCGGGAAAGGGGTGGATGCGGGGTTTGTGGAGAGATGGTTTGAGGGGTGGTTTCTTGTTGGAGGGGGGGCGACGGCGTTGGGGATTTGGGGGGGAGGGAGGTTAGGGGAGGGGGAGGGAGAGGGGTGGGATGATTGGAGTGGGGATGTGGAGTTGGGGACTAAGAGGAGTTGAGGGGGAGGAGATGATAGGTCTGCTCAAAGCTAGAAGCTGGAAGAAAGCAGGAGGGAGGGGGAGTTTGGGATTTCTGAAGATACCGGTTATGGAAGGGAGTTTTTATAGCGACTTTTTATTACAGGATTCCGAGGACAGAACACAGGATGTCATCCTCTATAAATGCAGATGGAAGTAGATCTCGAATCTGAAAAGCACCGTCTAGACTTTGAAGAGGGACAGCTATCCTACTCTCACATCCTCATGTCTACAAGCAAATCATCATCTACACCTTTCAAGCGCGACACCCGTACCATTCTCACCTCCGCATCCCAACCTACAGCCCTCTGCCTTAGCGTCTGTCGCCGCTAGAACCAATCTATAGCTCCCTGCCTCGCCAGCCCTCACCTCTCATAGTCCTACCCAGCTCTCATACCGTTACTATATACCCATTGACCCCTTCTAACACTGCGACTCGTCAGAAAACACTCGGATGTCCTCAAAATTGCGCCCAAAGAGACGAGGATAGGGCCAAACTGCGATTTTGCCGGTTGAGCTACCTAGCAAAGCAGTAACCACGGGCTATCTGGGCAGCTGAACTACCCGGCAAAACCAGCCATACAGGCACTCAAGGAAGCTGTAACCCGGCAATAATAGCGAAGAGCCCTAAACCCAGTAGGGACCCCCATCTCAACTTCCCAACCCCATCAATCTAATCATATCTTATCACCTAGGCACCAATCTAATCAGATCCCCCTTTCCCCTTTTACCCCTGTCTCCCTCAGCCCTGCCGCCGACCCTCCTCTCCACAGCGGCCGAATACGAAAGGAAATCTCCACCTAACACACGAAGCGTCGATCACTCGTGTACGGAAATAGTTCAATTAGACAGGCATCACCGATCGATCGCATTGACCGAGCGCATTGTACGAGGTGGGTTTGATTGATATTATGGGGATGGGGAGGAGGATGGAAATAGATGGATTGGATTGTGGTGCTTTTGGGTTCTATAACGGACTGTGGTGTTCTTACTGTTCTACCCCTTACTATGCTATTCTGTACCTTTGGTATGGCTCATCTCCACAGCATTGGCATCGGAGAGTAGATGTTGGAATAGGATGGATGTACCTAGGCGCCGAGATTTACCTCGCTGTCCTCATCTCCATCCTGTGCAAATAGCATTGGCGTTCATAACAATGACGTCCCTCCCTCCCGGGCCGACGAAATCACTGAACTCCTTTTCTGTCCCACCGACGTTCACGTGCCGCGGCACCTGCCACCGAAGACGCCGTCGTCGGCGAGGGATGTATCCGTGCTAAGTTATGCTATACGCGTATACACACACACACACACACTTCACTTCTCCACCACAATGCACACACTTACACACTTACCACTTCAACGCGCACAACTCCCGCAAGGTACCGCGCAATTACCGTAAACTCCACCACCATTAAACATCGCCTCCCACTTTCCCATCAACTAACTCACCTGTCAAAAAAAAAAATCTCAGTCTTCAATAAAACTCCACCACCACACACATGTAAAACCCACATCCCGCCAAGCCCCACGCGACAATTTTCATCCATGTCGCGCTGAAGAGAAAATCTCAATTATTGGCAGTTGGCAGGTGATAGGAAAACTTCAGTATTTGGCGTGTGGGAGCGAGCGGCAGAAAAATTTCCCGTACCTTGGTGGATACACCCATCACCCATCACCCTCGGTGGTCGGCCGGTCGGAGAGACAGACCTCGCCAACTTAACCCCCACGGAAGCTCGGTGGTGGGGAACGACCGACCGACCGACCGCCGCGCTCGCAACTGTACACACGCCTTTGTACTGGAGTACTGCACAGAGTGCCGTGTTAAGCGTGTACATACATACATTTGAGACAGGCGCGTGACTGCGATGAGGGGATTTCGCGCCCTGGAGATTCCGTGGGTTTCCGATGGGCGCGCCGTGGGATCCGTGATGTACTTGTAGTGTATGGTGGTGAGTGTATTGTATTGGAAGTTGTATTGTATTGTGCGATGACTGTGATTGTGAATGTGTGTGAATGAGTGTGAGAGGAGGATGTCGGGTGAGCTACACCGCGTGCTTCGTGGGATGGATGGAGGGGTACATCTGTTGTGGTGGTGGTGGGGGTTGCGGTGAGGGGTTTGAGGGTTGGTTGGGGAAAGGGGACAGATTGGGGTACTACTTGGAGATCGCACGATTGCAATTCACGAGCCAGATCAGATCACAGTAGACAAAGATGACAAGATAAGGTTTTAAGTTTGTAAAAGTGGTGTTTGTTTGTTTGTAATTATTCATCAATGATGATAGAAAGGTGGCTCGACCCGATCCTTTTTTGACCGAGGAGCACCCCTTTGTATATGTCCCAGGACTTTGCGTCCGCATCTAAATCTCCCATTCCCATTCCCCATCCCATGATATGATGCTTCCGTAAACCCAAGAAAATGCGCCGTCCCAATGCAATGCTTTCCCAAAAACCCGCTATAATCGCTCGACAAAAGACCCAGACCATCCCCGACAAGTGAGTACAATGCACACTCAGTACACGCTCACCGCCGAAACCAGCGTCCTCTGCGGCAAATAGAACCCCTCATCAAAGAACTGCCCTTTCGCGGGCGAAACTTTTGACCTCCTCGCCTCCGCCTCAGGGAAGGCATGTACCACATCCGCCGGCGGCGAGGGCGGCATCGCCTCGTCCTCGCTGCTGCTGCTGTCGTCCTCGTCGATCAAGTCTGGCGGCGACGCGGGGTGGGAGTGTGTGCGTTGGAGGCTGAGCAGGGCGTAGTCCTCTTCTCCGTCGTCTTCGTAGATATCCTCGTCATCCTCCTCCTCCTCTTCGTCAGATTCGGAGTCAGCGTCCAAGGGTGAAGGGACCATCGTAACATCGAAAGCCTGATGCGACTTGACGCGTTGCAAAGTAGCAAAGCCCATATCCACATCCTCCTCCTCCTCGCTATCATCGCTCGAATCACTCTCCTCGTAATCCTCCTCCTCAACAACCGAATCCGCCCACTGAATATGCCTGTCTTCTGTTTTCCTCGCACCGCGCACCGAAGCATTGAACCAGCTCTCCTGCTCCGCCTCGGCGTCAGCGAGCTCGAGCATCAAGGAATCGAGAAGGTTGGCGTGGCCGACAAGGCGGCGGAGGCGGTGGTCGGAGCGCGAGGCTTCGGCGGAGAGCTTGCCGCGCGCGGAGTGGGCGAGGTAGTAGGTTTGGGTTATGGACATTGTTTTGCGTTTGGGGGGTGCGGAGGGGAGGGGTTGGCGGGTTGGTATGGATGTGGTTGTGAATGTTGACATTTTGAAATCCGTTTGGGGATTGGGATTTCGTTTTAGTTTTATGGTGGTGGGGATTGGTTATGATAATTTCGTGGATGAGTCAATAGGCAGACGCTGGCGTTTTTTGGGCGGAAGCGATGTGCCGAGGCGGGCGGTGACGAGGTGATAATGCGTGATGTGGTGGGATATGTAGGTGATAGGCAGAAGTGTTATCGGTAGGCAGTAGTAGTAGTAGTATTGTGTTATGAAGTATGACTGTGGATGGTAGAGTGTGATTGAGTATGAGTGAATACTTAATACTAATATGAAGCTGGTGATAGTTGTCTGTCTGATGGGGAAGAAGAAAAAAAGGAATCTCCAGCTGAGGTGATGCCGGTGGTATTATACTTGTTGGCAGTCCGTTATGCTCGGAGCCGCGATCCATTCTTTTTCCACAGTTCCAACACTGCCCAGCTCGTAAGTATCTGACTAGAGTACTAAGGTTTAAGACGTAAGCTCCGTAAAAGCCGTATAGTCCGTACCACCGCTTCGCATGTACCTGGCGTGTTTAGGTCCGCAGTCTCGGATTTCGGGTGGTAGGTGCGTGTGCGTGGTCCGCGTGGATTACTCTAAGAGAAGAAAAAAGTTAAGTACCAGGGTAGACGAGTACACAGTGATGAATAATGCAGGGATAATAAGGTAGGGAGAGGCAGGCTGAGGTAGGCCAAGGTACGAATACGCCATGTACTTACGTTAGCTAAGGTACATTCTCGCTCGTCGTGTTGGTCCGCCCGTCCTTATGCCATTTGTGTCATTTGTGCGTAGTTTCTCACTGATTATTACTGTAGTCCTGCACAATTATCATAATTATGCCCTCTTGGCGCTCGAATATCTCCGAGTCCGATTGCGAGGGATTCGTACCAAGATACTTAGTGGCTTGTACCTTAGTCACTCGCGCCCTTCGTTGCCCAGCTTACGAATCAACTTTGGATTTCCCATCACCGTTCTTCTTATGTCCATAGTGACTCCGTTCCGTCTATACAATTCCATATACCATTATCCGTTATCCGTTATTCCCTACTCCTATCTCCCTCTGGTAGAGTGCGCGATGCCGCCTGTATATGTAATCATGTCGCATTCCTCGTTGCAGGTACAGTTCAGATCAGTATAGTCAGTACAGTATGTATAGTCAACACAGTTTTGGCCAGAGTGTGCGATGTGCCATGTATACCCTATAGCCTATACCGCCGTAGAAGAAAAGTAACATTTCACATCTGCCGCCCTGTCTTGTCTGCCAATCCATCAGCCTTGGTACCTTATTTCCAGGCGTACGTGTATGACTGAACTGAACACATCCACCGACACGCCCAGACACAAACCGCAGCACAAAGAAACCTCGTCTGCCTGATTACACAATCCCACTCTTCCTCCCCCACACTCGTCCCCGATGACACACCCTCGGACCCACACGCGATTGGCCCTTCTCCCGTAACTTTCTCCTACCCCCAATCCGGCTAGGTTTCATGGCGATTCATTATTCTTCGACAGCCATGACTACCAAAATAGCATTACTAATCTCGTTCTCTCGTACAATGGTACCCTTCTCGCTCTTAACGTTATGCTTCTAACGCCGAAACGAAACACATACACGGTACGGCATACAAACTCTATCCTGCTTAATCCCGTCACATTCCGCCGTTCAATTCCAATTGTTTGATTACTTACATGCATGCGCGACTCACAAAGAAACACACAGTCCGTAGGAGTCATGTCTAATTGCCGCCCCCCCAGCACGACATCCACCACCACCGTTCCATCCGATCCCATTTCCTTCCTTCTTTCTGTCAGGTCAGTCACTGACGCAGCCGGGCAAGCGCCTGGTGAGAGACAAAACTCGCTCAATTACACTTTATCCGGCCATCTGACACCTACGTCTCGCTCACATATATTACTGGCACAACCCCACACGGCAGGTAAATGAAAGTGAACACCGAACGTGTACCTGCGACAATCATGTCTCGTCCAAACAATTCCTCACCTAACACCTCACACTGCCACCATAATTAGCATCAGCCCTGTCCAATTTCCCCAAGACAACACACACCGAATCTCACATCTCGCTTTCCCCGTACCGTACCGCAACTTAACTCAACACATTTCCAAAAACGGCACTTTGTTTCGAAGTGCCGCAGAAGCCCCGCTGTCTCACACTCCACTTGTATACCCAAATTAGGGCATGTACAAAGTAAGGCAGCAAGATAAGGCACCTTGACTCAGCCTCGCACCCACATCATCTCCCAGGTACTGTACCCACCCTCCACCCCATCCGGCCCTGCTGTCGTCGAAGCAACGTGCGCGACGACGCGAGATTGGGGGTTGCGCGGGCCTACACGTGGCAGTTGGGGCACGGTCTGTTCGGTGAGGGTAGGGGACGGGGTACGAGTACGCAGCTCGTTGTGGCAGTGTGGTGGTGGTGAATTGCTGGATGGGGTGGTTGGACTCGTAGACGCTAATTTCGAGGTACGAAAAGGGGCGCGAGGTGGTTTCCTGATGGGGAAGTTCACGTCGCGCGCGATTGATGCTTCATACGGCCGTTGGAGCGGTTAGGTTAATACACCGAGTGCCATTGTACAGCCTCACAGTATACGCCCATCTCTCATCTACTGTATCTTCACCAAACCATCCTCCCAACTGTAGCATGGCGTAATCCATCGCCGCCTCCCTCAACACAAGCTGTATAAAATAAAGTCACACCTTCCCCTGCACGGATCGCCCTCGCTCCGCCATCCACGCACGCGCAACCCCCAAGGCACCAACACTACTAACAGTCGCGCACGAGGCAGATGTCTTGGGGTCGCGTTTCTCGGGTCTTGGATGCGAGTTTCGGGTCCGACGACGCGAGGGTGAGGGAGCTATGGCAACGATGGGGTGGTGGTTTGAGGTACTCGCTCGGTTTATTGTACTGTACTGTACAGTACTAAGTGTACTGGACTGGACTATGCTGAAGGTGCTGTAGATCATATCAGATCAGATAGGCAGCCCTTCAATTCCTGCATCTCATCCTATACGCATACGCCCATACGTACCCAATATACTCCATCAGCATCAGCCTCGTCACCACCACCACAAGGCTACGTTGCATTAATATCCCCAATCCCACCGCCCATCATCCATCTCACGCATCTATCTCACATCGCGACAGAATACGACAGACATACGACGACGAATCCAATCAAAACCAAAATAGATGCGAAACCTCGCGCGCGCACACGACATCCATCCATTATCTCGCGACGACGGAATCGCCGCGCATCACAATACAGTAAGCCAACCCCATCCCGCCTTTACACTGTACACTGCAGAAGAGCGGACTCCCAGACCAAGACATGGAGATAATCTTACAGCCGCTGACTCGCCGGTGCGTCACCCTCGCTCGTGGACCTGTCACTCTCCCTCCTGTCACTCTCACCACCCTGGTCTTTCCGTCGCTTTGTAGGTTGGGGGTAAGCGAGCTACATACAGTACACCTAATCCCAATCCCACGCCGCGCACCGGCGAGACACCACCCGTCCGCCCTCCCCTATCACTCGCGAAGGAGGGTCCGAAAGCGCCGAGCTGTGTGTGGTAGTTGCTGTTTTAGGAGTGATGTCGCGATAAATGTCTGAGATTCTCGCTTCCATCTTCCATAACCTGTCAGTCAAGTCTCGTGAGATGTCACCCAGCTTCTATGTCTCTCGTTCCTGTCTCTGATGTTTCTGTGCCTCGTGGTGTCTCCCGAAGAAGGGGGTGTCTCGTCTCGCGCACACCGAGGGGTGGTGGTGTATCACATCTATCATATTCGTATCTATGTATATCGTCTGCATCGTGGGTGTATGTACTTCACTTCACCGCCTCGTCTTTATCGTCGCCCGCCTGGTTGTTGTGAAGATCTTCGCATCCGTCGTGTTGAACATCCAGTCAAGTCCCATCCTCAGCCCTACAGTAAGACATCCCTCCCCCAGATCAGATAGCCTCCAAATAGCCTACTACCAGTTAAGCGAGGGAGCGACCCGCGATCCACCTCGCTAACCATAACTCCGCGTGGCAAAGGGAGCAAACTTAAACTCCGTCCTCCGGTCCACCGCTCACAGTCGGTCGGTGTTATGTAACCCTCCGCACAGACCGGGAGTGGGTACGTACTGTACTGTAGGTGCATAAAATCTGAGTTATGCAAGAGAATGGGAGGGGTTATGTAATCCTGTTCCGGACGCTATTGTATGGTACGGGATTAACGGCTTTTACTAGCGGGGTACTTTACACCAGAAAGAAAGGTTGAAGGTGGTTTACTAATCGCAACCTGCTTACAGATCAACAACCAGACAACTCTCTTCACCGTTCCGATTACCGAGCAAACCCCCAAACCCCATACCTTAAATCCGCTTGTCACAAATACAGCATGGCTAGCTGGCACGCCATCTGCTTTGACATTATGTGTAGATATGTATACATTTTAGCTTTGTAGATGTAGATTCTGCAGGGTCGAACGCCCGTTGACGGCGGTGGGTGGGTGCTGACATATCCCTCTGGTGACAAATCAAGATTCCTTCCTTCTCTCTCAGGTGTGTTCTTGCATCGGGGGTGGGATGCGGGTTTGCGGATAGCTGTAGCTGTGGGCAATACCTTCTACTACCTCTATCTTCCATGCCTGTGCCGCGACTCCTCTTGCTCCTGTATACCGCCCTCCTCTCCTCACTATCTCTCACAACACCAACATCATGACAGTAATATGATAAATGCTCTCAACTTTCATTCTCCCTCCCGTCTACAAAGGTTCTATATACACCCCCTCCCCCCACGGCCTTCCCCACCACATGGCCCCTGCGTCCGTAGCCACGCCTCTCCCAGCCTCAGCCACGTCATGCACCGACCCTGAGGGGGCAGGCCACAGCCAGCCAGGCACGGCTACAGGCAAGCACAGGCCCATCCCGCCCGCTGTGCGTCGTGCACCCCTCCCGCACCACGGCACCGGCGCGGACATCTGCCCAGTCATGCCAGTCATCCCTGCATACCGCCCAGTCCACGCGGGTGGTCCAATTATGGCCGCATCTTCTGCGCCTGGGCCACCGTCTCACCCTCGCGCTGGTTGGTAAAGGTAAGGTGCAGCAGGTAGCTGTTGTTGCAGGTTTGATAATATGTTGCGTTGGTATCCAATCCAATCTCTCGCTCTCTCGTTTGTTCGTTTGGGCTTTCGCTGCGTTTCGCTGCGTTCCGCTGTCTATTCGGGTATCTCATCTGATCTCATCTCATTCGTCCATCTGCTCATCCGCGCGTGTATCCGCGTCGGTATATCATATCCCCCCCCCCCCCACCCTCACACATAAAACACATTCCCATCTCCACTTCATCCGCTCACCCCCCACCCCCTTCCTCAACCAACCA